TACTGAGTTTATACTAAATTCATTGGTTGACCTATGTTTCATTGAATATTAAACATAAACTCAAAAAAAAAAATAGTTTTCCTAATAATTTAAGTTCTCAGAAGTGTCCGTCAATAATCTTTGTTTTTACAGTCATTTACTTACGATTTTGAACCAAGAAAATAATATTTAATGATTGTTGGTTCTTAGGCTAACTATGTATGGACGCTGAACAATGTCCTTTCGTACCGCTTACAATAACTTGGAAGAAATAAAAGCTATCCGTTCTACAGGAACACAGCTTTTACCATATTTAGCAATCGTTAGGAGGAATCTTCTGTACATTAATCATTTAGCAATGTAACTCTCATCTTTACCAGACTAAGGTAAGGGAGCGAGGCATGTCGAATCGCTCGAGTGACGTGTGGCCCGCCACACGTTTAGTATCGGCGCAATAAGTGGCCGGCGCGGGGCACAAGAAGCGAGCAACGATGATTTGTAGCGTGTGGCGGCCACCGGCGTACCGTGTGTGGCGAGTCCATATAAAATGTATGAAAACTACAAGAAATATGCCGGTGGCGGCGTTTTGTGGTTGTGGTCGGTGGCCCCTGTGCGGCGACACTTAGACAATAAAATCATTGCGCTCCGTGAACCACCCACATCTATCTATCTACAATGTTTTTCTAACAAATCTGGCCGTTATTCCAGAAGAAGCAACTGCTACCCCGATCTTAGATTTCACATGAACAGTGGCCAAATTTAATGATATTAAAAATGTCTTCAGATATCTACCGACTCCAGCTTAGGATCATCACCATCATCAGCCTATTAATGTCCCTACTGATGGGGCACAGGCCTTCCCTATGGATGGTATAGGGAGATTGGGCGATGACCCACCACGCGGGCCCAGTGCGGTTGGCGGGTGCTAACGAATGCAGTTGCAGCCGGGACCAACCGTTTAACGTGCATTCCGACGCACGGAGGAACACGAGATAGAAGATTTTTGGTCACCCATCCAATGACCGACCACTGGGAAAGTTGTTTAACTTCAATGATCACAGCCGAACGCCCTAACCACCCGCGCCATCGAGCTCCTCACCATCTTAGGATAATAAGCCGCAAAGCAATGAATAGATCTGGTCCATCGTAAAGACGAACATTCATGTGATTGCATTTTGCTTATGTTGATAATGACGCGGACTAGCACTGTGCTTGTGTGGCGCGTCGCGCGTCGGTGGGAGAATGGTCAATCGACGACCATTAGCTTTAGATTAAAACAAAAAGGGTAGATACGGCACTAGCCTCACAAAAGTGATCCGCATGAATTGTGGTCCACGACCCTAATCGCTTTAGTCACAACTTGACATGCAAACGACGTACATGTGAACGCCAAAAAGACATATTGCTAATATTTTGTGTTTATATGATAAAACAATGCCTAAGTGTGTTTTTAAAAAGTGCTCAAATTGCTCAAGAACTAAAAATAACACCCACAGCATCACTTTTCATTCGTAAGTACTATAAAATATATTTTTTCATAAAAATTGCTGTTTGTTTTGAATCTTATTCGGTAGTGACGTCGAGTACTGGTCGCGTGATTTGTCGGTAATGCAGTGACGCGGATCTCGCCGTCTCGTCCGCGCTGCCGTGGGATCAGTTTTTGTTTGATGCAAGTATGAGCGTACCGTATCTACCCTTTTTGTTTTAATCTAAGCCATTAGCTGCATCTCCTTCGGAGTTAACGTCGCGTAAATTATACTCTTCGAACGCGGTTTGGCTTGGTTCAACCGAAAGAAAGTTAGGTGTTTCGTTCGATTTTGACGCAAGCTACAAAACTACACCAAACATTATGTAGTTATTGGAGTTTTGACGAATTCATCATCATCATCATCAGCCTATTAATGTCCCCACTGCTGGGGCACAGGCCTTCCCCATGGATGGAATAGGGAGATTGAGCCATGACCCACCACGCGGGCCCAGTGCGGATTGGTGGGTGCTAACGACGAATTATCGAACAATAATTATGCGTGGTAATTTATTCAACAGACCTTCTTAATAAGTATAATTCCTGTCGATGAAGATTAGTGTAAGCTATTTTCCTACAATTTTTGTTAAATTTATTTTATAAATTTGGAGTGAATGCCAAACAGATAAGCTCAGCTTACTCATGTGTGCGTGTCATGACGTGAGTTGCAAATGGCGGAACAGCAAACTTTATTTTAAAAACTAGTGGCCCGCCCTCGCTTCGCTTCGGTGTAGAGATGTAGTGTAAACTATAGTTTTTGTTCTCAGGCTTGTGCCTGACAATGACTTTATTTATATAATTACACGTGTTAACAAAACAATGACTTTATTTATATAATTACACGTGTTATTGTGAGTCAACCATAAAAGATAGACATATGCTGTTGCGGGATATTTTTTAGACAATTTTATGTAGAATATTTCCGTTATACATGATTTCTAAGTAACTTTAACCATTAAGGCTGCACACGCGACGGAAGCTTAAAAAATGGAGTAACTTCTCCCGTTTTCCCAACATTTCCCTTCACTACTCTGCTGCTATTGATTGTAGCGTGATTAAAAGTATACTATAACCTGCCAAGGAGTATGAAGAATAATTGTACCAAGTTTCGTTAAAATTCGTCGAGTAGTTTTTGTTTCTATAAGGAACATACACACAGACAGACAAAAATTTTACTGATTGCATTTTTGGCATCAGTATCGATCACTAATCATCCCCTGATAGTTATTTTGAAAATATATTTCATGTACAGAATTGACCTCTCTACAGATTTATTATAAGTATAGATAATTCTTTCATTAATGTTATTCCGTGACTTTATGGAAAATTATAATTATGCAAACCTTGTCCTGACAATAACGAACACAATAAAATCCCTCAAAAAAATTGTTTAAATATGATAATAACTCTGAATTGCTTTGAGTCTGCGTGTAATCTGCTCGACTTGTAACATTTAAGAAAAACTTATTTTTTTTATTGCTTCAGGACTATGATACCTAATGATCTTACAGGTTAATATAATATCTCTTATCTATTAGACAAGTCCGTCCGTCTGTCTGTCTGTGGTGCTGTTTCAGCGGCCAAACCGTAAGAGATAGATAAGGAGAATATTTAAGTTATAAGTTAAGAATAGTCTGATAAGACTACAAACCGGATTTGAGTAACGCAGCACTTCCGGTTTTCGAGAAATCAGGTTTTGGTGAACATTTGGTTCACTGGTTTGCTAGTCTGTTATAAATTCGTGAAAGCTAAGCAAGCTACTTTTTACGTTACGGCTGGTTTTGTCACCCACACTACAGTTCCTCATGGAAGGCTGTGGCCCAACAGTGGGGACATTAATAGGCTTATGATGATAATATTTCAAGCGTTTCAGCAACGTCACGTAAACGCATGCACTACTCGAAACCAACGAAAGTAGAACAGAATTCATGGCAAAAATTAAAATAACTACCTATTTATTCGAGTCCCGTCCGCTGCCTGGTCCGCGTGGATTTTTTTCTAGTAAACTTTTCTTTAGATTTAAACATCTAGCAGTTAAATGCTTAAAAAATAAATAAAAACATAACTACCTATTTATATTAAATAATAAATAAATATTTCCAACACGCACACCAATTAGCCTAGCCCCAAAGTAAGCACTATTAGGCTTGTGTTATGGGGGTACTAGGGTAACGGATAGAATACATATATAAGTATATTTATATAGAAATACATATTAAACATCCATGACTGGAGTACAAATGCACGAATTCATTACACAAACATCTGCCCCCACCGGGATTCGAACCCGGGACCTCTGGAGTCGGCGACACCATGAAACCTGGCGTACAAACCATTCAGCCACGGAGGTCGTCCATTATGACTTCAATAAGCTGGAAAACAGTCCTTTTTTACTAATCATCATCATCATCAGCCTATTAATGTCCCCACTGCTGGGGCACAGGCCTTCCCTATGGATGGAATAGGGAGATTGGGCCATGACCCACCACGCGGGCCCAGTGCGGATTGGTGGGTGCTTACGACTGCAAATGCAGCCGGGACCAACGGCTTAACGTGCCTTCCGAAGCACGGAGAAGCTCGAGATAGTAAATTTTTGGTCACCCATCCAATAACCGACCACTGCGAAAGTTGCTTAACTTCAACGATCGCAGCCGAACGCGCTAGCCACCTGCGCCATCGAGCTCCTGTTTTTTACTAAACAATATCTTAAATCATAAAAAAACAGTAATTAAGTGTAATCTCTCTTGATGAGCAGGCGAAATCGTTAAGAAAACACAATGAGCGCGTGAGTCTGGCGTCGCTTCTGAACAACTGACAATGGCACAAAAAGCGATTGAATGTTCGACGACCTCGCCGCCGACTCGAGAGGTCCCGGATTCGAATCCCAGTGGGGGCACATGTTTGTGTGATGAATACGAGCATTTGTACTCCAGTCATGGATGTTTAATATGTATTTCATATAAATATACTTATATATGTACAATATATGTATTCTATCCGTTACCCTAGTATCCCAAAACACAAGCCTTTACAGTGCTTACTTTGGGGCTAGGCTAATGAGGGCTATCGCGTATGAATCCGCCGCGAGAGGCGCTAGTGTAGCGTGAGGTCTCCGAAATGTCAAATGTTATTGCTTGTTGGTTGACTACGCGGGTTTATTTCTAATTAAAATAATGTTGTGAATAATTGGTAACAATTCGGCTTAATTATGGCAAATATGAGTTATGTGGCAATGAATGTCAGTTATTAAAAATTTGAGCTTAGAAAAATGATTATGTTCCCATTTTTCCACGTCACTGTGGCATGGCCTATTATGTTTAGGATATGGTTGTGTTGTGTTAAAATACGATCTAAATGTAACCTTTGATTTCATGTGCGTATTAATAAACTTTAAAAGTTACAATTTAGGACCTCACTCAACAGTGGCGCCATCTGGTGAGGCAGAAAACGGTAGCCCTCATTGGTGTGTGTTGAAAAAAAAAATGTTAGGGAATACCTTTCTCGAGAGCGGGAAGTTCTCGTAGGTGCACACCTCACAGCTCCACTTGCCGCCGTCGGCGCCGGCGGCTCCGGCTGTCACCTGCAAACATCCAAACATGCTTGTAATCACACACATATCTACACTCGAGACCGATCAATCCAGGTCACATAAACAATCCTAAAAATCTCAACAAACTAAGAATGCTAGCTTAGTGAAATAAATTCTAATTAATAGACAACTAGCAAACCAGTGAACCAAATAAATAAATAAATATTGCCAACACTCACACCAATTAGCCTAGTCCCAAAGTAAGCACTATAAGGCTTGTGTTATGGGATACTAGGGTAACGGATAGAATACATAAGTATATTTATATAGAATTACATATTAAACATCCATGACTGGAGTACAAATGCTAGTATTCATCACACAAACATCTGCCCCCACCGGGATTCGAACCCGGGACCTCTCGAGTCGGCGACACCATGAAACCCGGCGTACAAACCACTCGGCCAAGGAGGTCGTCAAATGTTCACCAAAACCTGATTTCTCGAAAACCGGAAGTGCTACGTTACTCAAATCCGGTTTGTAGTCTTATCAGACTATTCTTAACTTATAACTTAAATATTCTCTTTATCTATCTCTCACGGTTTGGCCGCTGAAACAGCACCACAGACAGACGGACTTGTCTAATAGATAAGAGATTAAATACTCCTTAAAAGCCCTTTCACATTTTTTGCAAAATATCGAAATTTTTGAGCGCCTCGTTTACCTCTTTGAAAAGATTTTGACTATTTCCAATAGAAGTTAACAGTAGATTTATTCTTCCTATTTAAGTTAATGTAGAATATTTGCTAATACTATTTTCCTTTTTTTGTACTGGAGCTCTACTCTCTTTCTCCGAAACGAAATTTCGGTAACGAACGAATTTCAAACGAAATTTCGCCATTGACTCTACTCTATTTCATTTTCGAACACGCACATTAACTTCGGAACCATAAACAGTTTTCGTGAACGAATGGAATGAGTCATGTTTGTGAGTTCTTTTCATCTCTACTTTTAAGAAAACGTTTTTTTTACTTGGAAACAATATAGGTAGTTTACGGCAATTTTTTTGATGACATTAAAAGAACCTTCTTTGACAGTGTTAGCCGACTAATTTGTAGAGTCGATACAATCTACTGTATGTCAACCTCAATTTGTCGTTTAATACTTTGAAGTATCGAAATTACAAAAAATAATAAAAAAATGGTTTATTTGTTAATTTTACTAGCTAAAAATTTTACTCGAGCTAAGCAGCTATTATTAAAAATACTCTTGCAAGTATTTTAGGCTTAATTAAAACAAAAATCTCAAAACGAAAATGAAAAGGTAACACTTTTCATTTCGTCGATTTGAGGTTAAAATTTCGAACAATTATCTGTCAAATTCAATTTTTCCTTCGAAAGTTTTGTGAATTAGAGTAGGCTTGGAGAATTTAATTGTCAAAATATTTCGGACGAACGAATTTTCGAAATGAAAAGGAAACAGAGTAGGGAACGGTCGAAATTTCGATCGAAATTTCGTTTTTCGTTGAAATAGAGTAGGCCTCCAGATCGTTCTACTGCAGCTAGTTTACGGATGCACAACTTCAAACGCCTCAATCTCTCAATAATGTTCAATAAATTGGATTAAATTAATAACTATGACATCAGAATATGTTTTTGTTGTAACATAATGTATTAGAATTTTGATTTTCCATCTTATAACTATCAAAAAAATCTAACCTCCGTGAGTATTCCCAAAAAATAATGCAGGTTTACCTCGTATTTTGATATTGAATTTAATAGAATTACTATCAAAAACTTTCATCTAACTAATCTGCCATCATTGACCTACTGAAATATGTATATATTTTTATAATTAGTTCATTAATAATTATTTTATAAGACACGAAACATCACCCGTTAAATGCAATAATACCAGTGAAAATCTACCTACGCACAGATCAGTACGGCCACAGTAATATTATCTGGTAATATTATCTATACTTATAATAAATCTGTGGAGAGGTCAATTCTGTACATGAAATATAGTTTCAAAATAACTATCAGGGGGTGATTAGTGATCGATACTGATGCCAAAAATGCAATCAGTGAAAATTTTGTCTGTATGTCTGTCTGTCTGTGTGTATGTTCCTTATAGAAACAAAAACTACTCGACGGATTTTAACGAAACTTGGTACAATTATTCTTCATACTCCTGGGCAGGTTATAGTATACTTTTCATCACGCTACAATCAATAGCAGCAGAGTAGTGAAGGGAAATGTTGGGAAAACGGGAGAAGTTACTCCATTTTTTCAGCTTCCGTCGCGTGTGCAGCCTTAATGGTTAAAGTTACATAGAAATTATGTATGACGGAAATATTCTACATAAAATTGTCTAAAAAATATCCCGCAACAGCATATGTCTATCTTTTATGGTTGACTCACAATAACACCTGTAATTATATAAATAAAGTCATTGTTTATAGCACAAGCCTGAGAACAAAAACTATAGTTTACACTACAGCTCTACACCGAAGCGAAGCGAGGGCGGGCCACTAGTTATATAATATTACCGTGGTACCGCAGCGGCGCTATTTTGTAAAAGGGCTCTTAAATGAAGATATTAAAACTTCTTAGTTATTGTAAAATTACATCATAAAAAAATCAAATTTGAAAAAGGGAGACTTTCGAAGATGGAACTACGAAATTACTGGATTTGTTTTTGCTTTTGTTTCTAATCAGTCATTTATCATACATACAAACCAGCCTTTTGTAACCAGCTGTGAAGTAAACGTATTGACGGCAAGGGCGGGTGGGGGAGGTAGTCGTGGTCAAGTCACAGTGGGTACAGATTGTGAAGTGGGTGGGAGTGGTATCCGCCCTTGATTGACGGTGGCTGTAGTTGTGTGCTATGGTACAGTTATGGTACAAGCACGAACATTATAGTGAGCAGAGATCTTTAACAGTATCTTGAGCAAAAAATTTTATAAAAATTTATAATGCCAATTGCCATATAAAAATGAATTTCAACTAACAAAGTGTTACTACCTTCAGTTAACAAGACATAGTTTTACATTCTTACTCTCTTAGGGTGCGGCCAGAGTGCACTCAGATTCAGATTCTGAAAACAAGCGCGAGAAATAAACAGTGTAGTCGAAGGGTACGGCCAGAGTGCACTCCTGATTCAGAATCAGATTCAGACTCACAAAACAAAGCGCGAGAAAAAGCAGGCAACCTGCTTAGACTACACTGTTTATTTCTCGCGCTTGTTTTCAGAATCTGAATCTGAATCTGAGTGCACTCTGGCCGCACCCTTAGTTATAACTAATAATTTTTCACGAAACTCGGTGAAACTGAAGAGCTCATTACTAATTTAAAAAAAATAGTATAATAAAAAAATATTATAAGCTGTTTGCCAAAATTTATTCTTTCGATAAAATCTTTAAGTTTTATTTTCTACTAGTAAAAGTTGCAAGCAGCAAAACTTATGTCCCTGAATCAAATCAGTCTGAAAGAGTATCACTTGAAATGCCTTGACAAATCTGATGATTTAAAGTGTTAGTTTGAAGTTATATTTTTGTAACAGATTGTGTGATGGAAAATAAATTGATTTATGATGATTAGTGTTCTTTATAAGCGTATTAAAAATTTGGATAATAAACAAGATAGGAGAGAAGTTTCTTACATTCCTGTAGTCTTGGTCAATATGTTTTAACATACACCGACAGTGATTATACATTGAGGGTATGCCTTTGGCCATACATTTTGCAGTACAGATTTATAGTTTTTGCTATATATTTAAGAGGTTACATTTAATTGAAAATTATAGATATGCCAATCATGTCTCAAAAGTGCGCTGCTTAAATTAGATGCATGTGTTACTGGAAAAATACAATACCTGGGTAATGTATAGAATGAGTAAAACGTCAAGGCGATATATGAAATATTATTCATTTTATACTTTGCTTAGATATTATGTACAATGCCGAATGCACAGTTGGCAATGAGTATAAAAGAATGTAACTTTAAGAAGAAGAAGAAGTAAATTGTCTCCGTTTTTTTTATCTATTCGATGGCTGGCGCTTCGCCGGCCCCTGCCGCGGGACGATCACTTTGCTCGCTCGGCTTGAGCGAAATTAACTAAGACGCGAGACTAACCTAACCTACCTCACTGTAAGTTGGTCTGTAGTTTATTGACAATTATAAAATTTATTGTTTTTTTATATCCAACTGGGTAGGTTAGGTTAGCTTTGGTTAGGATAAAAACAGACCAAAATCTGTTTATTATACATATTACCGGTGGAGCAGCAGATACTCTATACTTTCCCTAGGAATTGTACATATTACTTAGGCAAAGTATAAAATAGTTAATAATATTTACAATATTTCATACATTGCCTAGACGCCCCAGGCATTCTATTCATTGCCTAGCAATACCTAGGCAATGTGTATAAAATACCTGAATTATACAGATTTGTCATAATTTGACATCAAAACACATTGCATGTGCACTCAATATGACAATATTGTGGATATTCTGTGTTAAAAATACAAACAATGCATTCTATGCTTTGAAGAAAAGCACAAATAGTTAAAGAACAATATACAAATTCCACAACATCACTTTTCATTTGTTAACTATAAAAATGGTTTTTACTAAAAAAATATGGTTTGTTATAAATGTTATTCGCTTATATTCGCCAGTGGTTATCAAGAAAAGGACCACAATACAGCTCAGCCATATGTAGAAAGAGATAAGAAAACACAGCTGGTTGCCAAGGGAGGCAGCCTCGCTGTCGCCCTTGCGCTGCAGCGAAGCTTACCATTCTGTCGCACTTGCTCAATTGAATGTTTTTAAGTAGGTGTGCATGTGTGAATTATGATAAAGTAATTGAGTATTATATATTTGACGCAAGTGAGAGCATACTGTATCTGCCCTTTTTAATTTTATCTAAGTTCATAAAGCCTTTCTTGCAGCTACTTTTTTGAAATTTATTGAAGAAGAAGAATGAGCTGGTGGCAGTAATTTATATTACATATTTAAACAACAGACATATGATTTCATCTTCTGACTCATGTTAATAATATTAAAGTACTAAGAAAAATTATCATTTTAAACTATTTCTGCCATTCATTAATTGCTGCAATATTAAATAAAAGCTTTTGAAATTTATTATTAAAAATAAGTGTCATAAACAATATTATTGCTTCTGTGGATAGTCTTAATACATTGTATTTAATATATAACAAAAAAATAAGCTAGTGACAGGAGTTTCTCCTTCTGCGTTTTATAGTATTTCACAGTATACCACGGTAAATCGACATAAAATATTGAATTTGTACTAACACTAGGAATTATGATTACTATTGAATAATATTTGAATTTACTCTAATATCATAATGAAAAAATAATTATTATTGAATGATTGATGGGTTAAAAGAGAACACAGTAATTTGACTGTTATATTTTAGTTATGATTTTATTTATTTTTAAGCATTTAACTGCTAGATGTTTAAATCTAAAGAAAAGTTTACTAGAAAAAAATCCACGCGGACCAGGCAGCGGACGGGACTCGAACCCGCATCCTTCGCAATCCAGGCGAATGCACTGACTGTTATATTTTAATAAATTAGAATTTTGCATGCTGTTAATATGGCTAAATAGGTTTAAATTTCTTAGTTTATGATATGCTATATGCGAACACCTTTTCTCAACAATATTTAATGCAAATAAAGAGTATACTATTCTATTCTTTTGAAAATCTATAAATTGGGTGTGCCTACTGGCACAGGCTTCATTCAGCTCTTTCCACTCTGTCCTATTAAGCAAATCACTAGAACATACATTTTGCTGGATAATAAATGACTAATTATAAAACAAGCAAAAATCAACTAATTGGTGACCTGCATGGTATTGATATATGTACACCAATTTTCAAGGTGTCGACTCAGAGGTCCTAACTTCTAATCCTATTGTGGCAAATGTTTGAGTGATGAATACAAGCATTTTTCCCATAACACAAGCCTTACAGCTAAGCTAATTGGTGTGTGTTAATAAAAACAATATAAAATAATGGTGTTACCTGTCCAATGTGTGCCTGTGAGACATGAGTGGAGGCGTCGTGTGTTCCGCAGTCGGCGGCGGTCGCGCTGGCCTCCACTGCGAGCGACGCGGACTGTTTGCTCGCTTCATTTTGCGCCTCCTCACTCATTGTACCATCAATTATAACATTGGGAACTCAAGTTTCCTGCTGCTAGACGCCACTAATCACTATGAAGTACGCATCGTATGAGATTCCATACACAGTTTAGTTTGCACAGCTGTGCTTTGTATGTCAACCACTGGGGTGCTCAGCTATAAGATTGAGTGAGCCTTTAGTCAACTAAAACAAAACCCAACATTATTAGAGTACTAAATTTTAAACGGCCCGTGTTGGCGACTATTTTACACGTAATTAGGTTTCTAGGGGGAAACAAGTGGCTTGACAATAACTGTAAAAATATGATGGATTATATGTATTATCGCGTTATAGCTTCATTTGAAGTAAGCACGTTGGCGATTACTCATTACTCACAAACTTGGCACCGTCCGTCTTCTAGTATTTGGCGTCGTTACACAACATAAAACATCAAGGCATCAGTCACTAAGGTCAAGAACTCAAACGATTAAACTTACTCAATCCACGGAACAAAAATTAAGCTTAGAAGGATCCACTGATGATGATTATTTCAAATTATATTAAGAAACAAATTTAGGCAGCACGGGTTAATGAAAACGTAAAGAAACAATGAAGAAAAAGCAATTTAGTTTAGACGGTATTTTGACAAATTTTGTGTCACTATAAAAAAAATAGTGATGGACAAGCGAGATGTCCGTATCCGAATGAAAGAGAGAGGGGAGTGTCAAACTCAGATTCAGATTCCACAGATAAAGACCTGATAAGACCATGCTCTCTAAAACGAAGTGGTTACTTTCCCTATAGCAGGGGAGCTCAAGCGGGGATTTTTGGATTTACTCGAGCGCAGCAGAATAACATATGGAGAACAACCTTGCACCTAGTTAAGTACTCCCACCATACCTGAGCCCTCTATGTAGGGCCGAACGTCTAGGGCGGCAAAAACAAAATTTCAACAAACGGCCGTAACTTTTGGTCGGGTCCATTTCGTCAGTCTTTTGAATAGGAGCTACTGGAGGGTTCACATAACATCACTTCTCAATTTCTGACGCGCTCAGTTATTTTCCCTACATTATACCCCTACGAACGACTACCCCCATATCATGCAAACCGCGGTAGATCAATATTTTTTCCGTTCTAAGGGTGCGGCCAGAGTGCACTCAGATTCAGACTCAGATTCAGATTTCGAAAACAAGCGCGAGAAATAAACAGTGTAGTCTAAGCAGGTTGCCTGCTTTTTCTCGCGCTTTGTTTTCTGAGTCTGAATCTGAATCTGAATCAGGAGTGCAATCTGGCCGTACCCTTCGACTACACTGTTTATTTCTCGCGCTTGTTTTCGAAATCTGAATCTGAATCTGAATCTGAGTGCACTCTGGCCGCACCCTTAGAAACGTTACATGAACTAGTAGCTTATATTCAAAAGACTGGCAATTTGGGTGCGACCAAGTCATGACCGTTTGTTGAAAATTTGTTTTTGCTGCCTTAGACGTTTCTCTCGTCTCGTGTCTGTGGTGGTATCGATTCTGGCATGATTCTCTAATTCTGAACTTAACACCAGTGGTGTGGTTCTCTAAACCTAAACTTAAATTTGACAACAGTGTATCCTTGTCATTCTCTACACAGAATAAAAAGGAGAGACTGGTGTTAAATTTAGTTTTAAGTTTAAAGAATCATGTCGGAATCGACACCAATGGCGAAATTTCTGTGTAAAACCAAAACGGAAACAGCCACAGACAAAAAAAATATTATATTGACCATGGAGCAATTTTTAATCATAGAGAAAGAAAAGTGTTTTTGATCCATGATATTGACGTACGTATCAAGTAGTCTGTGTTATTTTGTTTTCCAGTGGTTTTCCTTAGTGATGTTACGGTCTTGAATTTTGACAAACCGGATTTGATCGGTTAGTAATACATGCAAATCGGTTTCCGAACCGAACCGCCAAATTTTCAGTAAACCGCGGTTTGAACCGGTTTGAACCGTTTGACGAGTTGACGAATGAAACTTACGAAACAACAGGTGCTATTTTTTTTTAATTCTACATATTTTATTGATATAACATCGTGCAAATATTTAAAGGTAATTGAAAAACAACAATTAAAATATGAAAACAAATAATAATAATCAGAATTAAAAATGTCACAATAAAAATAAACAAATATCTATGTAATACCGTGTTTAAAAAATTACAAAAAAATACATAAAACCGTACTTCTTAACTTTGAGAATAAAATACAATTTTAATAATGAACCATATAATAAATAAGTAACTTTTTTTTGTAAAATCATTTGAGTCGTAGAAACTTTATTTGGTACAAACAACAATTAAAAAGTTTTCTTACAACTATTTAGGAATAATATTTGGTCTATTTTTTTAGAATTAGAATTACGTCGCATATTACATAATAATGAAAACAAAATTACACCGTCAAGTTAGTCAAATCTACCAGAGTCCGTTTCATTTCGGTTCGGTCGGTAAGTCGGTTATGGCTGTTGTATTTAAATTGTCGATGCGCGCTAACCGTATCCGCTGCTGTAAGTCGGTTCGTATTGGTCGGTCAAGTTTTATTAGGGTCGGTAAAGCACGTCAGGAGCCGCACGCGATTTGTGGATGGCGGCATAAACAAGAATTGACAGGCGCGCATGCGCGCAGCGCGATACGAACGAATGCCATGGTAGAACCGGTTTACGAAGACGTTAACCGATTCAACTCGGTCCATGCTCAAACCGGTTTGAACCGGTTTGAAAAGTCAAGTCGTTACATCTCTAGTTTTCCTGCAGTTGTTTTCTTTCAGGTCAGGTGTTTTCTCATCAAAATGGATCTAAATAATCCTCAGAATCAAAGTTATTGGTTTGTTTTGAGAGAAGATCAAAGCAATGTGTATAATTTTACAATTCATAATCCACCAAGTATGAGTATTTGTTAATATGACCTATTCTGATCAACAATAAATCTTCAAAAATCATATTTAAAATTTGTTTTCAGTATCAGGGCAAGAGACTCGGTATATTTTAGATACGGTGGACAATAGACAGTTCATTCAACTCAATGAGGCTCCGGTTGCGGTTACAGAAGATACACAAGCAAATTGCGAAAAGGATACCATCAAATTAAAAGATGATGATATTTTTTGGGATAGAGATAAAATTAAATTACTTCTTACTCTTTGCTTAGACAACAAGTTCAAGAATGCCGTTATAGACAAAACACTATGGAATGAAATAGCCACTCTTGTTGGTGCTACACCAGAAGAATGCCACAGAAAATTCAGGAATCTTAAAAAAACCTATATCAGACTTCTGAAAAAGAAAAGACTAGGCAAACACATTAAGTGGGTCCATTTCAGCACATGTGAAGAGGTTTTTAAAGAATGTAGTTCTGTACCTTCATCAGAGTTAGAACTGTGGGATGAGATCAAAGTAAAGAGACTCCTTAGTCTTTACCTAGAAAATCTTAGTAAATTCCGTGATCCCTATTGCTTGCAGAAAGATGTTTGGAGAGATATAGCATCAGCTTTGGGCACTACTGAGTATAATTGCTACCACAAGTTTAAAAATCTAAAAAGAACTTATTTAAAATGGCTGGAGAGAAATAATGGAACTGGCAAGCTAATCAAGTGGCCATACCATAGCTTCTTTGAGAGGATTTATTATAACTACAAGCCAGCTTTAGGAGCTTGGGATAGAAATAAGATAAGCAGGTTATTGCAAGCTTATCAGCAAATATCTCACAAGTTCAAAAATCCGAAATACTTAAAGAAAGAACTGTGGAAAGAAATATCTTCCATAGTAGGTGAAAGTCCACTTAAATGTGACAGGAAGTTTAGGAATTTGAAGCAAACTTACATTAGGTTAAAGATGAGGGCAGACACAGGAAGATCAGTCACTAAGTGGTATTATTATAAAGACTTTGAATCTATTTATGGTCATACATCAGTTCAAAACACCGAAGAACTGGGATTCTATAAGGAAGAAAATTATATTGTGCAACTACTGTCTTTTTATGTTGATAATAAGGAAAAGTTTAGAGACCGACTAATGAAGAAAAAGCATCTGTGGCGGATCATAGGGTCCAAGTTGGGCCTATCCTCCGAAGAATGTCATAGAAAGTTTCGTAATCTTAAACAAACTTACATAAGACTGAGAGCAAGAAAGGAATCCTCTGGAAAGTGCAATAAATGGCCATATTACTCTTACTTTGAGAAAATATATTGTGATCAGAAACCCACATTGAACTATTGTAATGATGACAGCAATATTGATCACACAACTCTGTTCCAAGTTAAAAAAGCTCTGAAATATATACAGAAAAATGACAATGATAAATTTGAGAAACTTGTTAGAGTTGCTGAAGAGTCTAATGAGATTCAAAGGGAAAGAAATAGAATTTTACTGGCATTATTAGCCAAAAAATGAGTATCTCATTTAAATTAATGGCCCGGCTACACACTCCGTCTTGCCAACACAACAAGACAGAACACCGTATAGTTGCCACACATACAGATAAGCTTATACCATGTGTGCAAACCTTATAGTATTTTAAGACCTCATTACATCAGGCTGTGGCAAACAGAAGAAGTTGTTTTAATGGTAGCATTGTATTGTTTACTGATAAAAAAGGAATAAACAAACAAAACTTCCAATATCACTCATTTTTATCAAAATTTACTATGTATTGTTGATCATAATTTAGAGTCGTCAAGTTGAAAAATGACTTCAGAGATACCTAGTCACCTTCCATTACATCATTTAGGACAGTGGTTCTCAAACTTTTTAAATGACGGAACCCTTTTGGGAAGCAAAATACTTGATGGAACCCTACAATAAAACAATTATTTTTATAAGTGTATTCTATATTAATCAGCATAATAAAAGTACAATGTATCCGTTACTAATTATTATTTACTTCACCACTTGGTAAGGACAATAATAGAAAACATTAAAAAAGAAAAAATCTAACTAGTGGGAGGTATGAAACTGTTTTTTATTTTTCATCAATTGCTTGATATCAGGTTTGATGGAAGAAAGTTGGAGTCTCATATCAGCTTCGGCGTCCAGTCTATTGCGATATTTTGTTTTCGTGGCTGCGTAGGTAGAGAATCCTGTTTCGCACAAATATGTAGTTGGGAACGGGAGAAGAATATCCAGAGCCATTTGGCCAAGCATTGCATATTCATCTTGGATTCTGCACCAAAAATCATTAAGAGGCGTCGTTTTGAACAATGACTCCATACTTGTGTCTGATGACATTTCTAAAAGAGATTCATATATCTCATTTGACATGTTTTCAGGCTTTTCCAAGTTGGGTAAAAAAGGATTATGAATCCAGGAGTTCACTTTAATTTTTGTATTGTGTTCTTCGGGAAAATACTTTTCAAAAGATGCGCGCATCGAACTGAGATATTGGACCAATTCTTCAAACACATTATCTTCAAACATTACTGAGTCGTTTTCGCTAACAAACTCAGTGAGTAACGTAAAACTTTCTATTTCTTTCTTACCAATGCAAATGATCCAAAAATCTAATTTTCTTTTAAAAGTAGTTATTTTATTATAGGCCTGAAACACTGTTGTCTGTTTACCTTGCAATGATAAATTTAATTCGTTAAGTTTTTGAAAGATATCCGCCATAAAAGACAATCGGAACAACCAAGTTTTATCATACAAACGGTCCTTCAAATTAAAAGAAGTATCTGCTGAAAGAAACATTTGTAACTCGGCTCTAAGTTCAAATAGCCTTGTTAAAGTTTTTCCCCGAGACAGCCATCGCACTTCTGTATGGAGCAGCAGTGTTTTATGTTTGCTGCCATAATCTTCACACAATAATGAGAACAATCGGGATTGTAGTGGTCGTGATTTGATAAAATTAATTATTTTTACCGCTTCATCCATAACTAATTTTAGATTAGACGGCATTTGCTTCATCGCAAGTGCTTGTCTATGCAGAATACAATGACTGGAACTACAATTAGGCGCTTTATTTTTCATTCGTGACACTGCTCCTGCTGTTTTACCTGTCATCGCCTTGGCCCCATCTGTACAAATGTCAATGCAATTGTTCCAACTGAGATTATGTTCTTCAAAAAATATATTTATTTTATTAAAAATTTCTTCCCCGGTAGTGTTTGTAAGCAGCGATGAACACATAAGCATGTCTTCTTCAAAAGAACTTTTATATGGATATCTCACAATAACCAGCAGGATAGCCAAACCAGCGACATCAGTCGACTCGTCCATTTGCAAAGCGAATCGTGTATTTTGTAGACGTGTAACTAGTTCTTGTTTGACGTAGCTTGCCAGATCATGGATTCGTCGTGAAACAGTATCGTTTGATAGCGGAACAGTAGAAAGATGCTTTGCAGATTTTTCATCAAGCATACATTTTGTTATGTCTAATACACATGGTTTTATTAATTTCTCAGCGATAGTGTGCGCTTCACCTGCTTGTGCAATGCGATAGCTAACTAAGTATGATGCCTCCGTGGCCTTTTCGTTGGTAGTTTGTGTTACATGCATCATATTTTTTTGACTTTCTAATAACTGATCTTTTTTGCGAACAAAAAATTCTTTATTCTTGTCTTTAGTCTCGGGGTGTACGGTTTCTAAATGTCGACGCAATTTGGCAGGTGCCATGGAACTATTAGGAAGCAGTTTACTACAGAGCATGCAGAGAGGTGAGCCGTTGGAATCAACAAATCCGAAACTGATATAAGATTCATCATACTTCCTTTTTTTCGTCTTTGAAACCGTCGAGCTTGACGTCGTGGCACTCGTGGCATCATCTTCTGGATCGGTGATTGCTAAATTCTCCGCGCGCATTGCTTTTGAACATTCAGCGTCATTAGAAGATGTTGTTGGAACACGTTTAACACCTTTAAGCCAACGTTCCATTCTTCTTTATTTATAATGTTACAAGTCAGGATAGTGGGGTTTAAATAATGCACAATCGTTACTGCGTATAAGAGACTAAATTTAGAACCTACAGGGAAGAAATGTATAAAACTGAGACAACAGAATACAGCAGGCAGTAAAACAATGAACACCAGTTTCTCGCTAGCGAGCTTGTAAGTAGGTAGTAACTTATCGCTCCGAACGCTAATCATCAACTGACGACGCCAACGCGCGATCGCCGCTTTTATACTTAGTCCTAGACTCGATCTCAAATATTCTCGAAAATACTCGAGTCGGCACCTTTGATAAACAAAAAGCAAAAATAAAAACAGAAATTTAAAAATAGCGTTGTAAACAATATCGACTTTATCCTTTGAAGTTAGAGACGAAAGTCGCTAGTTGACAACTATAGCGTCTAATTCAGAGGCGGCTTTTATCAAAGAGACTGAGCGCTTACAAGTATACTACCCGCTCGTTTTAAGTTTGCCGCTGGCGATAGGTATGAGTGTATGACGTTCGAAATTTTTTATTTAATTGTAACAATAAAAATTGTGTACGTTAGATATTTGGGTAAAACTATGACACATTATAAGTTTTGTTGTCACGTGGGGGAGGGTACGCGCATTCCACAGACCGGCAAACTTAGAGCGAACGCGTTGTACAAGTATAAAATTGTTGAGACCAAACTTATGAGATATTGTACCAGCTAATGTAACACAAGCTTATACAAATACAAATAAATAAATAAATAACATTCATAGCGTTTTGTCTCCGCGCGGCCGCGGAGTCCGCACAGCCGCGGAGCGACCAGAGAGAGGTGTTTTGATTTTTTTATTTCTAAATTCTTGCGGAACCCCGACAGAGGTATCACGGAACCCTAGGGTTCCGCGGAACACACTTAGAGTATAGCTGATTTAGGATATAGATATATAGTTACAATAAATTTTATATTAAGTATAAAGAAAGCGGCATTAGATAGGTACCATATTACTGTTACAAAAACTGACAAATACCCATCAAATAACAAATTACAAGATACACTATGTCCATGCATTACGATCATTTAGATAATCATTAACTTTATAATAGCCCTTATTCATAAGAGTATTCTTGATCTGAGATTTAAATTTGGTTAGTGGAAGCTCAATCAGATCTTGGGGAACTTTGTTAAACAATGCAGTACTACATCCCAGAAATGAACGTCTTGATTTTTGGAGTCTGAAACATGGAACGGCAATCTTGTTCTTAAATTTCGTGTTAAAGTTATGGGTTTGACTTTTTTTGCAAATGCATCATAGTTTTTTCTTACTTAAATTAAATTTACATAAATGTATTGCGACGCCAGTGTTAAAATATTAATTTCTTTAAATTTTTCTCTACGTGTTACTCTTGCCTTTAAATTATTTATGGCGCGAACAGCTCTCTTATGCAGTATGAAAATACTTTCGATATTAGCAGCTGAGCCCCACAACAAAAGGCCATATGTCATAACGCTATGAAAGTAACCAAAGCCTAAGCTAAAGCTGCAGAGCTCAGTCTACTTAATAAGGTATCAATATGAGGATCCTATTGCAGATGCGAGTCTAAAGTAATACCCAGAAACTTTGTAGAATCCACTATCTCTACAGGCTGGTCATTTATTTTTAAACTAGTATTAACCTGCCTCACAATAGGTAAACTTAACACATTTTGTTTTACTAGAGATAGTTTTAAATTATTACCGTAACCCAGAGAGAGCACAATTTACTTCGTCATAACAATCATTTCCTCATCTAGTTTTAAACACTAAAGAGGTGTCATCAGCAAATAGCACTGTCTCACACAAATCTCTTGTAAAGTGAGGAAGGTCATTGATATAAATAAGGAAAAGCAATGGGCCCAATATTGAACCCTGGGGCACGCCCATAGAAATGGGTGCTCTTGTAGACTCAGCTTCATTTATAACTACTTTCTGAATTCTAGCAGAAAGATAAGACTGTATCAGACTTAGTGAAATATTTAGTACATCACATTGCTTCATTTCATTTCATTTCAAAAAATGCTAATAGCATCGTGCTTACTCTCCAATATATCAAAAAAATGTGTTTGAGAAGTGCAGTTCCAGCATCAGTAGTACTTTTGCCTCTAGTGAAACCAAAATGTTTGAATGAAGTAGCTTATTGTTATAGAGTTCTCACTAAGCTCGCGTCACCGGGCCCTATTATTATGTGTGATAAGGATTGATCGCTATGCGTTGTGTGTTATGTTTACAATTATTAATTACTTCTACTTTTCTTTAATTCTTTGTTTCGAGATTGTGTTAGGGGCCAAGGATGTAGTTTTATTGTTTCCTGTTTTTAATACTGGTGACTGAACACGTTACTTGAAATATAACCGCATTTTAATTTCGCCACCCTGACCCAACTTCTGTTACATTATTTATAGAAGTGTGCAGTAATTGGTTGTAAATTATTTTCTCAAATATTTTACTTAGCGCTGGTAATACAGATATAGGCCTAAAATTTCTGGGATCTGATTTGTCACCAGCCTCAAAGAGAGGGATAACTTGTACTAGCACTGTGGTATAGATTTAATGCGATTCAAATAAGAATAATGACCTCCATATGTCAAATGTCACTTGAAAAGTACGGTTGGTACGGTTTGCAAAAAAAACTCGGAACACTTTTTTAGCACTCGGCTGATTCTAGAATAAAAACCAAACATTTTTAAACAAACAATAACAAATGTTGTTAATTAATATTAGTTGTTTTATTTTCATTTATTAAGCTTTGACTATGAAAGGTTGATGAACCTAAATCACGGTAATATTATCTATACAGTATTGTGACTCCGCCCTGTCCTTGAAAATAAATGCCTACGGCCGAGCGCTGCGTTAGCACGCGGTAGGGCCGCCCGCCTACAGTATTTTATGTAGTTTTGTTTTTAACGCGAGTGTAGGTAGATTACTCGTTTGTCTCTTTTTTATCCTAACCACTTATTTACATATTATTCCAGATATTTTGCCCGATGGAAAAACCGAAATACCTAAAATTAGAAACAAATTACGTACTAGTAGATAGGTATATAAAAAATATTCTATAAAGACACCTTTCCAATATTTCAGGTAATTAAAAAAATGATATCTCTGGGTGTGTTATTGAAGAGTTCAAGCAACCAAAAACAGCTATTGTGCTGTTGTACGATATTGATCGTCGTTTGTTCTTTTCCATACTAAATTATGTAGGTATCTACTTAATTAAATCAAATATTTACAATACAAAACGCACGTTTAAGCACGGCTAACTGCATAAAAAACAATTCAGACTGTTCGGTCGTCGTTGCGGCGCGGCGGCGCATTCGCGACTGGGTGCCCGCCGAGAGCACATCGAACTCGAGTGGCGTAGGTATGACTCGCTTTCCGACCGTTTGTATTTTTTTTTTATGTTATAGGGGGCATAAGAGCAGCAGACGCAGATTTAACATGAGTTAAATACTCACCTGATGGTAAGTGATCACCGTCGCCCATGGACACATGCCGGCCTTTAAGGAAGGAGTACGCTCGTTTTTTGAAGGTTTTTGGGTCGTATCGGTCCGGAAACACTGCTGGCGACAACGTATTCCACAGTTTTGTCGTACGTGGTAAAAAATTTCGACAAAAACGCACGGTTGTGGATAGCCACGCATCAAGATGATGGGGATGAAATTTTTGTCGCGATGTACGATGGCGAAATGCAGCAGCTGGGATTAATCCGAACAGTTCCTCAGAACACTCCCCGTGATAAATGCGATAGAAGATGCAGAGCGAAGCTACATCCCTAAGCAAAGCCAAAGGATCAAGCTGATCGGAAAGGTCCTGGTCGTCGACTATTCAAGCGGCTCGGCGCTGGATGCGATCCAAAGGGAAGAAATGTATGAAGATAGAAATACTGTATGATATTATTACCGTGCCTAAATCGTCAACCAAATGACACTATGTTGCGTTGAGAAACTCGATTTTAAACTTTCGTTTACTTAAAGGATGCATGTTCGTATGTGACCTGCATGATAATTCATAACTTCTCCGGCGGTAATGCAGAATGAGCGAAATTGAAGAGCTAGATTCTGATAAATGTTCTGTTTTTACAGTCTTAATAAAGAAATACTATTAGAAATCGGTTGTTCGTGCTCAAATATTTTGGTTAGGGTAGAGGTTAAAACGATTGGTCTGAGACCGTTTAGGTCATCAGAGTGCTTTCCTGGTTTTAAAATGGCGATTATAAGGTTTGTGGACAATTGGTCTGGAACCCAAACTCTTGTGTAGCAGGAATTATATATTTCAAAGAGATATTTCCTAGCATTGGTGCCAGCATTGACGATAAAGGAATAGGGTATGCCATCTACTCCAGGGGAAGAATCCTGAACCTGTTTAAGTACATTTTTCAGTTTGTCCAGGAAAGGCAGCATCCATAGGATCTTCAGGGTGGTTATATATTAAAGAATTCATAGATTTTAGGTAGGTGGGTGCGTATGCCTGCATAAGAAACCCCTGCCCCTGGGCTATTTTATCGAAGAAAGCTTCAGCAGTCTCACGGGTTATGGGGGCCGATATAGGTGGGGCAAAACCACGACGGAATCTGTTAATACTCTTCCATACCGTTGTGAGTGGTGTTGAAGACGCTAAGGAAAAGCAGAATTTACAAAGCCAGCGCGTTTCTTCTTACGTAAGATCTTCTTAGACTTGGCAAGGATTTGTTGGAAGGCAATTAGATTGGAGGTAGTCATTTACCTGTTGTAATTTTTTTCGGCGTTGTTTCTTTCGCCGAGGGCTATGGTGCATTCCCGGTCCCTCCAAGGTGGAGGGGATTTTTTCTGGGCGCAATTCTTAATTGGAAAAGAAACATCCGCACTCTCAGTGATGGCAGTCGTAAAAGAATCAACACTTACCTTAAGGAGATGAGGATCAGAAACGAGGGATGCTAATGATATGACTTGCAGCGTCGGACGGTATTTGAAATGGGGAGCTGGAATTACTTCCAGAGATAGCAGCGGTTAAAATATTTAAAAGCAGTGAAATTATAGATGCAATATCTGTATGTTCTGAAGTGGAGGTTTGGGACCTCAATGCGTTGTGCATTGAGCTCCCAAACCTCCACTTCAGGGAAGATTTGTCAGGGAAGATTGTAGTCAAAGTAGTGTTGCCGATCGATAGTCGACTATCGATGATTAATCGATAGTCTGTCGATAACCAACCAATCGTATGACATTCGATAGCACAGAAAAAGCCAATACTTCGGATGAGTTAAATACTATTGTACTTCGTTAATAACAAACTATTGATAGTATCGATAGTGTCAATTTTATTTGCAACCATACTATCGATAGTTTAACAATTTGCAATAGTATTGTTTACAATTTTCAGGTATTATAGTCAATCACAAACTTTAGTCTAGAACAATCGCTAGTGTCGATACTATTATTGCAGATTAAATCAACACTATCGATACTATCAATAGTTTGTTATTAACGAAGTACAATAGTATCGATAGTATTGCCTTGTTCCGAGCTATTGATAATATCGGTAGTATCGATTCTATCGATAGGCCTATCATTAGGGTACATGATTTTCGATGTAAACTGTCGATAGTTTTAATATCGATAGTTCGGCAACACTAAGTCAAAGTAATGGACTGATGAAGGGTTTTATCGTATGATGTGTTTTCGGTGTTAACTGGACTGTTTTCCGATATGAGTTGATATTGCCTTTGGTGATGTTTGCATAATATGAGGTAGTTTGTGGGATAGGAAATTTTTAACTTGCCTCAGCATATGATATGGCTTGTTCAGCCATAATTTTTTTAATTGCCTTCTGCCTACCATGCTCCGGGCAGTCACAACGTAATTATGACTCCCAGAACACAATATACAAAATGCTTCTTCTTCTGTTAAGTCGCAACCATCTCCTGGGTGTTCACTGCCGCATTTACTGCGAGGTTTAGACCTACAAAGTGGCTATATGGCCAAATCTACAACAATTCCGGCACTGTATAGTGAGGTAGATGTATTATTTTACAGTGAGGGCTGTGTATAGACAATTTCATTTACTAGCTATAAAAGAGAAAAAAATGTGCGCGGGCACTGCTTCCTCTAGCTTATATCCCCACTCCACTACCGTTCGTCTCGCCCGAACACACTTTTCGTAACGGGTAACGCATTCGCCAGCTTATTACCTAAGTCAAGCGTGCGTAAAGTAGTTTCACTTCAAAAGGACATTGGGCAAAAATGTATGGTACCATGGTACCCACGTCCGCCACGGTTTAAACTACATTTGTTTGAAAGGTATTATAGTCGAGATCATCTGTGCCAAAGCGCATCAAATTCTATCCCGGGGATCTTTAGTTATTTTAGGTTAAATATGTACAAGTACTATATAACGAACGAGCATTAATGAAACAAGGGAATTAATTTAGTTAGTTCGACCCTACAAGGTGCTGAGAAATTATGAGAGCACTTCACAAGGAGCAAGGGTGCCCCCTTATGTTATTCTGCCGCGATAGAGTAAATCCAAAAATCCCCGCTTGGGTTGGGTTTTTCTTAAACATTCTGTTCGTTATAGTAAATTGTCTTCTATGTAAAACGGAGCGACCACAGATTACACAAACTTGTCCACGCTTCGGAGAACACATGATTCCAGTTTATCCATACTAATTGACAAAGCCGATAATCGTGTTCCATTAACCAAAGCGTGTTAGATAAAAATCCATCAAGTAGCAGGGAGCGCACAATCACAACGAAGTAAGACGAATCGACTATTTGCAACTGCAAGTCCTTCAACATCCTTAAACCGTTTTGAAATGTCTCAGTAAAGCAAAGCGCAGGATTGTCGACAGCCTTTGTCGTATATCTGGTTATATAGAACGATATGGCATATTATTATGATTAGTAATAATATAAAATGAAGGTACTACAAAATGAATTTATTTAGCTACTTAAATATGCCCATGTGTCATATCTATTGACTACCAGGGGGCCAATCGCCTAACTGGATTGCTTTGGAAAACGCTATCGCTTACGATTTCATTTTGTTATTTCTAGCCCCCTGAGGTTTTCAAATGCCTCGCGCTCTTTTTTTTTCTTTTGCATTGGTAATAACAATGTTAAAGAAAATGAGCGTGAGGTATTTCGGCGGTTAGAAATAACAAAATGAAATCGTAAGCGATAGCGTTTTCCAAAGCAATCTGGTTAGGCGATTGGCCCACAGGATATTTTTTACGATGTCATATCTTATGACTATTATATTTTATTATATATATTTTGGATATTTATTTTCGGTGTCATAATAAAAAAGGCTAGTTTTTCATAGTTCTATCGATTCATACTAATTACATTGTTGGCGGGGCTGGGTGCGTTTTGCCCATTGTCCTTTCAAGTATCCTTACTAGTGGAGACTGGAGTTAAGTCAGTAGGGCTCGGGAACAGGGGATTATAGCTTGGCGTAAACGGGAGGTGAGGGTACCGAGGATCACATAAAATAAAACAAGTCTGTATGTTTAGAAATGTTTAATTTTATTGTTACCGTTCTTATGCTTTTAGATGTATATGTACAAACAAACTATAATAGATTATGAGTTGATCATTCTGAAATGAGAAATCGTTAGCAAATTCAAAAGGAGTCGACGGCTAGTCGTACAATGTCTTAAATACACTGATTATGCTTAATTATGTCATAATAGTCCAGCCAATGTACAGAAAAACGTGGCAATTCTAACAAACAGCACCATTTACAGCAAAATTAGGAATTGGGTTCCACTTACCCTCTACTTCAATTAAAATTTGTTAATGTGCTGAGGGTTGCTATTTGCCTGGGGAATAAACTCCACCCATTCTCAGGGTTTTATTTTTATTCAAAATGAGTATATGAATGGTTAAGTTGACTAATTCCAAGTAACTTATGTTCTCTGAAGTTTTTACTGAGTCAATACTTTTTGATTTATTAGACAGTTTTTCATTTTTACTTGTAAAAAGTATTTTATGGAAATAAAACTAAAGTAGAGGGTAAGTAGAACCTACAGACAACGTTTGTTGGTAATCGGTACCGCTTGGCAGAATTGCTAGGGAAAACCGTGCATTGACTGGACTAAACTTAAAAATACGTCTGTGTGAATTCAAGACTTACTATAATATTAAATTTGACATCCATAACACTATACACCACAGTAAGGAATGGAAAAATATGTTTAGAAAAAATAATAAAAAAATAAGTGAACAAATCACACTCGGTCGCCGGCAACCGCGCAGGATCGGATAAGTCTGCGGATACCGCGACCGGTAAACTATCACGGACATACTGGTGCACGCTCATCCATTCACTCTCGATACATCGCTAACCTATACTGAATTACCACACTAAGTCGTTACAACTAGGGCCGGCGCAGGCGCGGGTAGGCGGTTCACTTCTTGGCGTTCTTCTTGGGTGAAGGAGCTTTTCCTTTGGCGTTGTTCGACATTTTCGCCTTCTTGCCCTTGGGCTCGCCCTCCTCGTCGTCTTCGTCCTATAGTAAATAATATTTATTATATATTTTAATTATTTTTATACCATCATTTGAAATTTATTGTAATGAAATACTAACATAGGTTAAGAAAAATGATTACTAACATATATGAGACAGAGCATTTTATTTATTTATAAAAACATTTATGAACACACATCTCAATGGAAGACGTATTTAACTTAAAGCATTTACAATCCTCAACTGTCTGAAAAATGCAATCATTTTAAATTATGATCAGGACGAAAGCAGATCAGAAGGTAAAGGGTTCTAAAAATGAGTATACAGAAAACCAACAGCCAATGATATTTGACAGATAAACTCGATTTATAATAATTTTGATCTCATTGCAGGCCCCATTTCTTAAAATATCTACAATTATTAAGACAAAATATTAAATCAATATTGTAACTCAGCATTTTGGCACAAACTGGCCGTTTCCATCAGAAACAGGGCTCAGCTCCTTTTACCTCCGTTGAGCATCTCTTTATTTGTTTCCTATATATTTGTATTAGTTGAAGGTTTTCAGTACCTCATTCGTCTTGCGCTTTCCTGCAGAGGATTTCCTTTTATTTTCATCATCCTGTAAATTTATCATCTACTGAGTCACTGTAGCATTGGAAAATTATCAATTATTATAGTCTGTCCCAAACGAATTTAGACCAAATGTAAACAAATATTTCTAATAAAACACTTCTGCCGTCCACGAGCTAAAACGCGGCTAAATGACAAAACCAACTTTTCGAGATACGGCCAAAAAACGGCGCGTAAACTTTAAATTATTGAAGTTATACTTCTTTAGCCGCGTTATGAAAAAATTATTAGAGTGAAATTTTCATCACTGTAACACAAAATTTTAACATAATGAAGTTAGCCGCGGGCGCGTTATTTGTAATATTTTATTTTCCAAGTGACCGTGGGGCAGATTTGAACAAAGCAAACATTTGAACAGATTTGAACGGGACATTGAAATGAAATGAAATGACATTTATTATTAATTTATTGTAATTAATTATTTGCATGCAATTAAAAACTAATTTTAAACGATGCCAAAGAAGGATAACTTCTCACGCGCCTACATAAGTACACGCACCCATTTTTTTTACTATTGTGTAACTATAGATAACATGACGGTTTTAGACTTTTAACTATAACAGATACGAATACTCGTTGACGAAAGATCTATAGAGAATTAAAAACTGTATAAGATACAATTTAAGACTGAATAAAATCGACCACATGTCTTAGCCGCACTTTAGTTTAAGGACGGCAGACTTAACCTCCTCACGCAATAAATCACTAAATTGATTTCTCAACACATTTATTTGTATTTCTAGGGGGTTGACTTTAATTCACTACTTTATATCACTAATTTCTTAATAAATATATGAAAAATTGAAAATAAACACAAATAGAAAAGTAAGGTCATATTGAAAGATGGGAATTGTCTGTTGTCTATTCAGTTTTTTTTGCCAAATCGGGATTTAGGAACTTTTTGAGTGAAAATGGGGGATTATTTCGTGTAAGGCGGGACATAGTAAAAAAAACCGGCGAAGTGCGTGTCGGACTCGCGCACCGAGGGTTCTGTACAAACCTGAATTTTCAAAAATATTTTTTATTAAACGATGTAACTAAAAATTTACGGTTTTCGCAATTTTTCCTTTATCTATACTATAAGACGTTACTTCGTACCAACTTTCAAGATTCTAAGTTCACGGGTAGTACCCTATAGGTTTTGATTCCCGTGCAAGTTTCGAAAATTTGCGGCATAAAAGGCTGTATATTTTGATTGCTTTGGCTAAGAAGTTTGATTATGTCACAGCTCCAAGAGATAGTAGACCTGAGTATTACATAAGAATTTCAGTTTGATACCTCCAAGCGTTCCTGAGAAAAACGGTCATGACAGACGGACGGACGGACGGACAACAAAGTGATCCTATAAGGGTTCCGTTTTTTCCTTTTGAGGAACGAAACCCTAAAAAGCGTAAATAATCAAAAATTCTTTGAATATTTATTTTTTTATTTGAGTTCAAATTACGTTTACGTGACAATAGATAGGTACCTACTAAAAATATCCATAGAAAATGCATTTTAATAAAAATGATATTATAAATCAGATTTACACTAGCGTTAAATACTTGAGTCTTTGTCTGAGTTGTTCATTACGCGCCGGGCAGGCGGCCAGTCCACACTTGTCTGTGCCCTCAGTACGCGGTCAAGTTATTCCCGAAAGAAAAGAGGGATTGAGCCTGTCCGGGACATTTAATTTCGATTTAAAAATCGGGACGTCCCGCAACTCCGTTTCTAATTAACACTGTAATCTATATTTGACTTTGAATTTTTTAACCATGTTTTTAACCTTGAATGACGTTTTATAAAATGAAGCTGACACTTTCTGTAATTTCACTGAGTTATTATTTATTAGATAAATTTAAATTTATTATTGTTGATATTGAAAAATGATGTCACAATGTAAATTAATATGTATTAGGTCAAATAATGTAGTGTAAAATATTTTCATGCTATTTTAGATTACTGAATGGGCCGAAGATCAAAATTGTAAGATCCCCAGTGTATCCTATTCAAATGCAAATCAATAAATTCTAATAGTGAATTGATTATTTATTTATTCAAACTGATAAGTAACATAATAATACAGTTTATTATCTTATTAGTTTATCTTAAACCTTAATTACGGATGGTGTGGTATTTTAATTATTCGCTTTTTGTTTCATCCTGGATATTAATATGTCAATGTGGTATAGTTTTGATTTACTTATAGCACAAACGCGTATATAACTGACAGATATACGACGACGACGGCCCTAGATATTCAACAAATCATGCGAACTAATTGTTTCAAAAGAGTTTTATATGTTCGTTACTTAATATAATAAATAGTTAACTATATTTTGCCAAATACAGTTAACAGCCAGTTCTTTTTTGAATAAAGACAATAAAAAAAATATGATGCTAAAAATTAAGCCTTATAGATCTTTAACAGTTTCCAAGAATCAGATCATTCAATTGAACAATCGATTTTGATAAGGCTCTATGAATCCCCAACACTAAACTATCTATGGTCAGACTTACCTCTTTGTTTACTTCTGGTCTAACTTCGTTTGGAACAGGCTATACATGATGTTATGTATAAGAACAAATTGACTTTTATTTTTGAATGTGACTTGTAGATAAGAATTATACGAAGAAAGAGTTCAATAGCAAATTCATTTAAGATATTTGATGGTCAGTTGATGTTTGAGGAAAAGAAAAATTTAACAACAAATAATGTAATAGGGGAAATAAGTCACCTTGAACTGGGAATCATCTCCCTCCTCCTCGTCCAGCATCTCTTCTTCCATCTCCTCCATGTCCTCGAACTCCTCCACGAGCGCGCCCAGCAGATGTTGTCCGATAAGATGCACAGGCCCCGAGCCCTGCACAAACAACGCATTATGCACAGAGTTCCCTAATCTCGCGTCAGCCGTCCATTGTACACGATGCAAGTCAGACAAATGCCTCAAGAGATCATGAGCAGGCAGCGCTGCGTCAAAACGACGTCGCGAGCCATTCACTACACTGTGGTGTTTTTATCATCATTCAGATTTAATGTAATAAGCTCAAGTAGTTCATGATTTATAGTTATTAAGTATTAAGTATATGATTACCTGAATGAGTGTGAACGTGACGGGTGCATCAGGGAATTCAATGTCAAGACGAGCATGCCTTGTCTCTCCCGCCTTCAAAACAGCCACAGGAATCTTGATAGAATCTTGAAGAGACATCGTCTCCACCTTAATGAAAATAAAGCTAATTTAATATCACAATTATACATTAAGAAACTTTTAATTTAAGCTGAAATCAGACAAATGCCTCACACAATCATTAAAAGGTAGCACAGCATCAAAACAATGCTTTGCACCGATCAAGATAAGTGGTACTGATTTCATCATTAAAAATAGTTCTACTGTTGCGAGATAAATCAAATAATAAAGAACCTACATGTATTTTTTAATAAATCATAGTATTTTGTATTGCGTTTTGCATTAAAAAAAATCTTAATAGGTGAGCAACTTTCTTAGTGTACTGGCAAACTATCACAAGTTTCATTCAGTAGGTATACACAAATATTCATTATATGTATAAGTTTGGGAATATCCAGATGGATGGCAGTTCTACTAATATGCGACGTCCCGAACACAATCTATGTAGTCCATTTATATGTAAGCAATAATTTAAGGGAAGGTAAAAGATTAACCCAGACCACTTCTACCCCACATCAATGTATAATGTTAAATTTTTGAGGTTAGAACTATTTATATTGTCAATATCAAACAACCCTTCCTCCATCAGCGTGTTTTTTTGGCGCTTCGCCGGCCGCTGCCGCTTCACTCGCATGGCTCGCACTTGCTTTATGCTCACAACACTAAGGTCGTATACAGAAAGAAAGCTGGAAACTGACCAGCGCTTGTAACAGTTACTTTCATGTTCATTAATTTCAAAGGGCGGTGCTGACCAGCGCGTGTCGGCATTGGTCCATAGAACTGCTTGCGCCAGTTACCGGTAAGGACCAGTGCTGGTCGGCTTCAGCTATCCAGCTATCTCTCTGTACGGCCTAACAACTAATCCAGTTTTCTAAATTTGTAATATGAAAGTAATATATAATAAGGATATAACAGGGAGCAGGTAAATGAAGAGGATATTTGGATCCATTAATACTATTTATGTAGCATTCAGTTGACAATAGACTGGTATGGAAGATCAAGACAAATAAGGCTAAACTGTACTTCCAGGGCCCCAAGTGGTGATACTTAACACTAGGTTAGGTTAGTGTTGTGAGCATAACGCGCGAGCCTAGCGAGCGTGCCGCGGCAGCGGCCGGCGAAGCGTCAGAAAAAAAACATTAGTTTTAAAAGAGACCTCTTCTACAAAAAGTTCGAGTGTCACCTCTTGGGCCCTGGAAGTACAGTTTTATCCAAATTAAATTAACACATGGAGCTTTCGAATAGATACCTGAACTACATTAAGTTCATCTGGCTTGGCGTCGGGCCCTAACAGCGCCTGGCGGATCAGCAGCTTGTTGCTGCGTGGATATTCGGCCTTCGCTTCCGGGTCCCATGTTTCAGACTGATGTGACGCTGACAATGTGACACCTAGGAATTTACCAATAAAGATGAATCACCAACACAAAGTAACCGTACAAACGAATTTTTTTGTCGAAATAAACGTTGCAAATTATGACTTAAATAATGGCGTTACTTATAAGGGCGTTCATGCAAGCAAACACTCGTGTTGATTTTAATGATCATAACCTCGAACCAAACAAATCCAAAATAAACACTTCAAAACTTTTGTATTGTAATTCAAGATTCATTAAGTGAGAGAATTCTAGAATGACAATGGTTCTGAGAAATGTGTTACTAAAGTTAAATGTCACATTCAGTGACGCTTGGACGCCATACTTTTGAATAACGCGGCTTTAGATACTTACAGCAAACGTAAATTATACAACTTTACATAAAATCAATACGATACGCCCACGTATGTACCACATCATTTGGAAAATACTTCCATCGCAAAATACGCCATTTCGATTAACAAAAAAATTAGCCATTTCCCATAGTTGAAAATGGCGGCAACACATAGAAAAAAGACAATTTATGAAATAACTTTTAAAACATAATATAATCTTACTCTGGTTCGTCTTACGTTGCAAATAGTAGTTAAGTGAAGAATTTATAGATAAATTTTAGTTGCGAAATAAAATGGCGAGAGCTGAGCCGGGTGTCAAACCCGACGCTGAAATTGTGATATAATTCTTCGTTTAAGTACTGTTCAAAATGAAAAAATAAGAACCCGAATATAATAAAAACCTTATGTAGATTGTAACGTACCATAGAAATATTCGTCCGACATGGTGATTTCACTAATTTATTGAGATTTTGCGACACGTTCACGTGCGATGCCGGCGCACACAAATCTGGAAAAAGATGTTGCCAGCTCGAGGAAGTAATTTTGCAAAAGACATAAAAAATTGGCATGACCCTTTTTTGCAGTATACTCCATGGACTTATTATTTATTTAATAAGTCCATGGTGCACTCCACAAAACCTACCGGCAACGAAAATGTTACTGATTATAAATTTCTTTATTGCCTTACACTTTGAGATACTCAAAAGCCCATAATCTGGAACAGAAATTGACTATTGAAATTGATTATAAGTAGTTACTGTTAGACGTTATTATTTTTATTATTAGGTATATTATTTTTTAAATATTATGTATTGTTTCACAGCAGGAAAACGAAAGGACGTGCTGAGGTAGTCTTCGATTAAACCAAAAAGCGTTTTTGGTTTTTTCCTTTTTGGTTTAATCTAAGGAGGTAGCCCATGAAAATTAAAACAGCGATTATATTTATCCTAGTCTCATACTATTATAAGCTTAGAGCATATATTATACGCTCGTCGTTTTGATTTATTTATTATAAATCAAAACGATCGCCGCATTGCGAATTTAGAAAAATACAAATGGCTAGCCTAGTTATGTGGTGAAAAAGTACATTGCAATTTTATAATCACTAGCTGACCCGGCGAACTGCATACCGCCTTTATAACAGTGTATAAATGTGGCTATCTTTTATATCCAGCTTAATTAAATTTAGGATAAGCGAAATAAGACAAATACAAAAACGTTCAATAATTTACTAGGATAATCTACAAATAAAACAAAGTCGTGTTAGTTAGAACACTTATAACTCAAGAACGGCTGGACCGATTTTTATGAATAATATAATGTTTTGGTATCCTCTCCGCCCCAAATAGAAGAATAACTATTGAAATATAGGAAAAATCACGGAAAATAGTAATGCAGAAAATCTATTTTCATTATATAAATTAGGTTTGGTATTCCGCCTTCTTCCACAATTGACAGCTCGCGTCACAATAGCACAAAGCTTATACCTACTGCAAATCTGTTCCTACAGTATAGATAGACGATCACTTTAAAGAGTGATTGTATAGATTGTAATTTAAAGAAAATATTCTAATTAAAAGACAAGTTGCAATACTAGCCTATATTTTGATAGAGATACGATGGTTGGATATAACTTCAACACTATAACAAAGTATCAATATCGCAGTTTTCATTTCATTATAACATAAATTTTACTCCATTGGGTTTAAGTTTCCAAAAATGTAGAACAATTCCTAATTTCCCAGGAAGTCTTAGGGTACTAAGAGATTAAGGGATGTCTGTGTTCGATGAATAGTTATTAGGCAAATACATGGTAAGCCCGGTCAATAATAAACCCCATTTTAAATTTCGCTGATACACTATTAAAGTATAAGATATTGAAATTTCATTTTCTCTATATAGGTAAAATGTGCTGATAAACTATTGATTTTTTTTGTAGTTGTTTTATTGCGGCTGAAAAATTATTAATTTAATTCGGTTTAAAATTTTGAAATGATTTATTTTTAATTTTTTAATCATTCATCGACTTTTGGGCGGTACAAAGTTCGGTATCAGCTAGTAAGATATAAAGAAAAGTTAGTTAAATAATGTTTTAACGTGATTTTTTTACCGGAAGCCCTAAATATAATTTTGGATATTATATTATATTACCAAAATATAAAAATACAAAATAATGGTGTCGATTCTAGCATAATTCTCTAAACCTAAACTTAAATTTGACAGCAGTATAACCTTGTCATTCTCTATACAAAATGAAAAGGAGAGACTGATGTTAAATTTAATTTTAAGTTTAGAGAATCACGCCAGTATTGGCACCAATGTTTTAGTTCACCAATGTAGTTTTGTAAAATTTAAATTCTATGCCCTTAGATTACCGATTCGATAAATTTTATGACCATGTGCTCGTCACTAAAATGAGAAAAAGAACAGTAATTAGTTCTTTCAAATTAAACTATTTTTTGTTAAACTTCATAGGAGGACTAATGTCAAAACGCACAGCGCGGTACCGAGAGAAAATTTTCGTCTCTGTTTGTCTTGCAATAATTTCCAACACCACTTTCTGTGTCATGCGTCGTCCGCTCAGATTTCTATAATTATGACAACGAAAGAAAATAAATTTAATCTATATATATAAAAATGAAACCCGTTTTCCGTTGTCACGACATAACATGAAAACGGCTTGACCGATTTGGCTGTTTTTTTTTTTGTAGTTTTCTAATACTCTGTACAAAGTTCTTACGGAAAAAAATATAAAGAAAATCCCAAGGGGATAAAATAAGGAATGAAAGTTTATCAATTTTAAACCGATCGGGCTGAGACTTTGCATGCAGGTATAAGAAGAATCATAGATGAATGTCATTGTGTATAATACAAGCCTGAGAACAAAAACTGTAGTCTACACTTCAGCTCTACACCGAAGCGAAGCGAGGGCGGGCCGCTAGTAATTAATAAAATCTAAAAACTTTCGAGTGAAAGGTTACACCATTAGTTTTATTTGTATTACTACCAGTAACGTCTTTGACCGATTGGAGGCCTTGGGCAAGACTAGGGATGTTTTTATTTATTTTTAAGCATTTAACTGAAAGAGGGGTCTGATTACTAGTATTGTTAATGCATTTTCGGAAGGTACGCGACGGTACATTTAATCACCAACGTTAAACTGTCACTATGTTCAGAAGAACACTGCTTAGACAATACATGATGAGATGGGAGTTCGCCAATTCGAGTGTAGACAGATTTCGGTGCGGTCAAACTATGGTAAACGAATATTTAACAACGATATTAAATAGCTTAGATACAAGATAGAACAAAACAATGGCCGTAGCATGTCCAAAAGGTACATTTGGCGATCCACGGAGCTCTGTAAGATGATCGCACAGTCAAAAACATTAAACGGCATTATTTAAACATTGAAAGTCAGCTGAGCAGAGATTCATTCCTAGAATGATGTGCGAGGCTATTGAGATTAAAAAATATGCAAATTTCAATAGGGAAGATGGTTGGTGTGTACCAACGGCTTGGGAACCCATTATACAGGAGACAAAATCCCAACCCCGAGCACACATTGCAAGACCAACAGAGACTATTAGTTCTTTTTGTTTGCATAATTTAACATAAAAAGGAGATAGAAAGCCTCTCTGAGTTTGTTTCGCCGGATCTTCTCAGAAAGGTCTCCCAATTTTGGAACCGGTGGTAGTTTACGGTAGTTAGGGTCAAATAAATAAACTCAAAATAACAAAACAGAATTTTAAATAAAGTGCTTTATTAAATAAATTAACTAATAAATTCATACATAGACAATAAAGTTTTAAAAATCTTCCAATGAAATATCCACAAAGTACATAGTGATGCTAGCGCATGAAATATCCGAACCCTCATTAAAAGTCTTTCGAAGGTAGCTCGACAAAGTGAATAAAAATAATTATTCTGACGATGCAGACCTGAAAAGGCTGCGAAACGTCAATAAATAAATAAAGTTCGTGTATTAACCCGTTAAAACTAGTTTTATTTAATGAGTGACGTGCGTGAAAACCTACGAAACAAAAAAAATTGAAAGTCACCTTTAATCCGTACTGTTTATACCGACCTTAAGGTCTTAATTAAAACGCATGCGTCAAAGAGATATGACAGTTGGAAATGCGAGCTCGTAAAATTTTACGACTTATTGCTATATGAGGAAGAATATGGACCTTATTCTTGTGAATCTAAGTGTAGTTCTGAATGTGCTGTTAGCAATATAGCAGGTACGGACCGTGAGGAAAAGAGACGGCTATACGGCGACCGGGGACGTATAACCGACCATGCATTTGAATAACACAAATTATTATATTTAAATCAGTTTATAGTAGAACTACATTTGCTTCAACTGCGTCAACTTAACAAACATTGATTAGGCATTTTGACTTTTCAACGGTCCTCTCGTGACTGTGAATCAAGAAGTGCTTGAGTGGATTTCAAGCACATCTTGATTTGGACACATTTTGAGCACTCGTGGTGTATCTAGGGTATTTAATATCGTTGATTCATATATACATATTTTTATTCTGATATTTAACGATTCAAATCTTTGCATGACATGACATTTTTGAATGTAGTCTTAGAGGGGCTGCCAGATTTATTTATTCTGGTGTGACCAGATTATTAACTCTGCAAATTTATAGTGGTTCTATAACTAAATTTCGCCATCGGTAGTTTTCCAATTACAGAGCATAATGCGACTTAGTGGCGCACGATGCCGAATTATGCTGATGCTTAATTGAAATATGAATTAGTTTTCAAATGTACCAGTACAGTGCGATAAATTCAGCGTTGAAAAAGAAATTATAGAGTTTGCAATAACCTTATTAATGTGTCAATAAAGTGGTATACATTTACGTTAATTTTCTGTCATTGAGTTGGTATCGATTGCACGCATCACACGAAAACATTCGGCATTGTGTGCCACTGAGTCGCATTATGTTCTGTTATTGGAAAACTACCAATTACTTACGAAAGTACTAGATTTTGCGAAGCTTTGCTGTAGTTGTAAAATTCAACGTTAAGTATTATGCCGCATAATGCGCTCTAGTGCTGTAATTGGAAAACTTCCATCGTGCAGTTGCATTTCAACCATCGCGTGGCCATTTTACTGGGCCAGCTCAGGCCCATCGTGTAGAGGTGGCAAAAAAATTGTACTCTTGCATGGTCAGACAAAATTAAAAAAAAAAACTGGACGCCGGCAGCCATATTTGATTTGCTTTTGCTTGGGTTAACTTTTCGAAGACAGTAAGCTAAAAACTAATATTGAGTGCGAACAAAAAATAAGTGCATATATTGTTGTGAAACACAGAAGTATTAACTGTTTATAAAAAATAAATAAATATTATAGATTTCCATGATTGCTTCGTTTCTGAACTTGGAAGCGGATTGTTGACGTAGGTAAGTGCTTTCTATGAACGAATATTCATGTAATCATTTAAATTTTCTCTAGTTCACTATAGGCAGAAGAGAAAATTCCGAAAGTAAGTTATTCTACGCAATCTATTGAAACATTTTTACTGTGTCATAATTTTAACCTAACTCGCTATGGCGAGAGTGGCGGGAAATCGGGAATTCATTGTGCATTGGTCAGAGCTGCCAACCGACGAAATTTCTTATTTATGATTACCGTCTGCTGTTAACGGAACAGAGATGTCGATTACCCTTTATTTCCTAAAATTCTACCCCCGTTATTCAATAAACGAGGAATAAGCTTGGACTTGTTACGCCATGTTTTTTTTTGCTCTCATGCCTTTTGTCATTCTATGGACAGAGAAAATGGTCTAACTAATCCAACTCTAGTCCACGTTATTTAATTAGAGGATACATGTGTAACCATTGATTTATGTTCGCTATCCACTTTCCACTGGAACCAGACCCCCCTTTTATACCCCCTGATATACCGTTGGATTCTTCGCCGATGCTGAAAGTTATTAACCTATCAGGTGAAGAATGCAAAGTTCCAACAGATATTGATTTCAATAACAGAAAAAGGCATGCGGTACCATCTCCTGCATTGGAAAATAATCTACCCACTATACTTTATCAAAAAACTGTTGGGTTATTGCTATATGTACAATTTGAAAGATTTACAGGCTGGGGGGCTGATTCCTACGTATGTTCTAGAGAATATTGTAAACAATTTGAAATTCATACTGCCACAAATTCTGTCTGCAGTTTTTATTGCCAGATACTTATGTCAAAAGCAAAAAACATTAACTTGCTTATTGGCAGTAATTGTAATAAATAGATAATAATCAATTATTTAATTATAGTAAAAGGCTTCCTTTATTAGGATATGAATTATTTTGGATTTTTTGACATACTCCAAGCAATGGCCGAACATGCGTTTTTAAAGAACCAAAAATAAAATCATTCTTATCTACAAGCTTATCATGGATATTAATAATATTTTCATTATTTTTTTAAGACAAGCAACACCTGTTTGCGTGGAGTATGTAAAAAAAAACAAAAATAATTCATTTAATAAATCTAAGAGGATAATAGGCACAATTGTGTGAAAATGGAGATATCATCATTTATTATGCAGACTCCATACAATTTTGAATGTGCTGTTTACGATTATAAACTTGAAAATTTAATAAATGAGGCATATACTAGGTATTCTCAATTGTTTCCAAGCAAATAAGGCGGCACTAGAAAAAAATAATTTGAATGCCTTTGAAACGCGAATTTTAGTGCACTGTGTGCCGTGCAGGGTCCCCAAGCATATCAAAACTGTAACGTTTGTGATTTAGCAGTATCTATACATTATACGAGGTAAAAATCACGTACAGTTTGATATGAGATTTGAACAATGTTGACTGTTTGTGTTATGTACACAAACCAAATATATTATCAGAAAGATAATAAATGTCCAGTACACAAAAGATCGTATCAGTAAGTACAGATTCATTATGCCATCACTAAATGCATCCTTATTCTTATCATCGTAGCATGACCTCGAATCATGTATTATACGATACTTCTAAATCTCGAACTCATACGTTTGGCAACCCTGCGCGGCGCGACTTCCCCTGCGACAACACAGATCGTCGGATAGCACCTTAAGGTGGTTGGCGGGCTTCCAGTAGATAGGTTACAAACGTGCTTGCGTGGGGGGTCTACTCTTTTTCTCCAAAACGAATTTTCTACAACGAATGAAGTTAAATTCGTCTTAATTTCGTTCAATTTGAGTTTTTTGAACGAAAATCTTATCAAATTTAATATTACGTTGAGTACAGGAGTGGGTGAGCCATATAGAATGTGAACCTAAATTTATTTTCAAGCCAACAAATTATTTTTATATTCAGAAATAAATAATAAACATAGTATGTAATGTGCGAAGTTTCAGTCGAAATTTAATTTTTGTTGAATAATTCAATTAGCTATTAATTGTGAAGACTTCCTGTATTGGTGATTCCAAAATAAACCTATAAATAGCGGTTTAGAATGTAAACAATACGAGATAATCCTTCTTCAAAATACTTACCAATAGTTTTAAAAGAACGGTCTCAAGGAATAAAAACGTAATAATTAGGTTCTTATGTACTTATGGTCCAAATGATTTGAAAATTATAAGGTTTCCAAGCCCTGTTAAATAATATTTAGCAGTTAAATATTTAAAATAAAAATATTATAAACAAATATGTTGATTTATAGTCTAATTGGTAGTGGACCCCTTTCAAAATCTCTGCGATTGTGTTGCATAGCGTTTTACTGCTAATGCTTGGTGCTGCCATGCGAAATAAATCTGCTCTGTACTACTTTACTATTTAATTAACTTTAATCGCCCATTGGTGTCGATTCTGGAATGATTCTCTAAACTTACCATCAGTCTCTCCTTCCCTTCTCCTGTTAACTAAATATAACACTGGTTTATCCTTTACATTCTATTTAGAGAATGACAAGGATACACTGTTGTCAAATTTATATTTAGGTTTAGAGAACCATGCCAGAATCGAAACCAATGTATGCTTGTACTATATCCTCCTTATTAATAAAACAAGGAATAAGCTTGAACTAGTTACGCCGGGTTTTGTTCATGTCACTCAAATGCCATTTTTCATTCAATAAACAGACAAAACATAGAAGTAACCTATCTGAGCGTAGTCTTCGTTTATTAATAAGGGGGTTTGAGACGATATTCTGAATCCATGTGTGATAAGAACTATTTTTGAATGCTTGGATTATTTTAATAGAGCACTTGTCACACATATTGATGCATGCTTTAAACGAATTTAATTGTAATCTGTTTTTCTTTATTAATTTTATATTTCAAATTATGTGATGGAAGGCGACTACATGAATTATCTTATAGGTATTGAAGGCATTTTTCAATTTATTGTCTCAATATTTAACGATAATACGGGGAAATGAAAAACAGCCCCTGAGTTTCAGGCCGGTTCTTCACAGTACAAGGTCTTTCGCTGTGAAATCTGATGGCATAGCTTCCAACATTAATAATTGCACATAACAGCCTAAACTTTCAAGATTAATTTAAATAAAATATACACGTTATACAGTGGATTTCATTTATTACGACCTTGGTTGTAGTGACCATTTGCCTATATATAATTTAAAGCAAACATAAGTATGTATGTACAAAATTCATATAATGGCTGTAGCATGTAGCGACCTTTTTTAATGAATAATTAGTAACAAATGCTAGAAATCCCATGCAGATATTTCAACAAAGATTTCTTTCTTTCATAAACGTTTATTATCTTTTGTTCACATTTACCTGTATTTTTGTTTATAAATATCAGCAAAGTAGGTAAGTAAACATGTACTTTTCGGTTCCCATTCAACAATATCTAGGATATGGAAAAACCATGTTAAAATATTAGGATGCTTTGAATTCAAATCCATAAAACTTAAGAAAATAACCATGTGTGCAAATATTTTCAACAATATATAATATGTATGTGTCTGTGTCTCTTTACCTTTGCCTGTAACAACTTCTGGATATAACCTCGAAATATGGATTTCTTAAATCTATATGAATATACATAAATAAAACAAAGTTGTGTTAGTCAGAACATTTACTGACTCAACAACGCCTGATCCGATTTTGGAATGCTATTGATGTAAAGCAATATCAGAAAAAATCTTTTAGATGGAATTAAATGCTATGACAGTAATCGCATATCGGTAGAATTAATGATTTATCAAGATGCAAATAGCTTTCTTATCAACCCTATATTACCCATGAAGTATTCAGCCAGCATTCCAGAATTTGATGTTACTTGTATGGGAATGCTCAGCGATGTGCCCACAGAATGGTCAGTCAAAAAATTAGTCATCATCCCTATTATGTATTCTATCCGTTACCCTAGTATCCCATAGTACAAGCCTTACAGTGCTTATTTTGGGAGGTATATTACCCTAGCGTAACAATTTCATAAGTCCATATCCTAAGGTATATAGTATTTTGTTGCTATTTTGTGCCGCAAGAATTGATTTTGTTGCTCCAAGATTTCTCCGAAAAACGCCTGTTACGCTAGCGTAATATTACGCTAGCGAAACCACAGCGATATCTCGGAGGCAAAAGCAGTTAGAGATATCAGATGAACGGCATATTTTGTTGCTATTTTGTTGCTGTAAGATAAGCTGGTTAGATATGAAAAAATATGCTAACTACCCTTATTCTTAGATATCTCAGATTTTTCGTATCTCGTGAACTAAAGCAGCTAGCGGCACGAGACAAACGGCGTATTTTGTTGCTATAAAATAGGCATGCTGCGTACATCACAATCACAACCCTTATCGAGGTATGACCAACCCCCGACCCCAAGACACCAGATATTTCGTATCTCGTGAGCTAAAGCAGCTAGCGACCCGAGGCCAACGGCGTATTTTGTTGCTATAAGATAGGTATGCTGCGTACATCATAATCACAACCCTTATCGGGGTATGACCAACCCCCGACCTCAAGACACCAGATATTTCGTATCTCGTGAGCTAAAGCAGCTAGCGACCCGAGACCAACGGCGTATTTTGTTGCTATTTTAATGCTGTAAGATAAGCTGGTTAGATATGAAAAAATATAAGCCCATCATGGAGGGCTAACTACCCTTATTCTTAGATATCTCAGATTTCTCGTATCTCGTGAATTAAAGCAGCTAGCGGCACGAGACAAACGGCGTATTTTGGTGCTATAAGATAGGCATGCTGCGTCCATCATAATCACAACCCTTATCGGGGTATGACCAACCCCCGACCACGAAGACGCCAGATATTTCGTATCTCGTGAGCTAAAGCAACTAGCGACCCGAGACCAACGGCGTATTTTGTTGCTATTTTAATGCTGTAAGATAAGCTGGTTAGATATGAAAAAATATAAGCCCATCATGGAGGGCTAACTACCCTTATTCTTAGATATCTCAGATTTCTCGTATCTCGTGAATTAAAGCAGCTAGCGGCACGAGACAAACGGCGTATTTTGGTGCTATAAGATAGGCATGCTGCGTCCATCATAATCACAACCCTTATCGGGGTATGACCAACCCCCGACCACGAAGACGCCAGATATTTCGTATCTCGTGAGCTAAAGCAACTAGCGACCCGAGACCAACGGCGTATTTTGTTGCTATTTTATTGCTGTAAGATAAGCTGCTTAGATATGAAAAAATATAAGCCCTTCATGGGGGGCTAACTACCCTTATTCTTAGATATCTCAGATTTTTTGTATCTCGTGAACTAAAGCAGCTAGCGGCACGAGATAAACGGCGTATTTTGTTGTTATTTTGTTGCTGTAAGATAAGCTGGTTAGATGTCTGGTGTCTTCGGGGTTGGGGGTTGGTCATACCCCGATAAGGGTTGTGATTATGGTGTACGCAGCATGCCTATCTAATAGCATTAAAATAGCAACAAAATACGCCGTTGGTCTCGGGTCGCTAGCTGCTTTAGTTCACGAGATACGAAAAGTCTGAGATATCTAAGAATAAGGGTAGTTAGCCCCCCATAAGGGCTTATATTTTTTCATATCTAACCAGCTTATCTTACAGCAACAAAATAGCAACAAAATATGCCGTTTATCTGATATCTCTAACTGCTTTTGCCTCCGAGATATCGCTGTGGTTTCGCTAGCGTTATATTACGCTAGCGTAACAGGCGTTTTTCGCAGAAATCTTGGAGCAACAAAATCAATTCTTGCGGCACAAAATAGCAACAAATTAGCAACAAAATACTATATACCTTAGGATATGGACTTATGAAATTTTTACGCTAGGGTAATATACCTTATTTTGGGGCTAGGCTAATTGGTGTGAGTGTTGTAAATATTTGTTTATTTATGTGGTAGCGATGTCGGGCGGGCGACTGGTGGTGCTGGACCGGACTGGGCAGCGGGTGAAGCGGTACCCGCTGGGCTCGGGGCTGGCGACGCTGGGCAGCCACCCGCGCTGCGACATCCGCGTCATGCTGCCCAGCGTCTGCGAGCACCACGCCACCGTCGTAGTGCACGCCACTCAGGTCTGTATGCTTGCTATATACTAAATTAACCATCAATTTGTTATGTGACCGTGGCCCGCCCACAAGGAACGGAATGGGCTACGGGCTTAGATTAAAACAAAAAGGTTAGGTACGGTACGCTCATACTTGCATCAAACAAAAACTGATCCCACGGCAGCCCGAACGGGACGGCGAAATCCGCGTCACTGCATTACCGACCCGAACGAAACAGCACGTTAAGTTTCAACGACAGCGCGAACGAGACGGCGAGACCCGCGTCACTGCACTACCGACCAATCACGCGACCAGCACTCGACGTCACTACCGAATAAGATTTAAAACAAACAGCAATTTTTATGAAAAAATATATTTTATAGTACTTACGAATGAAAAGTGATGCCGTGGGTTTTTTTTAGTTCTTGAGCAATTTGAGCACTTTTTTAAAAACACACTTAGGCATTGTTTTATCATATAAACACAAAATATTAGCAATATTTCTTTTTGGCGTTCACATGTACGTCGTTTGCATGTCAAGTTGTAACTAAAGCGATTAGGGTCGTGGACCACAATTTATGCGGATCACTTTTGTGAGGCTAGTGCCGTATCTACCCTTTTTGTTTTATTCTAAGGCTACGGGTACTGTAAAGACTTCGAGCTCCCCGGGTACCACGACCGCGTCTACAATAGTTAGGTAAGAGGATTGGCGCTGGGGGCCAACGACAAGCTTTCGAGCACGTCAAGAATGAGACTGCAAATTGTGGTGCCAAAGTGTAAATTGACTCATTAAGACACGTGCACTAGGGGTCATCCATAAACTACGTCACACGAATTTCATGACTTTTTGCCCCTCCCCCCGTCCTTGTCACAGCTGGTCACATTTATGAGACTCCCTAGTGTGACGTCACATATTTTACAAAATTTAGAAATTATTGAATGTAAACAGCGGATCTGAAATTAGTTTTATTTTCATTCAAATTTGTTTTTTAATAATATTAACATCAAATCCAACAATTTAACAAAACAAATATGAATAGCATTATGATTACATTAAAGATACAAACTTAATAATCTTGAGTCCATAATAGACATTGAGCCCGCTTCTTTAAATTATTTATAACAGGCATAGCACCACTTTGTTCTCGTTTGGGTTGTTTATGGTTTCGTAAAGTTATAGTTTCAACATTTCGATTATAATAGATTTTTAAATGTGACGTCACGAAATTTAGGACCCCTCCCAGCCCCTTGTCACACAATGTCACACTTCATCGACCCCCTCCCTCCCCCTTAACGTGTGACGTAATTTATGGATGGCCCCCTACGATCCTGCTCAAGGGCACCTGGGAATGAAGAAGACTAGATCCATGGGAAAGGACCTTGTAGAGAGGACGCTTCTGCTTGAGACACTGTCGAGTTGACGTCGAGGACTAGTGCAGGGAATACAATACATCAGGGCATGTTTACCGGTTAATTTTCAAACCTAAATCAGTGTCAAGTACATAAGGAGCGTTTTATTTAGGTTTGGCTCTACCGGTTTAAGGTTAACCTTAAAAAAAACGGTTTTCCTAAATCATCGGCATCGATAATAAATGAATAACTTGACTCACTAGACGCTAGCAAACGTGTCAGTAAATGCACCAATCTGCATTAACAAGTTGTGACTTGATAGTTCAAACAAAACAAACTTCAACCGATGCCGACGCGTGCACGTGTCGCTCTGGATTAAACCGGTTTATTAAGGTTTTTGGGTACCGCTTTCATTTCGGACGCGCTCCGAACGAAACCTTTACTAAAAACCGGTATTAACCTTTATTTACCGGTATATTCGAAACCGGTTTCAAGCCCTGCGTATTGCACCTTAGTTAGAGGGCCTCGGATAGATTCATGGGGAAGGACCCTATACAACAACGCTCTTGAATGGTAGCGTTTTAATTTTTAATAATATTTATTTGCCAAAATTGTGTATACAGTGTGTCTTCATAAAGTGCACAAAGTAAATACAGTACACAAATTGGGGATACTATGCTTAATTTTGAGGATGGAAAAAATAATTTAATAAATCGTCAATTTTTTATACAAATTTTAAAAACCTTGCTTCCTATGGTGACCTCCTTGTTTACAAAACGGTATAACTTTTAAATTCAACAATCAATCACGATGATAGAAACTTGTTGATGATTGAAAATAACAGGGGTCTTTTTTATGAAATGACAATTACGGTAAAAAAGATGTTCTTAATTATTAAGGTATGTTTTGAGAGAAAGAATGAAATTTTCAGTTTTTCTCAATAAAACGCCTATTTTATGTAACTTTATTATTACTTTAAATAATCTACATCATTTTAGCTATTTAATGGTGAAAATATCACATTTATTACTCAATCACAACGATTCCTATCGACTATTACATTAAGGCGCTCCAGACTCTCCATTATTACTCCTCTATGGAGGCGGTTGTTTGTGTTTATAAATATACACAAGAGTTCAATCAAAATCATTTATTATTTTACATCAAAATTAGTCCTTCAAAATATTAACATTCAGTCACAAAATATCTGCTAATACATATGGCCGTATACAGAAAGAAAGCCGAAAGCCGATCGGCGCCGATCAGCGCTGATCCTTTTTCTATGGACCAGCGCCGATCGGCGCCGATAAGCGTCGATAAGCGCCGATCGGCGCCGACTCGCGCTGGTCAGCTGCAATTTTAAATTAATAAACAACGACAACAGGTACGTCAATTACTACACGCTATTATTTTTTAAGTAGAAAAATGGATAATGACATTTTGATATCCTTAGTATTCACTAAACAACCTCTGTGGGACAAAACCGACAAAAGGCACTGTAATAGATACGTGGTTGACAAATGTTGGAAAGAAATAAGCGAGGCCATGAATGAAGACGGTGAGTATGTATTAATTGATTTTGTTTTAGTTTGTCGACTTACATAAAGTTAGTGAACATTTAAATCGGTTAAATATTACAACTTCTTTATTTAAATATTACCTATGTCTTAAGAGCCCTTCAACGATATTAAATACCCTAGATACAACCTCACGAACAAAATCGTGGCCGAAACCTGTCTAATAGGTACATTGGACGATCCACGGAACTAAGCACGGAGTAAATTGATCGCGTAGTGAAAAACAATATAAGGCATTATTTAATCATTGAAAGTCACCTTTAATGCATACTTTTTAAGGTCTTAATTAAAAAGTATGCGTCAGAGTTATGACAGTTCAAAATGCAAGCAAGGTAGAATTTTACGAATTTATTGCTATATGCGGAAGAATATACACCTTATTCATTTGATTTTACGCGCAGTTCTGAATGCGCTATTCGCAATGTAACAGATACGGACCGTGAGGAAAAGAGACAGCTATATTACCGACCATGCATTTCAATATCACAAATATTTTCTATTAAATCAGTTTATAGTAAGTATTAGAACAAAATTTGCTTCCAATGCGTTAAATTAACAAACGTTTATTAGATACATGTCGAGAAAATGACACTTTAGTATTTATTTCGCATTTTTTCACGGAGCTCTGCGAAATCTCGACTGTCCAACGGTCCGCGCGGGGTTTAAACGCCGTGTTTCATGGTGTCGCCGACTCGAGAGGTCCCGGGTTCGAATCCCGGTGAGGACAGATGTTTATGTAATGAATATGAGCATATGTACTCCAGTCATGGATGTTTATTATTTATTTCTATATAAATATACTTATCGATGTAACACAAGCCTGATAGTGCTTACTTTGGGGCTAGGCTAATTGGTGTGAGTGTTGGAAATATTTATTTAGTATATCCAGCCGGTTTACGATAAATGCACTCCAAGAATTTGTGACGCGTGCGACATAAAATGTCATCATAGATACCTCGAAGGGCGTTGGCGCCGTACTGATCGGCGCCTAATTGTCGAATTATAAATAATTTGTATTTGAATTATTATCCTTAGATTAAATCAATCTAAGTTATAATCTTTTTATAAATCTAATAACTTTATCTTTTATTAACTAAGCGCTAAAATTATTTGTTTCGTACTTACCGAATGGTGACAACAAGTCTTTCTTCTGGAAGGATTGGTTGTTTATACCAATTACACCAATTCTTCATCAAACGGTTTTCCACTAAATCCAAAATGTAATTAAATGTTTTTTTAGTCATTCTTGCATATGCATAAAATCTTTGATCATCAAATTTCAATTCTTTAACAAATAAATGATGGTATTCTCCGAAACGTTTCCTTTCTCTATTTATAGGATGTATACCTGTTTTTCGCATTTTTAAATAAACATTTCCTAACAAAACCAAATCATCGTCCGATGAGTCCGACATTTTGCTTGATCTGCTTTAATCGGCTTCCTTTATGTAGGAAGAATCGGCGCCGATAAGCGCCGATCGGCTTTCGGCTTTCTTTCTGTATACGGCCTATGAATGGCACATAGCTGTGCGCTTGAATACCTACCTATCTTTAAAAATTTATAAAAAAATACGTGTGGAGAATAAGGACTGTATTTTAATTATTATTAGAGAAAATTAAACAGTGGTGGCAGTGACAAGGTGAAGCAATCTATTTTAATGTCAAAGAATAACAAACTCAATAAAAAAAGTAGCAAAAACTCATAGACAAAACATAGTGATATGGTCCCCTTTTTTTATTGGAAATGCGATCAGCTTCTTAAGCAGGGTAAGTAACCCTAAGTTTTCACTTTTTTTTTTGCGACCGCGTCTAAACATCAAAATAGAGTAACTAAATGTATTTAACTTAACCAGGCGTGGTGTTTTTTTCTTTAAAACCACTCAAAAGCGCTTAAAATAGTCTGAATACACGGCATTTTTTTTTTAAGACAAAAAACGGCGAACGATGAACTTTGACAGATAACAGTATAAATATTTCATATGGCAGTTGTTTTAATCAATGGCTTGGTAGCTAGCCCGTTTTTTCCTCTAAAAATTGATATAAGAATGTAGGTAATAGCCAAATTAATGCCCCATGGGACACCAGTCCGACTTTCGTATGGTAAATCGACCGACTTTTGGTCAAGGGCCGCATGTCGGGGTAATGTCAGAAACCAAAAGTCGGTCGATGGCCGCCTCAGAGGCCTTCGCAGAATTCCTGATGGAGTGGAGACGTCTGCTACCCGAATTACACCATCCTTCCCTGGGTAAACGGCTGAGATCCGACCTCTTGGTTTAACCATGTCGCCGACTTTAAGAGTTGGTACATTTCCTGGAACTCGCCTCGGACAAAGAGTTGGCAAATATTCTTTAATCCACCGTTGCCAGAATATGTCGGCCATTGCCAACGTTCTACGCCAGCCTTGCCTGCTGCAGAGATCTGATGGCTGTAGTGATGCAGGAAAATACGGTTGGATTAGAAGCGTGCTATTTTTATGTATCTAAAGCTGATATGATGTAGAATAACTTAATTTATATAAACTGCGATAATGATCCAATGCCTTAAAAAAGTAACCGCTTAACTGTTAATTGAGGGCATTTTGTCCTTAACATTCGTTTTATGAGAATGCTCTTTTATGAGTTTCTTTCATCGTAATGAGGACTACCGTTTTCTGTCTCACCAGATGGCGCCACTGTTGAGTGAGGTCCTAAATTGTAACTTTTAAAGTTTATTAATACGCACATGAAATCAAAGGCTACATTTAGATCGTATTTTAACACAAAAGAACCATATCCTTAACATAATAGGCCATGCCACAGTGACGCCCAGTTCCGTTTTATTCGGAAAAAATGGGAACATAATCATTTTTCTAAGCTCAAATTTTTAATAACTGACATTCATTGCCACATAACTCATATTTGCCATAATTAAGCCGAATTGTTACCAATTATTCACAACATTATTTTAATTAGAAATAAACCCGCGTAGTCAACCAACAAGCAATAACATTTGACATTTCGGAGACCTCACGCTACACTAGCGCCTCTAGCGGCGGATTCATACGCGATAGCCCTCATTGGTCGTTTAGTTTAAAAGTTATACCGATTTGTTTACAAGGAGGTCACTAGCAAAAATCATCTTTTTTTTTGTTATTTTTTCCGACGGTAAAATTAAGCATAGTATTCCCAATTTTAATATGTGCACTTTATAAAGACACACTGTATAATTGGATGTTATTTTTTTTTCATCAATTTCTGCCATCACTGACTTGCAAATATAAAATTAAAAATATCTATCATATGCATATAAACTTAGAAATCACATATCATACAATTAATAGGATAAAAATAGGATATAAATATATGATTATCGGTATAACAATTTTATTATTATTAAAACGAGTGTTATTTTCAACAAGTTTGGGTGTTATGATTTTATTTATTTTTTAAGCATTTAACTGCTAGATGTTTAAATCTAAAGAAAAGTTTACTAGAAAAAAATCCACGCGGACCAGGCAGCGGACGGGACTCGAACCCGCATCCTTCGCTATCCGGGCGAATGCACTGACCATTATGCTACCACGGCCCTATTAGCCGCGTCGAAATTTTCCTAGCCTTAAGCTGCAAGGCAGCGCCAACTCTTCGCCATTTTTTTCTAGTAAACTTTTCTTTAAGTTTGGGTGTTTTGTCGTAGACCGTGGTCCGGAACGTGGGCACTGGTTCGACGCTGGTTAACGGGCAGCCCGTGAGTGTGGCGGCTCTGCATCACGGCGACATCATCACCATCTGCGAGCGACACCTGCGCTGGGAGTATTCCCAGCCCCGGAGCGCCCGCCCGCAGTCGCAACTTCACCCGGGTAATGTACCCATACACCACTCAACTTTTTTTTTTTGTTGAAGTTCTCCTGTTTTAGGGAAGGCAAAGGGAACAATGCCCATACAGCCTGATCTTTAATAAAATTAATCTTCTTTTTGTTTTTACATTAGAATGTCAGTGTGACGCATTCTAATGTTTCTTGGAGTGTTTGGCACGAAATGTATCGAGTTGGCTTTTTCGATAAGCTTCTGTGAGGTAGTCAACACTACAATAAAATTCTCACGTCCACTTGACCGGAATAGCGTATATTTTAATGATTCCACTAATTCTTCAGTTACGCAGACGGTTGTTACACAAAACCACACCAATTTTATTTCACAATATCCACTATGAACGAATTTAAGAATAATTTAAATAAGACGCCAAGCGCACTCGATGAAATCCCGCCAAAAACTTCTCAACTTTTTTTTTCTTTTTGCCTAAACAGTAGGACACGGCCAAGGGCGGATCCAGCTTTGGGGGGGGGGGGGGGTCATATAGCCAGCTTTTGCGCCAGGGGGGGGGATCATATAGTCGTGGTATATTAAATATTGAAAGTACTTAAATAAAATCCCCCTGGGTTTGGTCCATCTGTACCCAGCCCAGGGGGGGTCATGACCCCCATGACCCCCCCCCCCCCCCTGGATCCGCCCTTGGACACGGCATTCCTAAACTTTGTTAAACCAGTTTTTTATATAGTCACTAGCTGACCCAGCGAACTTAGTACCGCCATAAAAAAATAAAGGTTGGTGGTAGAAGGGTGAAAATTTAGGATTGTATGTATTTTTGAACGATGTAACATAAAAAAGTTAAAGAAAAATTTTGGGACGGATAACCCTTAACATTTAGGGGGATGAAAAATAGATGTCCGATTCTAAGACCTACCCAATATGCACACAAAATTTCATGAGAATCGGGAAAGCCGTTTCGGAGGAGTTTAACCACAAACACCGCGACACGAGAATTTTATATATTAGATAATTTTTATATTATTTGCATTTGTAATGGACATGACATGAAGTCACTTTAGGAGTTACCTCATATTGAAGTCATTTTTCAATTTGACGACTCTGTATATAATACAGGGAGAAAAAAACAGCCCTTGCTGAGTTTCTTGCCGGTTCTTCTCAGTACAAGGTCTCCCGCCGTAGATTTGCGAACCGATGGCGTAGGCCTAAGGGGACCTCAAGCCGAGAATTGGCGAGTGCCTCTAGAGGTATTCCAGGCGGACGGCGTCTCCCCACGGGGGGAGTCTCCTCTCCGTCTGGAGCCTCCAGACCACTCGAACCTGAGGGGGTCGGCTCAACTAGAGGGCGTCTCTGAGACTCGGACCTCGGCTCTAGTTAGCCGTTGTCGTGGGGGGCACACTGAACTGCGTTTTTCTTTTTTTCCTCCCAGGCGGGGGAGCGGGTGAGAAATCCTCATGGATACCCCACAGCCGGCTGCAGGGTTATGTCAGACTCGTACTGACTAAAAAACACCCGTTGGGACTGCCTCTGGCCGGGAAGGCCTTTAAGGCTTCATCGGATGCGATCGTCCCCTGAGAAGGGGACGATGCAGCGCTGCCTAGTGATAACTAGCACATATGCATTACGCAGCGGCTCCCTATTGGAGCACGCCCGTATCGGTTTTGTGAGCTGCGGAAGGCCGCTCGCAATAGGGTGGGCATTACAATAGCCAGAGGGGCTGCTGTCGGCCGTCGCCTACTAAGGGACGGGGGTGCGGTCGTCGCTATTACATTTAACTGAGAGGAAACTCCGTTCCGACTTAAACAAGCCGTTAAGAGTACATCGGGGGCCTAGTGGCGCGCGCTCTCGCTTTTATATATAAAAATTAATAATAATAATTTTATTTTCAATAAGTTGTTACATCATGAACACATTAATTAATCAAATTCTTCAAGTTTTTAAACAATCGTAGATACATAACAGGGATAATAAAAGGTGTATTTTTTTTTGTTCTTTTTTTTTTTGACTAAACGTAACAATACTGTAGCATTTACTGTGGGTCCCACACTAGGAGAAACCTGTATCGTGGGCACCCTAATATAATAAATAGGATGGCGTTACATTAATAATTTATATGTAATTATTATTTGTAACAAAACAAACGTAATGAAACCAATTATAAATACTAAATTAAAATCAATATTGTATGTATGTGTATGTCTGTCTGTGTGTGTTTGCGTGCGTGTGTGTGTTGGTGTGTGTGTATGTGGAGAAGAATAGAGAATATAAATCATAATCTTTATTTGCTAAAAACACGGTATATAGGTATTACACAACGGTTTGAGCACGTGTTTTGCCATTTTAAAAATAGCATGCAAATACATAATATGGAACCTATAAAAAAAAAGAGATTAATTTATTATAACATTTTTCTGTAGAATTATGAATGTCAGAGTTACCTAATATTATGTCAATAAAATATACAATGTCAACATATTAATATTACAAGATTTCTAAACGTCAGATATAAAAAAAAAAAAAACCACTTCACAACGTAATACTTTCTTCTGCTAACAATATAATCTCAATTGTGCAGTGCTGTACACGGCTGGAGGCGAGACGGGGGCGGGGTCAGGCAGGCAGGTCCGCACTCGCCGGCGCGGCAGCGCGGGGGGCGCGCCCACTCCGCGCTCGCCCTCCCTGCAGCTGGCCCTGGAGCTGCAGCACCGCGCCTCCACGCCCGGTAACGTATCCTTGTTGATGTGTACCAAATTGCCCCTCGCTTTCCTGCGATGCACATCTGAAATTGAGTATTGTAAAAAGTTTAATGTAAAATATTTCGTCGATTAGTTATAATGAATGTATATGAAATGAATAAATATATATTTATATATGTATATTATTTTCATTAATTTGTTAATTTACCCTTTCATACAGCATCAATTGTTTTTAAGTTAAATAAACTCTTTTTGCGTCTGGTTAGACTATCGAACTTAAGAAGTAAACTCCAGTCGTGCGTCGGAGCTGACACACACATTTTTTTTTCTTTTTTTTTTTCATTTATTGGGAATAGTTAACAACTATACATTACCAATATGTAAAATAGTATTACTGTTAATTTGAATAACAAACATGCAGTCAAATACACTATCCACAGCTTACACAATAAGTCTTTGCAATTTATAGTGAGATGCTAAGCAACAACAGATTAAATAGGCACCTATAATAATCACTTAAATATAATTGGGTCATATTGGCGCCCACTCCGCGCTCGCCCTCCCTGCAGCTGGCCCTGGAGCTGCAGCACCGCGCCTCCACGCCCGGTAACGTATGCTTGTTGATGTGTACCAAATTGCCCCTCGCTTTCCTGCAATTTATAAGAGTGCTTTCATGAAATGGGACGGAAGTGTGTGACAGGTAGTCGCGAAAGCGCGCGCTATTGCTTGATTGGAATTTAGAACATAACTAGCTGACTAGGCGAACTTCGTACCGCCCAAAAGTAATAATTTGCAATAAATTAAAATTGCGACTATAATTTGAGATTTAAACTATCCTATCTCTCAAGTTGGATCGAACTGCACATGGTGTGCGAATTTTATTATAATCGGTTCAGTGGTTTAGGAGTCCATTGAGGACAAACATTGTGACACGAGATTTATATATATTAAGATTATAATTTCTATTATTTTAAAGCATGTAACTGCTTGATGTTTAAATCTAAAGAAAATATAACTAGAAAAAATTCCACGCGGACCAGGCAGCAGACGGGACTCGAACCCGCACCCTTCGCAATCCGGGCGAATGCACTGACCAATTATGCTAATTTCGAAATTCGAGAATTTCGACGTGGTCCGTGAGGGCCGCGGTAGCATAATTGGTCAGTGCATTCGCCCGGATTGCGAAGGGTGCGGGTTCGAGTCCCGTCTGCTGCCTGGTCCGCGTGGAATTTTTTCTAGTTATATTTTCTTTAGAAAATAATGTTCAAATGGCTTATTCCTTTTGTAGTAGGTTTTATTTCTTTTTTTTTACTAATATAAGTTGAGGTTACAAATGTTACACATCATACGCGACTAGTGTAAGGCTCGCTCGTTTTTATTTTACTTTTATAAAGGGCGTCCCACGGGTTTTTCACACGGTGGGTAAGTATATTAAATATTGAAGATAGGATATTTTACTGAAAGAAGACATCATTTAATTTGTATAATTATAATTTGCCGTGTGCCATTTGTATTTCAATGAACATAGAGTAACTTATTATTTTATGTTTATTTAATACAAGAGGGCCAATCATTGTGGGCAGAGACTGTGTAGTCTCCACACAAGTACACCTGCTGCTTAAAAACAAAATAGATGTGTTATTTCAAGGTTGAGGTCACTTTCTTAAAAGTTTCTACAATGCGAGCAAAGTAGATGATCTATACTTATAATAAATCTGTAAAGATGTCAATTCTGTACATGAAATATATTTTTAAAATAACTATCAGGGGGTGATTAGTGATCGATACTGATGCCAAAAATGCAATCAGTAAAATTTTTGTCTGTCTATCTGTGTGTATGTTCCTTATAGAAACAAAAACTACTCAACGGATTTTAACGAAACTTGGTACAATTATTCTTCATACTCCTGGGCAGGTTATAGTATACTTTTCATCACGCTACAATCAAAAGCAGCAGAGTAGTGAAGGGAAATGTTGGGAAAACGGGAGAAGTTACTCCATTTTGCTTCCGTCGCGGGTGCAGCCTTAATGGTTAAAGTTACATAGAAATCATGTATGACGGAAATATTCTACATAAAATTGTCTAAAAAATATCCCGCAACAGCATATGTCTATCTTTTATAGTTGACTCACAATAGCACATGTAATTATATAAATAAAGTCATTGTTTATAGCACAAGCCTGAGAACAAAAACTATAGTTTACACTACAGCTCTACACCGAAGCGAAGCGAGGGCGGGCCACTAGTATTTCCTAAAATTAATTTCTATTTAGTGTTATTCGTTATGACTATTTGTTAAAGTCAGACTTTGCACCACCGTTTAATTATACAGTTGATTGCCATTGAATATGACCCAATTATATTTAAGTGATTATTATAGGTGCCTATTTAATCTGTTGTTGCTTAGCATCTCACTATAAATTGCAAAGACTTATTGTGTAAGCTGTGGATAGTGTATTTGACTGCATGTTTGTTATTCAAATTAACAGTAATACTATTTTACATATTGGTAATGTATAGTTGTTAACTATTCCCAATAAATGAAAAAAAAAGAAAAAAAAATGTGTGTGTCAGCTCCGACGCACGACTGGAGTTTACTTCTTAAGTTCGATAGTCTAACCAGACGCAAAAAGAGTTTATTTAACTTATAAAAGATTGATACTGTATGAAAGGGTAAATTAACAAATTAATGAAAATAATATACATATATAAATATATATTTATTCATATCATATACATTTATTATAACTAATCGACGAAATATTTTACATTAAACTTTTTACAATACTCAATTTCAGATGTGCATAAATAAAGGTACGTTACGATAGTGTGCTACGGTGTAGCACTACGGCTGCTACGGCGTAGACAGTAAAAACGTAACGAGGTCATTCATCGATAGATTTTACTCCTCACATTTTTCTCATACCGGGCCCCTTATATATACAAATCGAATCTTAAGGAGTAAACTCCAAAAATAATGTTCAATTGTTTGACTAACTGAATATTTATAATTTGTTTAAAACAGGCAGTGCCGGCGGCAAGCAGGTGGCTGTAGTGCAGCCACAACGGAGAGATACGCCACAACAGAATGGTTGGTTTCATTCAAATATTGTTATTATTTACTAACTGAATACTTTGGTATAAAAAAGTATAACATAACTACTCATTTGCATTTTATTTAAAATCGTTGGTAATAATCATAATTTGATTTGCGTTTTTATTAGATTTCTTGAAATATTACCTATAAATTTTCGTTGAATCACAGACGCTTCGCTGCATTTATTTATATAGCAATTAAATATTTTATACATATAACTAGCTGACCCAGCGAACTTCGTACCGCCATAAAAAAATAGGGGTTGGTGGTAGAAGGGCGAAAATTTTGGGTTATATTTATTTTTGTATGATGTATCATAAAAAAAATAAAAAAAAAAATATCTAAAACTGAAAAAAAAAATTAGGGGTGGATTACCCTTAACATTTAGAATCTCTTATCTATTAGACAAGTCCGTCCGTCCGTCCGTGGTGCTGTTTCAGCGGCCAAACCGTAAGAGATAGATAAAGAGAATGTTTAAGTTATAAGTTAAGAATAGTCTGATAAGACTACAAACCGGATGTGAGTAACGTAGCACTTCCGGTTTTCGAGAAATCACGTGATTTCTATTTCAAACGAAACCACACAAAATCTCCGAAGTTCTCAATTAATTAAATACATTTTTTTTTGACGTGACAACGTCTTAAATTAGGTTGCGGCTGGGAGTCACTTATGAAAAAGTGTAACGCTCGGTAACGTTACGATGAGTCTCTCGTGTTAAGTTTAAGTTTACATGTACAATGTTTTAGTAAACAAAATATATTTCTATAGTTAAAATTTGTGCAATTCTTATTTTCATTCAATTCCTTGTTCCTATTGTGCAATTTAATTATATTCATATCAATAAATATTCTACCGAGAAAAAGACGTTGTCACGTAAAATCTTCGCCCGTAAAACCGACTTTACAGGCAACCATTTTTTTGGTGAACATTTGGTTCACTGGTTTGCTAGTTTTATATATTAGATACATGCGCATAACATAATACAGATTTATTTCTAGAATGTATCCATATATCCTCTGGAATTACCTCGCGACTAACTCGACTTTACATAAGCTTTCAAATTATATTTCTAAACAAAGATAAAGAAATGGACATAATTACCTAATTAACTTATATTTTAGTCTTTTATAGCACAATTTTTTATTGTTATTTAATTTTTTTGACATAAAAATATTGCTTAGTTACTTTGACATAAACATATTTTGACATTTAATTCTGACACTATGATTTGTTTGATTGTAATTGTAATATAATAATTTTATTTTTTATATAATTGTAAATCTGATTATTTCATAAAAAATATTGTTGTATACCTTGTAATAAGGTCGAAATGTAGTGATACTAAACTTTTTACCTTTTTACACCGATTTGCTGTACTAACCTACATTTCACAATAAAGCATTTGAATTTGAATTAGATTTATCCACATTTTTATTGTTTCTTAGGTTTTCACGCACATCACTCATTAAATAAAACTAGTTTTTACGGGTTAATGCACGAAACTTTATTGTGGTAGTTTACGGTAGTTAGGGTCAAATAAATAAACTCAAAATTACAAAAAAGAATTTTAAATAAAATACTTTATTAAGTAAATTAAATAATAAATCCATACATAGACAATAAAACTTAAAAATCGAACAATGAAATAACCAAACGCTCAATAATAGTCTTTCGAAGGTAGCTCGACAAATTAAATAAAAGTTTTATTCTGACGACGAAGCCTGTAAAGGCTACGAAACGTCAATAAATAAATAAAGTTTCGCGCATTAACCCGTAAAAACTAGTTTTATTTAGATTTATTGACGTACATTGTGATTCCGACAGGGGCCACCTCGCCTAGGAACAGTTCCCAGGGTATGATAGAACGGAATAGCGAGGCTCAAGAGGGTCGGAGTGTCCGCGGCGCCACCAAAGCCTGGATATGGATAGAGTCCAGGAAGACCTCTCCCAGGGCTGCTAAGGTCAGTCGCTATACAGGGTCAATTTTAAAACACCAACAATCTGAGGAGCTCGATGGCGCAAGTGGTAAGCGCGTTTCGTTACATCCTGGATTAACACATAGGCTACGTTTTACTGCGGGAAAATATGCCTAATAAACAGAGGGTAACACCGCGGGGCACAGCTAGTAATACATGTATGCGGAATAAAAAGCAAGGAGAGGAGCTCGAAGGCGCAAGTGGTTAGCGCGTTCGGCTGAGATCGTTGAACTTAAGCAACTTTCGCAGTGGTCGGTCATTGGATGGGTGACCAAAAATTTACTATCTCGAGCTCCTCCGTGCTTCGGAAGGCACGTTAAGCCGTTGGTCCCGGCTGCATCTGCAGTCGTTAGCACCCACCAATCCGCACTGGGCCCGCGTGGTGGGTCATGGCCCAATCTCCCTATTTCCATCCATAGGGAAGGCCTGTGCCCTAGCAGTGGGGACATTAATAGGCTGATGATGATGATGAAAGATTCCGTACCATATTTGAAGCTACAATTTTAGCAAAACAAATAAAATAATGTTTGTAGTATGAGGACTTCAAAACAATTCAAATAATCACGTTTCTTGTATAGAGCATGTCTTTATCTGTATTTTAAAAAGATTGTGAAAAGTCTTGAAAATATCTGACATAAAGGACACCCGGCATTATGTGCCAAAGTTGTATACTTTTTTAATTTTTTTATCTGTGTTTCATAATTGGGTAACGTAGTCTGGCAATATTTGTCATCAGCAGCTAGCTGTCAATGTCAAATACGTAGGTTTGTCAATATAACCTCTATATAGCTCTAGTAGCCGAGAAATAACGGATGAAAAGGCAATCGCAGCAGAGAACATTCACAATCATAGTACGCGGGAGCGGATCCGAAATGCGAATGATTTTTTTGTTTGTATTTTAGGATTGTCAAATTGACATCTGGTTTTTTATTTAGAAAAAGCAAAGGAATCATGGCTTTTACAGTCACTTGAGTAATATTTTGAAGTATAATTCTGTCCCTTGAAGATTTAGGGTTTCCATATCAAAAAATATTAATCATTATATAACTTCTTTCCACGATTCACTAAAAATAAGGCAAAAGTAGTTTTATGTAGCAAATAGTTTTGGCTTTATTTTGAGACCAAATTCAACTGTATACAAGTTTAGCATTTTTTCTATGAAAAGTGCCGGGTCTCCTTTGACAATTATTCTACCATTCGCCTCCATCATTCGCCAACGCGCAACGAGTGGTCGTGATCGTTGACGTCGAGCGATTCAAAAATACGGAGTTTATTGTATAGATTAAAAATTTGTATAAATCGACCGTTAGACGCCAGACGAGGGATTCATAAATAATAATAATAATAATAAATATTGCCAACACTCACACCAATTACCTAGCACCAAAGTAAGCACTGTAAGGCTTGCGTTATGGGATACTAGGGCAACGGATAGAATACATATACTGTACACATATAAGTATATTTATATAGAATTACATATAAACATCCATGACTGGAGTACAAATGCACGTATTCATCACACAAACATCTGCCCCCACCGGGATTCGAACCCGGGACCTGTTGAGTCGGTGACACCATGAAACCCGGCGTACAAACCACTCGGCCACGGAGGTCGTCGAAATAGAGCTCTTGGTGAGTTTCTTGCCGGTTTTTCTCAGTACATACAAGGTTTATACAATTTGCGAACTGATGGTGTAGCTTTTCGACATTTACGAATGCTTGTAATGCCTAAATAGGGATGATGACTATTTTTTTTCTTCGTTTATCAGGTAGATAATCAAAGAGTATTGGACACGTATTTTTTCTTTTTTCACATAATATAAACATTGCAGAAATATATTGATTTGAAAAGTCGCATGACGTCACGTTTTAGTACACTTTTAAGTGAAAATTCACTCAAAAGTGACGTCACGAGCCCCTACTCCCAAACTTTGACGCGCTATAACTTTGTTATTTTTTGGCTGATTCCCCAAAGAAAAAATACGTGTCCATTTATTTTTTGATCATGTAACTGACGGACTAAATAGAATTTGGATATTTCTGAGGAATTTTTCGGATTAATTCCAGCTGCTGCATTTCGCCATCGTACATCGCGACAAAAATTTCATCTCCATCATCTTGATGCGTGGCTATCCACAACCGTACGTTTTTGTGGAATTTTTTTACCATGTACGACAAAACTGTGGAATATATTGTCGCCAGCAGTGTTTCCGGACCGATACGATCCAAAAACCTTCAAAAAAAGAGCGTACTCCTTCCTTAAAGGCCGGCATCGCATTTGTGATACTCCTGGTGTTGCAAGTGTCCATAAAAATATGAAATTTTTGGCATTGTTCACAGTGTAACGCGTGGCCTTCGTCGGCCCGTAAGGCTCCTCCCCTACGAGAAGCGGCCATGAGGAGAGCCGCCTCTCTCACCAAACTGCAGCACTCGCCTCTCGGTGAGATATATTACACACATTACCATAAACATATACAGCCTTCACTAATACAAATACAAATATATTTAATAAAATTACAGAATACAGAAACTAACTACGTTTTATAGTTATAAAGTGTGTGTGTATGTGTGTGTGTGTGTGTGTGTGTGTGTGTGTGTGTGTGTGTGTGTGTGTGTGTGTGTGTGTGTGTGTGTGTGTGTGTGTGTGTGTGTGTGTGTGTGTGTGTGTGTGTGTGTGTGTGTGTGTGTGTGTGTGTGTGTGTGTGTGTGTGTGTGTGTGTGTGTGTGTGCGTGCGTGCGTGCGTGCGTGCGTGCGTGTGTGTGTGTGTGTGCTTGTCTGTACCTATGCATGTAGGACGGTGAGAGCCAAGGACTTCGGGTAATGCTATTCCAGTCGTTTAAGCAGGTTTTCGGATTGCATGTAAGTCATGGACAATAACCTTGAGGTGATAGTGCGCTTTGCCTGCTTCGTGTTAAGTTCTCTGATATTACACAGTTTTGTTACCTTATTATAGATATACGGCAACATAAATTTTGGCAGGCGACTACTGACACTTCACGTGGCCATCCAAACAAACAAACAAAATCGTTTAGAGAGAAAGAAAGAAAAATAAATTTATTTGAGACAGCACACACACAACAAACAGAACAAAACGCACATATTTTTTTGAAGTGAAACTTCTTTATCGGCGTTGGAAAAAAATTTACCGTCACATTTTTCGGTTACGCGTCACATTTTTCCGTTACGCGCCATCTTTTTTTATATTAATAGTTGATAGCTGAATGATCACACTGTCGCCGGCGAGAACTCTCTCTACTCGTTTGTAGCTGAGTGACAATAGTTATTAAAGATAAGACTCGCTCAGCTAAACTCGCATAGCGATACTCGCTCAGCGATACTCGCTCAGCGATACTCGCCCAGCGATACTCGCCCAGCGATTCTCGCTTAGCGATACTAGCTCAGCGATACTCGCTCAGCTATACTCGCTCGGTTAAGCTGGCTTGGCTGTCAAAAGCCGTGCGCGTGCATTTTAACTCAGGACTGCCAATTCGTTTCTAGTTTCTACTCGCATATCGTTCATCGTCGGAGGTGGAACATGTGCCTTAGATTACTGAGCCGTGTAATCATAACAGTTTCATAGGCAGTAATTTGTATTCATGTCTATGATAATAAAATCCTTTTGTTTAAACTTTATCTAATTTAACTTTATTTAACCAATTTCTGGAAAGTTGCATGTAGATCATTTTTCGAAAAATAAGGCCATAAAGAAGTTTCACTTCTTACGTGTGTACATTAGTACACGCACACATTTTTTTTGTCTCAAATCGGTCCCAACTCATCATGTGTTGATGTTGCCATCAACGCTGGTCTTCCGTTGGAACCGGTTTAGTGACGACACGAAACAATAACGTTAACAAGTAATAAAATAAACATAACAAAATAAAAACAAAAACAACAACAATGTGAGTTCAGGGGGCGCCACTATCGCCATGTCAAAATTGGTTGCACCCGGAGCGCAGGTTCCGAACGCAGCCCCGACTGACATTGCCATTCAGAGACAATCTTACTAATCTGTGTACCTATTGTACTTCTGATTATTTTTTCTTTTTTCTTTATATAATGTAATCTACTATTTAGATAATTTACAAAAAAAATATTTTTTTAGTACTAGACGAACGGAAAGACAATTCACATTTACCTACAAGAAATATCTTCTGATTCAATAAATAATAAATTCAGTATAGTACACGGATACAGATAAAATTGTTTTAGTTAAAACTTACAAAATGACTGATATCACACCGTATCCGTATTTGCTATAACTATAATTGACAGCAGCCCAGTGTTGCCAGGTCTGATTTTTAAAAATGTGGACGCGTTATAGAAAGAAGCGGTAGATGTATGGACAGATCTACAGGATTTGCACAATTTGCCGGCGCGGGCGTGGCCCTATATTGTGTCATGAAATTGTACTTTTGTTAAAAGAAAATTATACTAGAAAAACTTCCACGCGGACCAGACAACAGACGGGACTCGAACCCTCCCCTTTCCGGGCGAATACACTGACCATTATGCTACCGCAGCCCTGATGGCCGTGTCGAATTTTCTCTAGCCTTAGGCGGCAAGGCAGTGCCATCTCTTCGCATTGTAGGTAACCCACAGATTGTCTGTCCCATCCGTTGCCTGGAATTTAATCTAGTATATTTTTCTTTAGATTTAAATATCTATTAATTTAATTTTATTTTATTTGCTTAAAAAATAAATAATATAACTTTACTTCGGTTGCAAGATTCCTATGAAATCTGTTTGTGTACCGTTGAACAAAAGTTGTTCTAACACTTAATACCCCTGACTTGTCATTGACTTCTGTGGTAGCATGCCTGAATGGCAGAAATGAGCACAGTACAATGTGAATGTTCTCAGCAAGCACTATTTGTAAGGTTCAAACGCCTATAACATTATGGGTTGTTCACATTGCACAAGTTGTTTTACGTCATGTATAAGCCGGAGCTGCAGAGCTACAAAATACTCCTATACTCTATTCAAATTCCTTTGAGCCAAAAGGTAAACAAATATACAAATAAAACTAGTTTTTACGGGTTAATGCACGAAACTTTATTTATTTATTACTATACTTATTCTGACGACGTAGCCTATAAAGGCTACGAAACGTCAATGAATAAATAAAGTCTTGTGCATTAACCCGTAAAAACTAGTTTTATTTAATGAGTGATGTGCGTGAAAACGTATGAAACAAATAAATTATAGATGCTACTCGGTTCATTAAAAATAAACATCCGTGAATCTTGTCCGTCAGACCAAACGAAACAAGCTGCCATAATGTTGATGACGGGCCACACACCCAAGTCGAAGCTGTCCACCAGCCAGGCCCGCAGGACTCCCTCGTTCCTAGTGAAGAAACCCAGCCCCGTGGCCACGCCGAGGGGGAGCAACAGTCTCTCCTCAGGTGGAAACACTTCCACGAGGAAGGCAAGCGCTAGGAAGAGTAGCAGCAGAAATAGAGGAGCCAGCTCGGTATGTTTTTGTTGTGTTTTGATGAAACGTACATTAATCGAACGCTACATATTAATTTATGGTTGTAAAAATAGACTGAGAGCCAGTGATCCGCATACTTAGGGATTTTTTCAGATTTTAGACCCCCCCCCCCCCCTACAATCATCCTATCGTCATTTCTTAATGAACCCCCCCCCCCCCCTTCTCCCAAAATTGACGTCATTACCAGTTTGACAAAACTAAAACATTGCAGATTTGAGAAAAGCTAGTATTATATATAATATTATTGTTAGAGTATTTTATCTGTAGTTATTACTGTATTTGTGTACATCTATGTTGCATAATGTATGTTTATTATGAGTTATTTTAGTATTGTACGCGCCTTTGCCGCCTGCCAGCGGTTAAAGATGGCGGTCAAGAAAGTCGTTGATAGCTATCACACACAAAACCTATTTTCGGGGAAATCTGTTCATTTAATTAAGATTGTATGATAATCTTCAAACACTTATTTAACTGAGTTTAATGCGGAAAAATATAACACAGTTCTTGCGGAGAGATGAAAATTCGACCATTTCGTATTTACGCGGTGACAGAACTTTATTGTTATAATTTTTATTATTTTTAAAGCATGTAACTGCTTGATGTTTAAATCTAAAGAAAATATAACTAGAAAAAATTCCACGCGGCCCAGGCAGCAGACGGGACTCGAACCCGCACCCTTCGCAATCCGGGCGAATGCACTGACCAATTATGCTACCGCGGCCCTCACGGACCGCGTCGAAATTCTTTCTAGCTATTCTTAAGCTGCAAGGCAGCGCCATCTCTTTCTTTTTTTTCTAGTTATATTTTCTTTAGATTTAAACATCAAGCAGTTACATGCTTTAAAAATAATAATAATTATAACTATAATTGCTATTTCTTCTTTCAAATGTTTAATACTTGTAAAAGTATTCATTTGACATTGTGGGTTTACCTATAATGCGAAGAGATGGCGCTGCCTTGCAGCTTAAGAATAGCTAGAAAGAATTTCGACGCGGTCCGTGAGGGCCGCGGTAGCATAATTGGTCAGTGCATTCGCCCGGATTGCGAAGGGTGCGGGTTCGAGTCCCGTCTGCTGCCTGGGCCGCGTGGAATTTTTTCTAGTTATATTTTCTTTAGATTTAAACTTTATTGTTTTTTTGATGCGGTGACAGCCTGCTGACAGAGCCATTTCCTTCCGGCCATCCGTCGTTGCAGGCACATATATTGCGTCTTCTTCCCTCATAAGCATAAGGCACAGTGTTTGAAGGAGAAGGATCTATTGGGATGAGGTTAATTCGAAAAGAGAATGACACGGTATGAAATTTATAGATTCGAATATGTTTTGGCGTTACCACTTACGGTATAGTAGCAAACTTCATATTATTGCCAGTTATACTAATTCATCTGCCGTAGATCAAATGGTGGTTCACTATTCCCATAGAGGGTTCCTTTAGGCGTGCCGAGAAGTCGAAAAGCATGAAAATCGACTTTCAAAAACGTGACCGCATCATGTCTGCCGTTTTGATATCTTAAAATATATAAATAAATAAATATTTCCAACACCCACACCAATTAGCCTAGCCCCAAAGTAAGCACTATAAGGCTTGTGTTATGGGATACTAGGGTAACGGATAGAATACATATACTTTACATATATAAGTATATTTATATAGAAATACATATTAAACATCCATGACTGGAGTACAAATGCTCGTGTTCATCACACAAACATCTGCCCCCACCGGGATTCGAACCCGGGACCTCTCGAGTCGGCGAGACGCCATGAAACCGGGCGTACAAACCACTCGTCCACGGAGGTCGTCATATATATTTTTTTATATAGAAAAACTTAATGCCAGATACTTTTTCCGGTTCCTACTATGTTTTATATAATATCATAGTTTCCAAAATTACATAAAATTTGCCTTATTTTAGCAAAGCTAAAAATTCCATAAAATATGTTGTTTATATTGTAATTATAAACATACTAGCAAACCAGTGAACCAAATGTTCACCAAAACCTGATTTCTCGAAAACCGGAAGTGCTACGTTACTCAAATCCGGTTTGTAGTCTTATCAGACTATTCTTAACTTATAACTTAAATATTCTCTTTATCTATCTCTTACGGTTTGGCCGCTGAAACAGCACCACAGACAGACGGACGGACGGACTTGTGTAATAGATAAGAGATATTTACAATAACAGACCTATAGGTCGGTTCTGACATGCGGGCAGACCGCACGATACTTTCTCAGTCGTGCTATTGCAGTTGCATGATTTTGATTTTCTCACTCTTCATTTCGCAGGGAACTAGTGTTTCAGCAAAGCTGTAATATATGTATGTTTTTTATATCATTATTATACATGTATATTGAGGAGCTCGATGGCGCAGGTGGTTAGCGCGTTCGGCTGAGATCGTTGTAGTTAAGCAACTTTCGCAGTGGTCGGTCATTGGATGGGTGACCACAAATTTCTATCTCGAGTTCCTCCGTGCTTCGGAAGGCACGTTAAGCCGTTGGTCCCGGTTGCATCTGCAGTCGTTATCACCCGCCAATCCGCACTGGGCCCGCGTGGTGGGTCATGGCCCAATCTCCCTATTCCATCCATAGGGAAGGCCTGTACCCCAGCAGTGGGGACATTAAGAGGCTGATGATGATACATGTATATTTAAAAAACGAGACAGATAAGCCGGTTCTAAAATGCAGGCAGACTACATAATATGTTTTTTATTTATTTTTTAAGCATTTAACTGCTAGATGTTTAAATCTAAAGAAAAGTTTACTAGAAAAAAATCCACGCGGACCAGGCAGCGCACGGGACTCGAACCCGCATCCTTCGCAATCCGGGCGAATGCACTGACCATTATGCTACCGCGGCCCTATTCGCGACGAGATGGCGCTGCCTTGCAGCTTAAGGCTAGGAAAATTTCGACGCGGCGAATACGTGGATTTTTTTTCTAGTAAACTTTTCTTTAGATTTAAACATCTAGCAGTTAAATGCTTAAAAAATAAATAAAACACATAACTATAATTGCTATTTCTTCTTTCAAACGTTTAATACTTCAAAAAGTATTCATTTGACATTGTGGGTTACCCACAATGCGACGAGATGGCGCTGCCTTGCAGCTTAAGGCTAGGAAAATTTCAACGCGGCGAATAGGGCCGTGGTAGCATAATGGTCAGTGCATTCGCCCGGATTGCGAAGGATGCGGGTTCGAGTCCCGTCCGCTGCCTGGTCCGCGTGGATTTTTTTCTAGTAAACTTTTCTTTAGACTACATTAGTTTCGCAGTCTGCCTAAAGGAACCCTCTATGGGAATAGTGAACCACCATTTGATCTACGGCAGATGAATTAGTATCATCATCATCATCAGCCTATTAATGTCCCCACTGCTGGGGCACAGGCCTTCCCTATGAATGGAATAGGGAGATTGGGCCATGACCCACCAGACGGGCACCGTGCGGATTGGTGGGTGTTAACGACGGCAGATGCAGCCGGGACCAACGGCTCTTAACGTGCCTTCCGAAGCACGGAGGAGCTCGAGATATTAAATTTTTGGTCACCCATCCAATGACCGACCACTGCGAAAGTTGCTTAACTTCAACGATCGCAGCCGAACGCGCTAACCAGTTGCGCCATCGAGCTCCTATTGAATGAATTAGTATAACTAGCATTAATATGAAGTTTGCTACTATACCGTAAGTCTGCGGATCACTGGTTCTTAGACTAATAGGATACGACTTATGGCGAAGGCTTAGCGAGTGTATTGTAGACACATTTAGGAAACTAAACAAAATTTCAAGGTGAGAGAACTGGTTGCTTTCGGTTTAATTTTTTTCTATAATATTATTAGTTTTAGTATAAGCGTTAGCGTTTTCCAAAGCATTTCCGTTAGGCGAATGGCCCCCTGATTGTTGTTTACTAATCTTCTTCAAAAATAAATAGAGATTAACGACGATCGAGACTGTCCGAGGGACGGTTCTTTCCAAATTTTCCTAAATGTGGCTCGCATTTCCTTGTGTCACGCTCAAATTATCAGATTATTGAAATTTATAATTTGCTTCATGTAAAATTACCTTACCTTAATCTGCCGCGCTCGAGTTTTCTAATGATCTATCTTATTTTTTACTTATTTGATCGGCTGCCCTAGACGTTCGAAGCTATAGAAGGGGTATTTTGGGAGTACTTCATAAGGTGTAAGGTTGGCGCCCCTTATGTTATCCTGCCGCGCTCGAGTAAATCCCAAAATACCCGTTTGTGCTGCCCTGCTCTTATAAATAAATAAATATTTCCAACACTTACACCAATTAGCCTAACCCCAAAGTAAGCACTGTAAGGCCGTATACAGAAAGAAAGCCGAAAGCCGATCTTATCGGCGCCTATTGGCGCTGATCCTTTTTCTATGGACCGGCGCCGATAAGCGCCGACACGCGCTGGTACGAATAATAAATAATTCGTATTTGAATTATTATCCTTAGATTAAATCAATTTAAGTTATAATCTTTTTATAAATCTAATAACTTTATCTTTTATTAACTAAGCGCTAAAATTATTTGTTTCGTACTTACCGAATGGTGACAACAAGTCTTTCTTCTGGAAGGATTGGTTGTTTATGCCAATTGCCCCAATTTTTCATCAAACGGTTTTTCACTAAATCCAAAATGTAATAAAATGTTTCTTGAATCATTCTTGTATATGTATTAAATCTTTGTTCATCAAATATTTTTTTTTACAAATAAATGATGGTATTCTCCGAAACGTTTCCTTTCTCTATTTATAGGATGTATAGCTGTTTTTCGCATTTTTAAATAAACATTTTCTAACATAACCAAATCATCGTCCGATGAGTCCGACATTTTGCTTGATCTGCTTTAATCGGCTTCCTTTATGTAGGAAGGATCGGCGCCGATAAGCGCCGATCGGCTTTCGGCTTTCTTTCTGTGTACGGCCTAAGGCTTGTGTTATGGGATGCTAGGGTACTTATATAGCAATATATATATATAGAAATACATATGAAATATCCATGACTGGAGTACAAATGCTCGTATTCATCACACAAACATCTGCCCCCCACCGGGACTCGAACCCGGGACCTCTCGAGTCGGCGACACCATGAAACCCGGCGTACAAACCACTCGACCACGGAGGTCGTCAATTGCAGCTAATATATTCAGGCTCCAGCATATAATGACATGTTTAATAAGTGTGGTTTTTTATTCACCTAATGTAAAGTATCTCTTGCACAGAAATGATTTGATTTCAGGTTTCTGTACTGGAGATAAGCGACTCGAGCCCCAGTCCGTCTACTCCGAGCGCTCGTTCTTCGAGAACCTCGCAACAGAGCCGAGGGGATTTCTATGGAGTCGGTAAAAAGGGTGGTCTCAAATCACCTCCTTTACCGACTCCAAAGAAATCTGCTATGAAAGACCCGAAGAAGTCCTCCAGAAAAACGGAGTCCATCAAATTTGACTTGAGCAATTTAGAAAACTGCTCCCAACTTTCTGACGAACTCACGAACAAATCTCAGAGGACGCTCCCCGAAGGCGGCTTCACTCTTTTCCATGACACGTCCAGCGATGTATCTATTCTATCGAGTCCATCGCCGAGAATATCCCAACATTCTCCCAGCAGTAGGATACTAGACAAATCTCTGGGTGCGAGTGTTAAAGAATCTCCCGCCATAAGAAGTGCCAGAAGCACGTTTACCATACAATCTCCTCCGCCATCGAGAAAGACCTCCCGCGGGAGTGTCATCATACAGAAAGCCTTGGAGAGCATCAACGAATCTGGCAGATCTTCGCGAAGATCGACCAAAACTGTGACCGACACTCTGAGCCCACGATCGCCGCCGAACAATCTCGAGACTTACTCCATAGTAGATTTAGTTTCCATGGAATCGAACGAAACGAAAAAGACCTCGTCCGTGTACGATTCGGCGGGATCGGCCGACAGCAGTCCCGCAGCGTTCAAGACTCCCGACAACACTTCGGTCAGGAAGACCAGGTCGACCATCGACCGGGCTTTAGTCGACTCCAGCACGCCTTACGTCCGGAAAGTCACGAGGAAATCGTTGGCCAAGCCCCGTTCAAACCCCGACTTATCCGATCGGAGATACGTTCCCGGGAACGAATCCCGGACCTCCGTTCCAACTTCGGGATCTTCTCGACGCTCAAAGTCCACGACGACCCCAGAAAATACCTTGAAACATATATCGGTGAACAGCACAAGGATCTCCAGATCGTCAAGAAAGCGGTCGCGAATCAACGACACCGACTCGATCCTGATATCCGACAACTCGCACGTGGAAGACGAATCGCCGAGGTCTTCCAAGAAGAGTTTGTCCAAATCGAGCCGACAGCTAAAGCGGAGCACCGGCAAAGTATCTCCTAACGTGCAGCGGAAGAGTACTAGAAGGAGCGGGGGATCCCCTCCCACCGCTGTTACACAAACCGAGGGAATGAGCACTCCGGAACAAAGACACAGCCCCGAGGAAGTCGGCACTCCGGTGCTGAGCATCCAGAGCCTTCTGGACTCCAGCCAGAGTTCGCTCGCATCGCTAAACTCCAATAAAAAAAGTCGAGTGTCGGTCAACGTCAAACGGAAGACTATCGGCGCGATCCGTTTGGAGGCCAAAGGGCGTCACACAGGATGGAAATCCAAATCTAAATCCCTCAGTTTCACCGCCCGTCGCGGCTTGCTACGGCTCAGCAAAGATTCTTCGGATAAAGAGGAAGCTCAGGCGGACGAAAAAATGGTGACGCCGAAGAGCGCCGTCAAACTGGTGCAGGAAGCCGTGAAGAATAAGCACTCTACCGCGAAGAAGCCGCAGTCGAAACGGTCAATCATAGACAACCTGGACGAGTCCGACATCGTCAAGCAGCTATTCAACAGTCCCGTTAAAAGGAAGCTGTCTCAGAGCATGACGGAGTTTTCCAGGAAGCAGCTGTTCGACGACGAAGAAATGGATACTGTGAGGCGTCCTACACGAAACACGGTCGCGCTGACGGGAAGAACTCCCGACCGCTCCGTCATCGACAATACCGATGTGTACACTCCAGAGCGGTTTGTCAGCCCCATGGGATCTACCAACAGCCCTGACTTGACCGGTATCGACCGTTTGTTCCGCAAGAATTCGCCGAACAACGATCTTTCGGACATAAGAGGCGTGAAGTCGCTATTGCGATCGCCGCGAACGAGGAAATCCGTCCGAAACGACCTGACCGACGTCTACGGAGTCAAGAGAGTGTTCGCCAAATCGCCCAAGAACAGACTGAGCGATGTCGCAGTCAAAGAAGTGTTCACTGCGCAACCTAAGGACGACTTACGTCGCGTCTCCGGAGTCAAGAGCTTGTTCCGTTCGCAGAAGAATAAATCGCCGAGAAACGACTTGACCGACGTGAGAGGCGTCAAGAAATTATTCCAGAGAAATAGCCCTGTCAACGACCTGCGTAGAGTGTCCGGTGTGAAACGCACTCTGCGCAGGTATTCGCCTCGGAACGACCTCCGGGACGTAAGGGGCGTGAAACGGATGTACGGCGAGGCGAAGAGAAAGGACGATTTGAACGACTTGAGCGGAGTCGAGGAACTGTTCAACGAGTCCTTCCCTGCCAGAAACACGGATAGAACGTTCGACCAATTGCTGGGGAAGCCCCCTATTAAAGCAGTTTACTCCAAGAGTTTCTTGAAGAAGACGTCTGTGAAGCCTAAGACACGCAAAGCGAAGTCGCTGCATGTATCTTATGACATGATAACGAACAACGTGGAGGAGTGGTTGGAGCAGGAGCTGCAGAAACGCTTGCACAGGGACAACGACGAGAAGAAGAATCGAGAGCTTCAGAAGTTGGTCACCGACACTGTAGAGGGTGCGTACACCATCTTTATATATATAATTCTTCTGTGAGTGTGTATGTCACTGAACTTCTCTTAAACGACTGGACCGATTTTGATGAAATTTTTTGTGTGTGTTCAAGGGGATCTGAGAATGGTTTAGATTCACAATTTTGTCCGCTGGACAATGTTTTTTTAATTAATTTTTAATTTATTAGTAGTTGTTGATTTTGGAATGTTTTACATTGGATCCGACAGACGGCGCTACCATACTAGACAGGACAACGTCTGTCGGGTCCGCTAGTATATTATATATTTACTAGCAAACCAGTGAACCAAATGTTCACCAAAACCTGATTTAAAAAAAAATGTATTTAATTAATTGAGAACTTCGGAGATTTTGTGTGGTTTCGTTTGAAATTCGTGATTTCTCGAAAACCGGAAGTGCTACGTTACTCAAATCCGGTTTGTAGTCTTATCAGACTATTCTTAACTTATAACTTAAATATTCTCTTTATCTATCTCTTACGGTTTGGCCGCTGAAACAGCACCACAGACAGACGGACTTGTTTAATAGATAAGAGATTAGACTTGCAACGAATAGTATATTCGGCAGTTTACCGAATACCGAATATTCGGCGAGGCCCCTGACCGAATAGCCGAATATTAGGCAAAAGTATTCGGCTGGATTTTAGCGCCAAAAACTTGTACAGACGGGATTGTTTCGCGCTCCTTTGTTTTGTTCTAATGTACCTACTCATTGCCCGCGCGCCACAGCATGTTTCGGCATGTGGTCATTGGTACGTTAAACAGGTGTTTTATATACCAATGACCACTTAATAAATAATTATAAAAGAAATGAAAACCTTACCCTTCTAAATTTTGATTGCCACAATAATTCAAATACATAGAATCCTCAATTTTTCTAATTCAGAAGATGATTATGTACCTGTGTTATGATTATATATAACAGAAATGAAAATATGACTGTATACGTAATCAATCCATTTTAATTTTTCATTTTACCAATTATTTCTCTATGACAAAATATATTATTTAAGTATTCGGTATTCGGCCGAATATAATAAAAGCAGCCGAATAGGCCGAATACCGAATAGTAACCGAATATTCGTTGCAAGTCTAATATTTATTATTTTATTGTTGTTTCTTTTAAGCATAGATGTTTCTAAAATCTATTGATATTTTAGTAACTTTGGCCCATATTAACAGTAGACAGTGATATGATAAAAAGTGTCAACTCGCTTTCATGCCTCATTTACAGCACAAACGTTCCAATCAAAATAAGCAATCAGAACTACTAAAATAAATCTCTTTTTTAGTAATATCTCTTATCTATTAGATAAGTCCGTCCGTCCGTCCGTGGTGCTGTTTCAGCGGCCAAACCGTAAGAGATAGATATAGAGAATGTTTAAGTTATAAGTTAAGAATAGTCTGATAAGACTACAAACCGGATGTGAGTAACGTAGCACTTCCGGTTTTCGAGAAATCACGTGATTTCTATTTCAAACGAAACCACACAAAATCTCCGAAGTTCTCAATTAATTAAATACATTTTTTTTTTGGTGAACATTTGGTTCACTGTTTTGCTAGTTAAACAATTAATGGTGAATATCTACTTAGGTATATCTCCTCTCCGCGAGTCGCGGGTCCGTCGAAGCGTCGCTACCAAATCAGTAGAGGACAGAATGTCGGCCGGGAACAATTATAGCTCACACGCGCTGCCGCTCAAGAAGCGATCGTTGGCCGAAAGAGATAGCTCCCGGCCCATCACCGGCGACGGCGATATGAAGGGCGACCACAACCACGCGAATGGACAGGAAAGGTATTAAAATCAAATATATTTTTGACGTGACAACGTCTTAAATTAGGTTGCGGCTGGGAGTCACTTATGAAAAAGTGTAACGCTCGGTAACGTTACGATGAGTCTCTCGTGTTAAGTTTAAGTTTACATGTACAATGTTTTAGTAAACAAAATATATTTCTATAGTTAAAATTTGTGCAATTCTTATTTTCATTCAATTCCTTGTTCCTATTGTGCAATTTAATTATATTCATATCAATAAATATTCTACCGAGAAAAAGACGTTGTCACGTAAAATCTTCGCCCGTAAAACCGACTTTACAGGCAACCATTTTTTAAAAGGAGGCTTTTAATTCAATATGTTATGTATTAGTGATGTAACGAATGTCAATTTTTGAACATATGCGAATGCGGATACGAATGATTGGTACTATGGAGCTCTAGCCAGAATGGATAGAACCTGGGGACGTGGCGATTAATTAAAACAACTTGACGATGGTTATTATTTTATATTAGATTTCAGGCGATTATAATTATTTTTATCTAACTACGAGAGGTTTGCTTGGTGCCTGAAGATCTACTCTTGAATGGAACCTTGTATCAAAAGACAGACGATTGCTTACTTCAAATCTTAAAATCATGACATTAACTTTTTAATATAACTGCCAACCGTAGGCATTGCAAAAGCAAAGAGTTTACCAAAACAAGGCGGTAGTAACGTACCGGACGTTACAGTACCGACATTCGCGAATGCGAATATTTAGTTTTATTTTAAATTGGCGCCAATTGTCTATGGCATGGTGGCAGTCTCGTTCGAATTGCCGAGTCATTCCGCTCGCACCGGTCTTTCCGTAAACAAAACAAGTGAATTTTGAGGTTAGTGATTATGAGTGGTAATAGTGATTTATTAACATGAGTAAATCGAATTCTAGTGAAACATGGACTTATTTCACACTTTGCGATGCTGAACGAGCTAAATGCAAACTGTGTAACAATGAATATTCAAGGAAAGGCAGAACTACAACTCTTTCAAATTGTTTTTTTCTAATATTCATATTCGCAGAGATTTTGCGAATGCAAAATGCGAATATTCAAAAATATGCGAATATTCGCGAATGCGTATGCGAATATTCGTTACATCACTATTATGTATGTAATATTTTCAATATGTCATAATTTTCGATTAGAAATTTTCTTTATGCAGAACAACAATGCTGCCGTAATATCGATAAGAGCAGTAAGTATTATTAACATAGTTTCGAGAAAATAAATAAATAAATATTTCCAACATTAACACCGATTAGCCTAGCCCCAAAGTATGCACTATAAGGCTTGCGTTATGGGATACTAGGGCAACGCATAGAATACACATACTGTACATATATAAGTATATTTATATTGAAATACATATTAAACATCCATGACTGGAGTACAAATGCTCGTATTCATCACACAAACATATGCCACCACCGGGATTGGAACCCGGGACCTGTCAAGTCGGCGACACCCCGAAACCCGGCGTACAAGTCACTCAGCCCAGGAGATCGTCTGAAAATAGCGTTACAAATTTTCGTTGCATTTTTGCTTTGCTTTCTCAAGTAACCAACAAATGGTTCAAAGAAAAAAAAGTTTACTAGAAAAAAATCCACGCGGACCAGGCAGCGGACGGGACTCGAACCCACATCCTTCGCTATCCGGGCGAATGCACTGACCATTATGCTACCACGGCCCTTGCTTAAGCTGCAAGGCAGCGCCATCTCTTCGCATTGTAGGTAACCCACAATGTCACATGAATACTTTTTCAAGTATTGAACATTTGAAAGAAGAAATAGCAATTATAGTTATGACTTTATTTATTTTTTAAGCATTTAACTGCTTAAAAAATAAATAAAGTCATAACAACAAATGGTTTTTGAATTATATTACCTAAACAAAGTACTTTTTTGTAACCGTTTAACTTGTATTTATAACAGATTAATCTTAAATGGCGATAACCTTTTAAACTTAGAATGCGATTATGATTGTCCTTATTGGAATTAAAAGTTTCCGTTGAGCCAATACTATGGCGGTTAAATCATTATTCCAAATCAATATTTTACTCAATTTCGACAAAAAAAAGGACTTTGGGGTTGCGGTTTACCTACAATGCGAAGAGATGGCGGTGTCTTGCAGCCTAAGTGTTCTATCAGAGTAAAGGAGATTGCGGGTACGGATACATAAAATGTATCTTAGACGCTTATCGCTTTCACTGTGGACCATTGGCTAAGTCCGCGTTTGTCTTCCACAGTGTCAGCGACTAACACAGGGTTCCCAACTTAGGGGTTTTGCCCCCAGATTTAGGGGCTAGAAGGGTTAAAGCGGACTTTTTTAGGGGCTGGAATTTTTTGGGGGTTCTTTTAGGGGCTTTTAACAAAACTTTCAATTAAATCGAAAAACAAAGCGTGTGTTTTCTTTCAGTTTTGTGCGTAGAATGGAACGCACCACGATATGAAACGACTGAACTCACTGTGTGGCAGGTTGTTAACTAAGGCTGTATGGACTAAAGTTCTTTGCCTTCCACCAATCAAAACAGCTAAATAAGATTTAACAGCCTGTCAGCTCATTTCGTTTGATTTTCCATTCGGAAAATGTATTTATTCAATAAAATAATTTACTGTAACTAAATATGTAACGTTTTAATTTATGAGCAACGAAAGAATTACGGTAATAAGATAAGTAGGTATATATGTATTTCTATATTTAGGGGATTTTAAAAAATACTTAAGGTAAAATTTTTGTAAGGGTTGGTAACACTGGACTAACATGGAAATCGATACAGAAGAATTTATATCTGCAGTGCAACAGTGCTCTATAGCGGAGAGCTAGTGGAATGGGAAATGATAGTATTTTGAACGCAATGGGATTATTTACACTATTTTAAAGTAATACACAAAATAATTATTAAATCAGACGACAGATGAAGACTACGGGAACACAATAACATTTTTTATAGCAAAAATCATAAATATGTTAATACAGTAAAAGCCGTTTAAGACGATTTCACAGGGACGCGTCTTAAGCGGGATTGCGGGGTAGGGAAATTTCGAATGTAGATATTGAGGTATTAAATGTACAATATTTAAGAATAATGTACGTTATAATATAAGAATTATGTATTAAATTAATAAAAAAATAATCTCTTATTTTAGTTTGACAAAAAGATTTTGAATGATTAGAAATTACAAAATTTTTACATAAATTCACTTTTGCAGTGCGTCTTCGCTTTGATTCAAAGAAGTTACATAGCGTCTTAAATCATTAACTGCTGATAATGCCTGGGCGGGTGACAATATCCTTCCCTTTGATTCTTGATCATTATCACTTAGGTGCTCTTCATGTGTGTTATTCAAATTCTCAATAAGATCTTGAATTGAATAAATTTGGTACGGTGCCACATTGTCATCAATGGAAGAATATGCAGGAAAACCCTATTCGACAGTCGTACCGTCAATCGCTGGCCGCTGCCGCAAGAGGTACATAATATGTTTGGTGCGTGTTGGCGATTTAGGCGTATTAAATGGGATGACGAATCGTATTAAGTTGCAGGGACTGACGCAAAATGGCGTAATATGCGGGAAATCGTATTAAGCGTGATCGTATTAAACGGGTTCTACTGTATTTTAAAATCACTTCAAAAAACTATAAAAACAATCTATCAAAGAAGGTCGGCAACAGCAACTGTGATACCGGGATGATATAAATAAAACAACATTTGAATAGAGCTGTAATAAGTAAATTATGGGATGATATAAATAAAACGTCACTTGAATAGAGCTGTAATAAGTAAATTATGGGATGAAATAAATAAAACATCACTTGAATAGAGCTGTAATAAGTAAATTATGGGATGAAATAAATAAAACATCACTTGAATAGAGCTGTAATAAGTAAATTATGGGATGAAATAAATAAAACATCACTTGAATAGAGCTGTAATAAGTAAATTATGGGATGAAATAAATAAAACAACACTTGAATAGAGCTGTAATAAGTAAATTATGGATTTTTTTCTATTAAAAATTTCTTTGATTAAAAGAAGGACTACTGCTCTTATCGATAGCGCGACAATATTGTGCATATTATATGTATTCGATGCATACAATTGGAATATAAACAGGGTTTGACTTTTGTTTGTTCAGAAGTTATCTTTCCCAATTTAGAATTCATCATCATCATCATTGTCCCCACTGCTGGGGCACAGGCCTTCCCTTTGGATGGAATAAGGAGATTGGCCATGACCCACCACGCGGGCCCAGTGCGGATTGGTGGGTGCTAACGACTGCAGATGCAGCCGGGACCAACGGCTTAACGTGCCTTCCGAAGCACGGAGGAGCTCGAGATAGTAAATTTTTGGTCACCCATCCAATGACCGACCACTGCGAAAGTGGCTTAACTTCAACGATCGCAGCCGAACGCGCTAACCTAACGCCATCGAGCTCCTCATTTAGAATTATCTTGAATGTATTATTATTGTTTTGTTGATGTGTAACATCTTTCTTCTCGCTTTCCTGCAATTTGTGGAAGTGATTACGTGAAGTGAGACGGCAGTGTGTAACAAATGTTACACATCATACTAAAGAATTTGGTATAATGACGGTCGCATCACAATACATTTACGAAAATTTATTACTTGTAAGAAAAAATATTAATGTGTTTCTTAAAAACAGTGATGTTCACACAATTAATACAAGAAACAAAAATAAACTAACTTTACCTGCTACTAGGCTTCACAAAATCAATAATTCATTTAAAGGTCTCTGTGTTCGCTTATGTAGTATATTGTGTGTGCGGTGTACTTATGAAATGTATGTGGGTAGTGGGATTATTATAAAAATAAATCAGTGTCTAATCAACTGGCGTGTGTTTTACTACATGGTGACAGCGGTGGGTGGACAAGTCATAAGTACACACTCACATGGTGACAGCGGTGTAGTTAATTAATAATAATTTGGTTGCAACAATTAGTAAAATACGCTTTTCGTAAAGTTGATAAACAGTGTTTTTAATAAGTTCTTCCAAATAATGGAACACGCGCGTCCTCCAGCAGAATTATCACTCGAAGTTGGGCCGGCGACTCGTGCCGAGTCATGGCGCAAATGGCGGAAGCTTTTCGAAGTGTTTCTGAAGGCATCTGGAGTGAGCAAAGAGCCGAAAGAAATTCAGGCCAGTCTGTTGATTAACCTCATTGGACCTGTAGGTTATGAAGTCTTTACTACTTTCACATTTTCTCAAGATGAAAGTGAAGATGACATAAAATGTATATTGCAAAAATTTGACAACCATTTCAGTACGAAACCGAATATTACGGTACGACGATATAAGTACACCGCACACACAATATACTACAGCTTATACAATAAAGTCCCAAGCAATATCCAAGAGTTAAGCATAAATAAATTCAAAGATAGTATAAAAAAAGCACTTATTAAAAAAGCTTATTACAAAGTGTCTGATTATATTACGGACAAAAATGCTTGGGTTTGAACTGTTCCAATCATTCCAACAGGTTTTCTATATTAAATAAATCATGATTGTATTGAAATTGTAACAACATAATGATTTGTAAATGTTGTTACATTATGCTTTTAATGTTGTGGCGTTTTTTTCGCTCGTTTTTCTCCGCAGCTAAAAAATATGTCCAATAACGAGTGGTAGGGAAAAAAATGATTGGACGATTCAAAAATGTACTATACATCCAATTTGAATAAAGATATATTGATTTCTGATTGATACGCGACTACTGTAAGGGGCCGTTCAAGTATTACGTAAGCAGATTTATTACAATTATTTACCCCCTCCTCCCCCTCGTCAGCGAAAGTGAGCAAAGCTCTTACCCCTCCCCCCCCCCCCCCCCATCCTTACGTAAACATTGGTACCTATATGCATTTTTCCTTTAATGTATTCTGTTTTTTTATTGATTCATGAGCTTTCATGAGCTTCATGAGCAGCAGTACTTAAAAAGGCTTAATCGATGATGCTGACGTAATCACCATCTCTACCCCCCCCCCCCCCCCAAGTCATCAAAAATAAGCGAAGCAAAGACCCCCCTGCCCCCCTATAGTGCTTACGTAATACTTGAACAGCCCCTAAGGCACGTTCGTTTTTTTTCACAGTTTATTACCGCTAAAGAAGCGCATGATACACTCGACCCCGAAGAAGGGGCCCCTCTACCGCCCCGTTATTACCACTATCAGTGTCTCGCCAATACCCACGCCTGATGCACAAGTTACTTACATTAGGTAATATTACGTTTAAAATTAAACATTATATGTAATTGAAACAAATCGAATAAGCCGAAATCTCAGGCTGGACTTGATTGATAGTTTTTCTAGTCAGAAATGTCTTTAGTTACTAACCAAGCAGTATAAAAAAACTTGTTTGTTTATTGCATTTAAATAAGTATAGTGCGTTCAGGTCAAGGTAAATGAATTTGTAGAACAATCGTCTGTAAGTTATGGATTGGAGTCTCGTTGCATTTTTAAAGCGAATCGCTCTCAATAAACCTACAATATTTTAGAATGAAATACCTTTTGTAATTCGATATGAGTAAGCGAAGAAATGATTTATAAAAATGTGTTCGATTTCAGTTCTTCAGAACAACAACCGAAAGAGCAACTGGGTGTATCCAAATCTAAGCGAGTGACGAGACAGAAACAGGCTATAGAAATCCATCCAAAGAACACCAGGGCAAAGATGCAAGTGGAAAAGGACAATGTTCAAGCTGTCCCTCCTACCAAATTACAGGCTGAAGAAAAACTTTCAAAGAATACTAGACAAAAGAACCAAGCCAAAGAAGACAAAATCCCTTCAGCTCCCGAATCAAAAAATACACGCGCAAGAAACACTAGGGCTAAGAAACCGGCAGACGATAAGACAACTACCGCTCCTAAAGTACAGGAACCAGTTGAAGATATACGTACCAAGATTAATAGAGGAAGAAAAATTACAGTCGAAAAGGAAATCTCTCAAGTTCCTACTCCCAAACAGACGAGAGGGCGCGGCCAAACAGTTGGACAAAAATCTCAACCTAAAGAAAGCGCAAAGAAGGCTAGAACTCGCAAAGCTGCAGCGGAGAAACCGAATCAAAGCCCACCCAAAAGGACTCGCGCTAAAGTCCAAAATGCCGTCGTTGTGGTCTCGAAACCGTCTCCCCAACTGAAGCCTAGGGGTAAAGCTGAAGCCGCAACGAGGATATCTCGCAAGACCACCGCCAATGTAACAGAAACGAAAAGACAGAAGGTGGAGCCACCCAAACAGGCGAAGAATGCACCGGTTGTAGTTGAAATCAAACGGGGACGCAGAACGAGGAATGTGGAGGAGAAAGAAGATAAAGCGCAAACGAAGCCTGATGCTGAACCGAAGAGGACCAGAAGCCGCAGCCTGAAGAAGCAAGAGAGCACTCAGTCGGAGCCGACTACCACCAGGTCAGTAGATATCTTAGGTCACCTGTCCCTGTACCCTGTAGCATGAGCACCACGATTTACATAATATCAGGTGGTTGCTCCAGTATAGCATTTTGAATAGGGATGATGACGGGGTACAGTAAACGAAATTCTATTTAGTCCGTCAGTTAGATGATCAAAAAATAATGGACACGTATTTTTTCTTTCGGCAATCAACCAGAAAATAACAAAGTTATAGTGCGCCAAAGTTTGGGAGTAGGGGCTCGTGACGTCACTTTTGAGTGAATTTTCTCTTATAAGTGTACTCAAACGTGACGTCATGCGACTTTTCAAATCAATATATCTCGTCAATGTTTATATTATGTGAAAAAAGAAAAAATACGTGTCCAATACTTTTTCATAATCTACCTGATAAACGAAGAAAAAAAAAATGAGTCATCATCCCTATTGACCGCGTAAAAATTCTTATAATTGCTCATCTTATCTCTTATCTATTAGACAAGTCCGTCCGTCTGTCTGTGGTGCTGTTTCAGCGGCCAAACCGTAAGAGATAGATAAAGAGAATGTTTAAGTTATAAGTTAAGAATAGTCTGATAAGACTACAAACCGGATTTGGGTAACGTAGCACTTCCGGTTTTCAAGAAATCACGTGATTTCTATTTCAAACGAAACCACACAAAATCTCCGAAGTTCTCAATTAAATAAATACATTTTTTTTTGGTGAACATTTGGTTCACTGGTTTTGCTAGTTTTAAATTAATAGATAAATTGGCACTTTACTCATTTCCTTTTCCCATCTCCCTCCTGCACATACCTATCTCGCATGCAAGAGTGAGTCGACGCATGTCCACTGGGGACATCTAGCGGGTGTTGAAGTTAACATCCTTCTTAGAAAATCCGCACCTTTTGTTAATGGCTGCCGTAAATCGCGCTTTACGTAATTAATTCGTTTGATAAACAATAAATAGTTCGAGTGATTCTCATTGTGAAAATAGAAGTGAAAGACTACCCATTTAGTGTTACCCATAAGAATCTCTTCGGTGGTGTCGTGTGAGGCGGGTCGTTACGTTCCCTAAAATATGGTTGAGCGAAGCGATGGCTGGTTCATGCGTCATGCTCGTGAACGGGTGCTGCCAGTGGAGATGAGTCTGCCCTAACTTCCTTAATATTGAAGTTAATGTTTAGTCACACTGAATATAAATAACACTATATGTATTTATACTGTATGACACAGCAATCAAAATGCAGGTAAACAATTCATGTATATTTAATAATTATGTAATGAAAAGTGACTTCATGAATCACCTCTGAAGTCATTTTTCAATTTGACGACTTTAAATAATAAAACAGGGAGAAAAAAACAGCCCTTGCTGAGTTTCTTGCCGGTTCTTCTCAGTACAAGGTCTCCCGCCGTAGATTTTACGAAACGATGGCGTAGCTTCTAGACATTCATGAGTGCTTGTAACAGCGTAAACTGAATAAATGATTTTGATTATGATTATATAAACCGGCCACGAATCCAAGTTCGGTTTTGGATAGCCGACTCGAAGCGTCCACCTCGGGAGCTTCTGGACTGGCCGTTGATGCAAGGTATTGTGCAACCATCCACATTGGTTTCGAACTATTTCCTTTTGTTTTAATCCACGCAGTTCGAAATCTCCTTTCTTTGATTATCGTGCCAATTTTAAAGGACATGGTAAAATTTTGTATGAGCGACTGCCCTGGCAATGTATAAATATTGTACTTAGTAATATATAATACAGAATTGCTGAATATTTATAATTTCTATGAAAAAGGGCTCAGGAACTTTTGATAAAGTCACAATCTTGAAAATTATGAGATCTCCTACGACGTCATTACCTTGCTACATTTGATAAAAGATGTTGCCAATTATTTACAGAGCCATCAAATTCGCATTTTCTTAGAATATTTCTTCACATTTATCTGATTAACACTTCACAAAAAGCATTTTTAAAAGTAAAAATGAATACAAATAATTTGTTGTTGACATGAAATCTGTGAAGTTTTATTTTGTTCATTGGCAAAAATCAAAGCATTAATTATCATACAGCCTTCTCTTAAGCCTGATCAGAATAATAAAAATAAAGGCCAAATATGTCATAGTTTTTGGGAAGTTTTCAATTAATATTGTTTATTTCGATATACTGACAGAAATATTTTTTTGAATACATTTATTGTTCATTTATTTGAGTAAAACGGAACATTTTCCTTTTGAAACAGACGTGAAGTCAATTTTTTACTTTTAAATATTTGATTATTTCACGATTCATTAATAAAAAAATATTATGTAGTTATGGGCTAGTGCAAAATAATTATACACGTTGAGGGCAGTTTCTTAGCAATGTCCTTTACAGTCCATTTTAAAAAACAAATATTTAGCATCACCCGCGCAACCATCAGGTTTTTTACCGCGCCTAACTGTCAAACTCAATAGTAATTGGACAATTTGTAGTAAACGTGTTATTTATTATATCATGGTGCTCATCCTAGGGGGCAGATAGTCTTAAATAGCCAAATTGCAATCAATCTATATATATAAAACTTAAAGGTGACTGACTGACTGTCGTAGTGATCTATCAACGCACAGCCCAAACCACTGGACGGATCAGCTGAAATTTGGCATGCAGGTAGATGTTATGACGTAGGCATCCGCTAAGAAAGGATTTTGATCAATTATACCCCCACGGGGATAAAATAGGGAATGAAAGTTTGTGTGAAACTTTGTCAATTTTAAACCGATCGGGCTGAGACTTTGCATGCAGGTATTAGAAGTCATTGTGTATAATACAAGCCTGAGAACAAAAACTGTAGTCTACACCGAAGCGAAGCGAGGGCGGGCCGCTAGTTTCGTATATATTGTTTCGTTTCATTTTATAAAACATCAAAAAATATATGTTTCATATTCAAAATGTAATGACAAATGACAGATTTTAATTTATATTTAATTATTTTAAAATTCGCTAAGAACTATGTTACTGTTCTTATTGAATTAAACAAATTTGATTAATATTTTCACGACCATCCAAAAAAGAGTAATGATTTCAGGGTACATGTATGTATGTATTTATATTTATGTATTGCACCATAACTTTTAAACTCCCCATTTTATTAATGTGTACGTGGTGTCGTAATAATTCTCTCACGATGTCAGGTGACAAATAAAACATTTATTTTGCCCATTTTACTTCTTGTGATTAATTCAAAATTCAATATCGTTTATTCAGTCTAGGCTGTTACAAGCACTTGTGAATGTCGAAAAGCTACGCCATCGGTTCGCAAATCTACGGCGGGAGATCTTGTACTGAGAAGAACCGGCAAGAAACTCAGCCAGGGCTGTTTTTTCTCCCTGTATTATATACAGAGTCGTCAAATTGAAAAATGACTTCAATATGAGGTAACTCATAAAGTCACTTTTCATTACAAACAAAAAAGAAATGCAAATAATATAAAAATTATGACTATAAAATAAAAAATAAAACTATGTAAAAAAAATGGTTTAACAAAGTTTAGGAATGACGTGTCCTACCGTTTAGGCAAAAAGAAATATAATAATAACTAGCCGACTCGGCGAACTTCGTACCGCCCAAAAGTAATAATTTGCAATAAATTAAAATTGCGACTATAATTTGAGATTTAAACTATCCTATCTCTCAAGTTGGATCGAACTGCACATGGTGTGCGAATTTTATTATAATCGGTTCAGTGGTTTAGGAGTCCATTGAGGACAAACATTGTGACACGAGATTTATATATATTAAGATAATGAACGACTTGAACGATGAAGTTTAGAACAACGATTAATAGTACCCAGTGAATTAAGAGCAGACTCATCTCCGCTGGCAGCACCCGTTCACGAGCATGACGCATGAACCAGCCATCGCTTCGCTCAACCATTTTTTAGGGAACGCAACGACCCGCCTCACACGACTTGCGTTTTCAATTATTCTTTTCTGCTTCAGGGGGCGACCTAACTTGACCAATATCCACAACACAGTATTGCCAGAAGTCAGGGGAAGGAAGCGTAAAAGCGACGTAGAACCCGAGGTGCCAAACAAAAAACTTAAAAGCACTGGAAAAAGCTCATCGGAGGAGGCTGGCAAGATTAATGCCAGAAACGCTGGCAGAGCGAAAGCTGCGGTTCCTGTTCAAGAGAGCAATACGCGCTCGAAGAGAACCGCCGCCGGGGACAGCAAACCACCCGTCGCTACCAAAAATAACAAGGTGAGTCATCATCATCAGACTATTAATGTCCCCACTGCTGGGGCACAGGCCTTCCCTATGGATGGAATAGGGAGATTGGGCCATAGCCCACCACGACTGCAGATGCAGCCGGGACCAACGGCTTAACGTGCCTTCCGAAGCACGGAGGAGCTCGAGATAGTAAATTTTTGGTCACCCATCCAATGACCGACCACTGCGAAAGTTGCTTAACTTCGCAGCCGAACGCGCTAGCCACCTGAGCCATCGAGCTCCTCAACAAGGTGAGTACTCCATTCTTTCTAGGGTTCCGTACCTCAAAAGGGAAAAATGAAACACATATAGGATCACTTTGTTGTCCGTCCGTCCGTCCGTCTGTCAAGACCGTTTTCTTCAGGAACGCGTGGCGATATCAAACTGAAATTCATATCTAATACTCAGGTCTACTGTCCCTTGGAGCTGTGAAAAAATCCTCCGTAAGATGTAATCGGGCAATCGCAAAATATGTGCGTCTTACCCGTTGAAACGTGTTTTATTTTAGAAAATATTGTTTTATTATTATTTTTTTATCAGTATTTAATTTTTGTGGAAAGATAAAGTTGCTCCTCGTTTCTGCAGTAACTAAAGTGGCAGTTAAGTGATTATGCTTTTCCACTGTCGATATAATGTCATTCGAAACCCCTCCATTTTTAATCAAATCAATAGGTCGCTCGAAACCGACTTTAAAATCAATATGGATGATGACTAATTTTCTTTTCTTCGTTTATCAGGTAGATTATCAAAAAGTATTGGACACGTATTTTTTTCTTTTTTCACATAATATAAACATTGCAGAGATATATTGATTTGAAAAGTCGCATGACGTCACGTTTGAGTACACTTATAAGTGAAAATTCACACAAAAGTGACGTCACGAGCCCCTACTCCCAAACTTTGACGCGCTATAACTTTGTCATTTTCTGGTTGATTGCCCAAAGAAAAAATACGTGTCCATTATTTTTTGATCATCTAACTGACGGACTAAATAGAATTTCGTTTACTGTACCCCGTCATCACCCCTATTTTGTTTGATATATGATTCGCAATCTATTAATATTTTTTGTCTATTGTACTATGTCTGTATGTTATCAATATGGTAATATTGTCTGTCTTGTTTTGTACGGCGCAGAATGCATCGGAGCCGGCGGCGGCTAAGACTACACGCAAAAGGAACGCTGAAATGGCAGCGTCGCCCGCTAAAGGTGAGCCATAATATGTTAAAAAAATTGTGTGTGTCAGCTCCGACGTACGACTGGAGTTTATATCTTAAGTTCGATAGTCTAACCAGACGCAAAAAGAGTTTATTTAACTTAAAAAAGATTGATACTGTATGAAAGGGTAAATTAACAAATTAATGAAAATAATATACATATCTTTATATATATAATTCTTCTGTGAGTGTGCATGTCACTGAACTTCTCTTAAACGACTGGACCGATTTTGATGAAATTTTTTGTGTGTGTTCAAGGGGATCTGAGAATGATTTAGATTCACAATTTTGTCCGCTGGACAACCCCTATTTTTTAGGGCGGTACGAAGTTCGCTGGGTCAGCTAGTATAAATATATATTTATTCATTTCATATACATTTATTATAGCTAATCGACGAAATATTTTACATTAAACTTTTTACAATAGTCAATTTCAGACGTGCATAAATGAAGGTACGCTACGATACTGTGCTACGGTGTAGCACTACGGCTGCTACAGCGTAGACAGTGAAAACGTAACGAGGTCATTCATCGATAGATTTCACTCCTCACATTTTTCTCATACCGGGCCCCTTATAGACCAGGGTCGATAATTTTTGAGACCAAAAAAAATTATAGTAGGATGAACCCCATTAGAAAAGGTAGAGAATATAACAAAAATGAAAGGAAAAATAAATTACGGGCGATCTGAGGTCGGGAAGGGGGAGGGGGGGAGGTTATAAGGGTAAAAAATGGTTAATCTCGATTTCCGGTAAAACTGCAAGTCCTATGAAAAAAAGTTAAATGGCAAAGTTGTAGGTAATAAAAAGATCTACAACTTTTGTATCGACACTTTTTTCACATAACCTCAAAATTTATGTGAAAAATGCGAATAACCGAGTTTTTGGTTTTTGATTTGTATTTTTTGCAAAAAAAATATTTTTTCACGAAATTTGGTGAAAACTTACCTTTGTATGTCCCAAACATACAGTAATTTTTTCACCTTATTTTGACTTAATATCGAAAAAGCATATAAGCATTTTATTTTGACTTAATATCGAAAAAGCATAAGGGTGCTTTTTCGATATTAAGTCAAAATAAGGTGAAAAAATTACTGTATGTTTGGGACATACAAAGGTAAGTTTTCACCAAATTTCGTGAAAAAATATTTTTTTTGCAAAAAATACAAATCAAAAACCAAAAACTCGGTTATTCGCATTTTTCACATAAATTTTGAGGTTATGTGAAAAAAGTGTCGATACAAAAGTTGTAGATCTTTTTATTACCTACAACTTTGCCATTTAACTTTTTTTCATAGGACTTGCAGTTTTACCGGAAATCGAGATTAACCATTTTTTACCCTTATAACCTCCCCCCCTCCCCCTTCCCGACCTCAGATCGCCCGTAATTTATTTTTCCTTTCATTTTTGTTATATTCTCTACCTTTTCTAATGGGTTTCATCCTACTATAATTTTTTTTCACTTTTCACCATTTTTAAAATTATCGACCCTGGTGTATTATATATGCAAATCGATCCTTAAGGAGTAAACTCCAAAAATTATTACTCACGTTATGTTTTGGTTTTGTCTCCCACTGGAAAGGCGAAGAAGAAAAAGCTCAAGCACATTATTACCTGAATAACATTTATTTTGTGAATATTTAATAGTAAATAATATTTTCCGATGAGCTTCTGTGGGGCAATAAATAAATAAATATTTCCAACACTCACACCAATTAGCCTAGCCCCAAGCTAAGCACCATAAGGCTTGTGTTATGGGATACTAGGGTAACGGATAGAATACATATACTGTACATATATAAGTATATTTATATAGAAATACATATTAAACATCCATGACTGGAGTACAAATGCTCGTATTCATCACACAAACATCTGCCCCCACCGGGATTCGAACCCGGGACCTGTCGAGTCGGCGACACCATGAAACCCGGCGTACAAACCACTCGGCCAAGGAGGCAATACAGTAAAGTTCTTACATCCGCTTGGTCGAAATCACTTTTAGATTATATAATGCGATTCAAATAAGAATAGGAAAGCCAATGACCTCTATCTGTCAAATGTCGCTTGAAAAGTACGGTTTGCAAAAAAAAATCTTGGAACCCTTTTTTAGCACTCCGCTAATTCTAGAAAAAATGGATGCGTGTAACTTATGTACGCGCGTGAGAAGTTATACTTCTTTAGCATCATTAAAATATTTTTTAATTGCATGCAAATAATTAATAATTACAATAAAATAATAAGAGGACTGGAAAAGGATAGTTAACACAGTCAATTAAGTTCAGTTTTAATTTGAAAAATTAAAAAAATATTCAAAATATTCAATTAAAATCACTACTGAATTTAAGTTATTAGTCCATATGTAATTAGCACTTGTAAGTAACTAAAACACGTTGTGTTCTTGACCTTCACAAGCGCTTGTAACAGCCTAGACTGAATAAATTTCATTTCATTTCATTTCAATGTCCCGTTCAAATCTGCCCTGTTTGCTTTGTTCAAATCTGCCCCACGGTCACTTGGAAAATAAAATATTACAAATAACGCGCCCGCGGCTAACTTCATTATGTTAAAATTTTGTGTTACAGTGATGAAAATTTCACTCTCATAAATTTTTCATAACGCGGCTAAAGAAGTATAACTTCAATAAAAAAAAAAATGGTTGCCTGTAAAGTCGGTTTTACGGGCGAAGATTTTACGTGACAACGTCTTTTTCTCGGTAGAATATTTATTGATATGAATATAATTAAATTGCACAATAGGAACAAGGAATTGAATGAAAATAAGAATTGCACAAATTTTAACTATAGAAATATATTTTGTTTACTAAAACATTGTACATGTAAACTTAAACTTAACACGAGAGACTCATCGTAACGTTACCGAGCGTTACACTTTTTCATAAGTGACTCCCAGCCGCAACCTAATTTAAGACGTTGTCACGTCAAAAACCAAACATTTGTAAACAAACAATAACAAATATTGATAATTAATATCGGTTGATATTTTTTTTTCACTTATTGAGCTTTGGGAATGAATGGTTGATAACCCAAATGGTCAACCAAATGTCACTTTAAGTTGCGTTCCGAAACTCGATTTCAAACTTTCGTTTACATAAAGGATGCATGTTCGTATGTGACCTAGTAATAGTGCATGATTATTCATAACTACTCCGGCGGTAATGCAGAGATGAGCGGAATAGAAGAGCTAGATTCTGATTTATGTTTTTTCACACAGTCTTAATAAATAAATATTATTAAAAATCGGTGCTTTCTTTTAATTAATCTTAGTAAATAAGTTTTATTAAATTAAAATTTTTTTTTGCTCATCTACCTATTTATTTCTATATATTATATTCTTAGGTTTTCACGCACATCACTCATTCAATAAAACTAGTTTTTTACGGGTTAATGCACGAAACTTTATTTATTTATTGACGTTTCGTAGCCTTTACAGGCTACGTCGTCAGAATCAAATTTTATTTAATTTTGTCGAGCTACCTTCGAAAGACTTTTTATTGAGCGTTCGGTTATTTCATTGTTCGATTTTAAAATTTTTTATTGTCTATGTAATTTATTACTTAATTTAGTTAATAAAGTACTTTATTTAAAATTCTTTTTGTAATTTTGAGTTTATTTATTTGACCCTAACTACCGTAAACTACCACCGGTTCCAAAACAAAATTTCGACGCGGCTAATAGGGCCGTGGTAGCATAATGGTCAGTGCATTCGCCCGGATAGCGAAGGATGCGGGTTCGAGTCCCGTCCGCTGCCTGGTCCGCGTGGTTTTTTTTTCTAGTAAACTTTTCTTTAGATTCTTTACTCACGCTTGACTTGGGGGGTAGGCTGGCAAACGCGTTACGAAAAGTGTGATCCGGCGAGGCGAACGGGAGTTGAGTGGGGGATATAAGCAAACTAAAGCAGTGCGCGCGCACATTTTCTTTCTCTCTTTCTCTTATAGCTAGTAAATGAAATACGTTTATGTTTGTGTGTACATACATACAGATACAGGTACATACATACATACAGATGGAGCTAAAGAATTTTCACTTCAGTCGTGTGGCCAGAACCACACTCTTTTTTTATGCATTATTTCTCAAATTTGCGTTGAACGCACGACGATTACTTATTTATTTATTTATTCATTGCATATCACATTCACAAAAATAAGGTGGTACATAACAAATACAGTAACCATGTGACGCCCTGCAAGGGCACAGCAACTTTAGAGGGTTATTATCTATTTAAAATACATTAATAAACAATTGCACAATATAATTTATAAATTAAGTTCCAATCATTGTAAACATACATTGGTATTTGGTGTCAACTCTACCATGACTCTCCAACCCAAACCTAAATTTGACGACAGTGTATCCTCATCATTCCCAATACAGAATAAAAAAGTTTAGAGAATCATGCTAGAATCGACACCATAAATTCATTAAAATATTGTTATTTATTCTTCATTTAAATACATTCATAATAAATTAAAGTCTTTAGAGTCTGAAGCATTCCATTGGCTGGGTGATTTGTCATCGAAAAATTCATTTAAGCCATAATAACATTTGGAAATAAGAAAGCCTTTTAAATGTTTGATAAATTGCGTTGGTGTGTTATAGTTTTTTAAATAGTTAGGAACACGGTTATATATTTTAATCATCATTATATGGGGGCTAGATGCTACTAATTTCATTACCGATATCGGTAATCTAACGAACTTTGTACCTGGTTGTAAATATGTGTGTAGTGCATTAGTTGTTTATTCGCAGCATCGCCGCAGAAGGAGCTCGTCACTCGCGTCACTCGCGCCCGGAGCGCTGCCGCCAAACGTGAGTATATCCCCGTAGCACTGCCGGATTTAGGGGAGGGCAACCGGGGCGAGAGCCCCGGGGCCTCCACAAACGGGGGGCCCCCACAATAGAGACTTAAATTCCAACTAGTAAACATGTTTTCCTTTGATATTTTTGAAGTGAAACTTCTTTACCGGCGTTGGAAAAAAATTTACCGTCACATTTTTTTCGGTTACGCGTCACGTTTTTTGGTTACGCGCCATCTTTTTTTTAAAAGAGCACTATTTACCTCATTCGAAAAATTGCTCCTTCTGTCAACTTTAAAAAAAAAAGTATCGACAGCAAATATTCGTGTTTCACACAAGGTAAGGTAAGGTGTAGTTATACCCCTTTAGTGGGTGAGTTTTTGAAAAATCTTAGCGCACGCCTATATATATATTTCTGGAAAGTTGCATGTAGATCAAAGAAGTTTCACTTCTTACGTGTGTACACTAGTACACGCACACATTTTTTTTTTGCTCTTTTACCTTTACTCCGAGAACTCGATTTCAACGAAATCATCAACGATTTTTCGGCGAAAAAAGCTCAAAAGGTTCCGTTCGTTAACTCTAAGATTTAATATCAGATAATTCTTGTTTCCGTTTATATTTATATGTGTTTGTTCAATACTAAGGGAATCTACTTGGTTCACAATAAATTATTTATTGAAAATCTCGACTGAAAAAAAATTGTTTACTTTATTTGGAAAATAATTTGGGGTGAGGGGGCCTCCGCTCCTCTGTTGCCCCGAGGCCTCTGGACCTCTAAATCCGGCCCTGCCCCGTAGCATCACCATTACGATATGCATTTTAACACGTTTTTTTATCGCGTTCTACTAAAATGAAATGAAAAGTCATTTATTCAGTCTTGGCTGTTACAAGCACTTGTGGGACTTTTTGGCGGGATCGGGTAGCGTCACTCTAGCAGTTTTGTTTTTCTTGTTAAAAATTTTTATTAATTTTTTTTCAGTAAATGTGTGGGGATTTACTGGAACCTCCCCGTGGACTTCTTGAGGGTATGTTAGTGTCTAATAATGATGGATTAGTAACCACTAAGTGTTCAGGAACATGCAAAAGTGTTGGTAAGTGAAACAAAATAGCGGAAAGTGTCTATCGACGTTCCCTCAAGAAGTCTACGGGGTGGTGGTGGTAGAATCCACTTACTCTACAGGCTGGTCATTTATTTTTATACTAGTATTAACCTGCCTCACAATAGGTAGAGTAAACTTAACACATTTTGTTTTACTAGAGTTTAGTTTTAAATTATTACCGTAACCCAGAGAGAGCACAATTTACTTCGTCATAACAATCATTTCCTCCTCTAGTTTTAAACACTAAAGAGGTGTCATCAGCAAATAGCACTGTCTCACACAAATCTCTTGTAAAGTGAGGAAGGTCATTGATATAAATAAGGAAAAGCAATGGGCCCAATATTGAACCCTGGGGCACGCCCATTGAAATGGGCGCTCCTGTAGACTCAGCTTCATTTATAACTACTTTCTGAATCCCATCAGAAAGATAAGACTGTATCAGACTTAGTGAAATATTTGATACACCATAATGCTTCATTTTATTTAACAATGTTTCATGGCTAACGCAGTTGAAACGCCTTTGATAAGTCGCAAAAAATGCCAACAGCCAACAAAAATTAGTCATCATCCCTATTGTATGCTTCAACGCACGCGGCGCGAGACCGCGTCGCTTTGCAGCCCACTGCGTTTTCTTTCCTCTCTCTACAGACAGCTGAGTAGCATTGTTGTCCTTTTCTTGATAAAAAATGGCGAATCAGTAACTAACATTCATGGCAAACCGTGATTTAAAAAAAAATATTTTGACGAATGAAAAGTGTTAACGTGGCATTTGTTATTCGATCTTGGTGTTCTTAATAAAATCATTGAAGGCATTGTTTTATATTTGTAACACAGAATATAAGCAATATTGTCATATTGAGTGAACATGCAGCGTGCTTGAATGTCCAATATAGTCCAAATAAGGTGATGGCTGAAACTCGGTATTTTGCGTTAAAACTGGCAAATGTTTATCCGAGCCTTGGCCTTTTGCTTTCTGCAGCATACATATGGATATTTCATAGCTGATTTCTTGTATCATTTTTTTTTATTGTATTACTCTGTCTGCAAATGTATATGTATGTTGAAGAAAAAATAAACGCATTATCTATCTATCAATAGGGATGATGACTATTTTTTTTTCTTCGTTTATCAGGTAGATTATCAAAAAGTATTGGACACGTATTTTTTCTTTTTTCACATAATATACACATTGCAGAGATATATTGAATTGAAAAGTCGCGTGACGTCACGTTTGAGTACACTTACAAGTGAAAATTCACTCAAAAGTGACGTCACGAGCCCCTACTCCCAAACTTTGACGCGCTATAACTTTGTCATTTTTTGGTTGATTGCCCAAAGAAAAAATACGTGTCCATTATTTTTTGATTATCTAACTGACGGACTAAATAGAATTTCGTTTACTGTACCCCGTCATCACCCCTATTGTGACTAAAGCGAATTGTGGTCATGCACCACAATTTAAACGGATCACTTTTGAGCCGCGAGTGCCGTATCTTCCCTCTTCGTTTTAATCTTAGCCTCAAGCAATTAATGTTGTTGTTTGTTTTCAGCGTCAACGAAAACTACAAGCCGCACCGCATGGAGATAATAATCATACCTTCATGCAATGAAATAAGTACAAATTACAATAAAATGCGCATCAGGTAAGAAGAAAATATTACACTCGTTTACCATTAAATATTTTATTACATAATCTTACAGCTATATTACAATTATACATTTACAGTTGTATGGATTTAATTAATAATTTACAATATTGCTGCTCATTTTTCTCACCATCTTATTATGAGAACAAGCAAGAAAGACGACGAAACAGATATGTTTATCAGTGATAATAGGAATATTACTATCCTAAATGAAACTAATTATATCTTACCACTTTTATTTTAAAGAAGGAATGAATACAAAGTCTGACTTTGTATTCATTCCTTCCTTTTATTTTAAAAGAAGGAATGAATACAAAGTCTGACTTTTAAAATAAAAGGAAGGAATGAATACTCATTCCTTCTTTAAAATAAAAGTGGTAAGATATAATAAGTTTCATTTAGGATAGTAATATTCCTATTATCACTGATAAACATATATTACGTTAAGCAATAATCCATTATATGATTCATGAAACTTTAAATCTATTTTATTCATGAATCAATTGTAAAATACAAAATTAAACATTTTGTTGCAGGTAGTATTATTAGTTGTGGACCTTATTGTTATGCTGGGATTTGACTTGGCTATTCCTATTCGCCTTTGTAAACTTGACAGCATTCGCTATTTTTCATTCCCTATAGATTGTGATAAAGATATGCTGTTGTTGTCAAAAGTATACATTAAACGCCATGTCAAATGCTAATATTATATAATGGAAAGGATAGTCTTTAATAATATTAAACTTTGTGATCAATGTGTTCTGTAATTTAGCTCAAATACACGTATACGGTTTCACGTGACGAGATGTAGTTTTGTAAACGTTTACAGTTTGTTACATGTATAGACAATATTAAGATTAGAATTCTTGCGACATATTTGCAAAGTGGAAATTTAATTAAATGTTACAAAACGGCCACGATGCTGTTTTTAATTTCAAACTAGTGTTATTTTTACAAGCTTTTATTTAACTTGCTATGTATGTTTGTTACGGTCAAATCTTACAACTCAATTTTAAAGCACTTGCCCTCAACCGATTAAGCTGAAATTTGGTATGCTCGTTCAGTTCGGATGACAATGCATGATTAACAGTGTGACGTCATTCTAAATCCAATATGGCGGCATACCCAAAATGGCGGACCAATCATTTTTAATGCATTCCTGCAATATGGGTATCAAGTTAAAGGGCTTGCTGAGAAAAAAATGTGACGTCACTCTCAATCCAATATGGCGGACTTCTAAAATTTGAAAATCTATTTAGAAACAGATATCTTTAACTAATTTAGTTGAAATTTTCTTTTTTTCTTTTTACGCATTTGAATAAAAGCTTGTTTTTAAAAAGGTTTTTCTATTCTTAAAACGTATTGTTCGTCAAGTTCTATGTGTTAATGAAAAATGGAATTTAATTTTACAGATCATTTCTAGGACATGTTTTCAGTTTCATTTTCACAAGCTATATTTTTTTCGTTTATGCCAGGACATAGAATTGAAATTCCTTCTAAATTGTGTTGTAAAATAAATCGTACAATAAATAAATCCTTTATACACCGAAAAATATTTAGATCTTAATTTATATATCTATTTTTTAAGTTTTTTTTTTGTAGGAAAACTACGTATTTTGTGTGATTATTAAGGACTTATTTTATTATTTCGCTTTCACTTTTGATAGTTAACATTAATTTGGGGTCGACCTCCTAATCATGTGTAAATACGATGAATGTTTCTGGAGATAATGGTTGCTTTCCAATTACAGAGCATAATGCGACTCAGTGCCGCACAATGCCCAATTATGCTGATGCTTAATTGGAACGTGAATTAGTTTTCAAATGCACCAGCAGAGTGCGCTAAGTTCAGTGTTGAAAAAAAAAGTCAATGTTTGTACCTTCATCCATACTTATATTTATTTTTTAACAGTTTGAATGAACTTTGATTATTTAAAAAAAACTATTTAATGAAACGAAAGCTTTAATAATTTTTCAACAATAAATAATATTACTAACGATAACATATAAATAAAACGTTTCGATCAATGCCAACTTAAAGAAAAAACACTTGTTAATTTTCTGTCTCTAAGTTGGTACGATTGCACGCATCACACGAAAGCATCACTTCTGAGAGTGCTCAATTGTGCGAAGCGTTGCTGTAGTTGGAACACTCAACGTTAAGCATTATGCCGCATAATGCATTATAATGCTGTAATTGGAAAGCAACCAATAATTATTTTTTGTGGCTATATTAGTACCTGCACTTGCTCCAGTGATATAAAGATAACTTTCTTATAATCAGTCTCTTTTGAATTTTCAGTACGTCGATGGTTTACCTGAAGATTGATAAGTCGGCCTGTAGTTTAATATTAATTATGGTTATATTTTAGTTGTATGCGGATGTCAGTACTTCATTATTATTGTAAAACTATGTGCAAGTTTTTTAGTTAATATTGTAAATGTATTGAACGGTGCTGTTTGGATTTGGTCGATGAGCACTCGACGCCGACGCACAACACTACGGGAACAATATCGCGACCTACGATGTTGTATTGACAATTTAAACATAATTTTGATTAGATATTTTATTTGAGAACATTGAAAGGTTATCAAAATATTATTTAGTTTAAGATCCGGTATCGCTATTTTGAAAATATGATTTAAATAAAAATTGTGAGAACTTGATTTTGTCTTTTTTAATTACGAATGATTTGAATGAACAATTATTCTGGCTAGGCCATACTATTAAAAAATAAATATATAATGAGAAAAGATATGTTTCTTTGTGTGCTTATTCAATAATAAGCTCCGAAAATACTGAACTGATTTGAAAAATTCTTTAAAATTTTAGAATGTTACATTATCAAAAATTCAAATTTATGTTTATCCCTAACGGACTTTCTATTTTTTAGCATAAGTGATGACCTCAATAATTTTGCCCGGTTTGGAATGCTTCTTTTAAAAAAAAAAGGTATGATTTCATAAAATCGAAATTTTTCATAATAATAAATAAATAATAATAATAAATATTTCCGACACTCACACCAATTAGCCTAGCCCCAAAGTAAGCACTATAAGGCTTGTGTTATGGGATGCTAGGGTAACTGATAGAATACATATATAAGTATATTTATATAAATACATATTAAACATCCATGACTGGAGTACAAATGCTCGTATTCATCACACAAACATCTGCCCCCACCGGGATTCGAATCCGGGACCTCTCGAGTCGGCGACAGCCATGAAACCCGGCGTACAAACCACTCGGCCACGGAGGTCGTCATATTTTCATAATTTTCATATTCTTTTGAAAACAACTTCAAAAATATTGGATATTCCTAAAAAATGATAAACAACGAAGCAAACGGAATATGGCGGGGCAACATCACGTAGGTTAGTACAGCTATCGTGCTGTGGTCACGCAGTATGAGGTTTGTATTTGACGGGGTTCGAGATTCGGAATATGGCGGGCAGCAGCGCGGCGAGGGTGGTGAATAGCGCTGGCGCTGCAGTGGGGGGCACCACGAAGTGCAGCGTGTGGACCCCCGGCCCCGCCCCCGCGCCCCCCGTGCCCCCCGCGCCCGCGCCCCCCGCCCCACCCGCGCCCCCAACCTCCAAGACGAACCCCTTGACGCACTTCATCACCAGCTCCGCGCGACGAACGCACCAAGCGGCGGTGGTCTCCTGGCGGAGACAATGCTTATTAAATAAAAAAAATGGTTGCCTGTAAAGTCGGTTTTACGGGCGAAGATTTTACGTGACAACGTCTTTTTCTCGGTAGAATATTTATTGATATGAATATAATTAAATTGCACAATAGGAACAAGGAATTGAATGAAAATAAGAATTGCACAAATTTTAACTATAGAAATATATATAATACGTCAAAAAAACATATTACAATGCATTGTGCTTGTGAATACCATCGTAGCATGCAACCACGCTACGACGATTCGTAGCAAACTTGCTACACGGCTACGGGGTTCCAGCATGCTACGAGACTCATCGTAACGTTACCGAGCGTTACACTTTTTCATAAGTGACTCCCAACCGCAACCTAATTTAAGACGTTGTCACGTCAAAAAATGGATGCGTGCAACTTATGTACGCGCGTGAGAAGTTATACTTCTTTATTAGCATCATTAAAATATTTTTTAATTGCATGCAAATAATTAATAATTACAATAAAATAATAAGAGGACTGGAAAAGGATAGTTAACACAGTCAATTGAGTTCAGTTTTAATTTGAAAAATTAACTAAATATTTCATTTCATTTCAATGTCCCGTTCAAATCTGCCCCACGGTCACTTGGAAAATAATATATTACAAATAACGCGCCCGCGGCTAACTTCATTATGTTAAAATTTTGTGTTACAGTGATGAAAATTTCACTCTCATAATTTTTTCATAACGCGGCTAAAGAAGTATAACTTCAATAAATATTTCCAACACTCACACCAATGAGGGTTACCGTTTTCTGTCTCACCAGATGGCGCCACTGTTGAGTGAGGTCCTGAAGTGTAACTTTTAAAGTTAGTAAACACGCTCGTGATATCAAAGTTTACATTTTAATACAAAAGGATCGTATCTTAAACATAATCGCCCATGCCACAGTGTTGCGCAGTCCCGTTTTGTTCGGAAAAAGAAGGACAATATTTTTTCTTAGCTCCGCTTTTAAATAACTGACATTCATTGACACGTAACTCATATTTGCCATAATAAGTCTGATTTATTACCAAATATTCACAACTATTATTTTAATTAGAAAAAAACCGCGTAGTCAACCCGCAAGCTATAACATTTGACATTTTGGAGACCTCACGCAACACAAGCGCCTCTAGCGGCGGATTCATACGCGATAGCCCTCATTAGCCTAGCCCCATAGTAAGCACTGTAAGGCTTGTGTTGTGGGATACTAGGGTAACGGATAGAATACATATACTGTACATATATAAGTATATTTATATAGAAAATACATATTAAACATCCATGACTGAAGTACAAATGCTCGAATTCATCACACAAACATTTGCCCCCCACCGGGTTTGAACCCGGGACCTCTCGAGTCGGCGACACCATGAAACCCGGCGTACAAACCACTCGGCCACGGAGGTCGTCAATAAAACCAGTTTTTCACGGGTTAATGTACGAAACTTTATTTTTTTATTGACGTTTCGTAGCCTTTACAGGCTACGTCGTCGGAATCAAATTTTCATTTAATTTTGTCGAGCTACCGTCAAAAGACTCTTTTTGAAACTTCTCTTCTTTGAAACGTCAATAAATAAATAAAGTTTCGTGCATTAACCCGTGAAAAACTGGTTTTATTTAATGAGTGATTTGCGTGAAAACCTAAGAAAGAGACAATGATTGTGTTTATAATCAATAATAATCAAAATCATTTATTCAGTTTAGGCTGTCACAAGCACATATGAATGTCTAGAAGCTACGCCATCGTTTCGTAAATCTACGGCGGGAGACCTTGTACTGAGAAGAACCGGCAAGAAACTCAGCAAGGGCTGTTTTTTTTCTCCCTGTTTTATCATGTACAGAGTCGTCAAGTTTTATTTAAGTACTAGTTGAGGAGCTGGCGAACAAAACGGTTTAATTACGTATAATGCGATTCAGATAAGAATAGGAAAGAAAATGACCTGCATCTGTCAAATGTCGCTTGAAATGTACGGTTTGAAAAAAAAATTCGGAGCACTTTTTTTTAGCACTCGGCTAATTCTAGAATAAAAACCAATCATTTTTAAAACAAACAATAACAAATATTGATAATTAATATTGGTTGATATTTTTTTCATTTATTGAGCTTTGGTTGAATGTTTGATATCCTAAATCGTCAACCAAATGTCACTTTATGTTGCGTTCAGTAACTCGATTTAAAACTTGCGTTTATTTAAAGGATGCATGTTCGTATGTGAGCTGCATGATTACTCATAACTACTCCGGCAGTAATGCAGAGATGAACGTAATTGTAGAGCTAGAGTCTGATGAATGTTTTTTTTCACACAGTCATGGCAAATAAATTTTATTAAAACTTCTAATGTTTTTCTCACTTAATCTTAGTAAATAAGTTTTATTAAATAGAAACTTTTTTTTTCTCACTATACCTATTTGGTTTGATTTGACAGCTATGACGTCAAAATATGGCGCCCAGTCGGTCCTATTCTTAGTTGAATCGCATTAAATATGGTTTTGACCATATAATACTTTGTTTTTTTTTTTGCACGCCGGAGGTTTTCGGCCAATTGAATTTGAATTTCAACTCATGTCAATCGAAACCGCCTAAAATAGTGTTAAAATTACAAAAGCTCACTGCAGGTATCATGTCATTCAGTTTATTACTGCTCCTGTCAAATTTAATTTGATGTAATTATACAGATTTGTTCGCCAGCTCCTCAGTTGTGCCCCGCGGTTTATTAGGGATATTTTTTTCCCAGTCAATGTGTATAGTGTAGTGTAGTGTTAATGACTGACCTCAGAGAGGTCGTGCCTCAGTAGCAGCGGTATGGACACGCTGGCAACGTCATTGGTGGCAGCCGCCTTCAATATGTTACGCAGCCCCAAGATGGCGGGGTGGCGAGACGTTATGTCACCTGGGGAATATTTAAACGAATGTTTAATTAGCAACGTGATAATTTATCACCATTTGTTAGGATTCTAGAAGTCTTATTCTTAAGTATATTGAAATTAATTAGTTAATTTTAATTAATTATTACGAATGGTTGTTACAGAGTAGCTGCAGAGTAGAGGATTTCAATAGCGCAATCATATTAGCGCGTTCGATATGAGCTCGTAGAAATTTTCTCAATGGCCTGTCATTTTATAGGTGATCAAAAATTTGCCCATTTGAATTTTCAGTGCTTTCCGTGCTGAACCGCAGTCGCATAGTCAGAACTCCTCAATCAATTCACAAGGGAAGCCTGTGCCCCAGCGGTGGGGACATTAATAGGCTGCTTTTGACATTTGTTCGCCCGTGAAGTTTCATATTCGTTTATTAATTTCGAATATGCAAAATTAGAGACGTGCAGTTTGTCACAAAAAAAATATCGATTAGGTAATTTGGGGACGCAGAATTAAAATTACACAAAATCGTATTATATTATGATCGCACTGTAGAATATGGTTCCAGAAACTCTTTATATCGTGTTCAAAACCATTCAATGTAATCACTAAAGAAGGCTGGTATAAAAGTCTTACAAAAGACACAAAAAATAATATAGGAAGATTATCACAGAGACGTCATAATTATTCTATATTATTTTTTGATTATATTTTAGAACACGAAATAATTATGCACGCGACGATAGCTCATCTGACTTTTTTTTCCTCATCATCAGGATAAAATTATAGATTTATGATTTGATTTTTTTGTGATAATACAAATGTTACTTAAATTTAAATTATAGATAAATTAACCTTTCTTAATACTGTATCATTTCAAATTCAAAATTAAAGTTTAAGTTAAATGGAAATTGCTCAAATTGGCCCAAATGTACAAAAAATATTGACATATACGGTGATTCTTGGCGTAATTTATACTTTATTTTACAGTCATTAGATTTTAACAGACACCTTTGTACAATACATTCATTTTAAAAAGGACTTTTAATTTTACCGGTTTGGAAAACATACAAATCATTTTTAATGGCTATGTGTGTAGTAACATTCAGCCAAAGACTGATCGAAGTTGTTTATATAATATCAAAACAAATCTATTTTGTAAAGATCGATAAAATAAAACTTCTTTTTTATTACACTGTGGTATTAATATCCACAACTATATTATCATTTTCACTAGATGCAAATGCGCTCAGACAATTATTTTAGATGGTAGGCGACATCATAAAGTCTATTGCCATTCATTTTCCGCCAAACACCTCCATAACACATTATAAGGTGTGATACACTAAAAATCTAAAATATGGTTATAATATAAACATAACAAAAATAATGAAGCTTAACTAACTAAATTAACGAGAGGTTAAAAATTCTCTCTAATCTGTGGCTCATTCACAATCATCACACAGTTTCTGTCACGGAGTACCTTATTATAACCGGAAATGCATAGATGATACCTGATTTTAAAAGTTACTCTTGTGCATTAACTTAATAAACAGGCAACTATCTGTTAATATACCTGCTCTATATACCTGAATCTAATACGTAATTTCGGTACTTGGCTTGATTTCCCTAGTTTACTATATAACTTCTGTTTTTTATTATTTTAATACCTATGTACCTATTTGCAAACATAACCTCAAAATCATTCAGTGTATATGGTTTAAAGAAGTTCTCAGGGGTGTCCGTCAATTATATTCGTTTCTACAGTAATTTATATATAATTTCGAATCTAGGAAACAATTTTTCATGATTATTGGTCTTTAGGCCAAACATGTACGGAAGCTGAGCAATCTCCTTTATAATCAGAACCTAAATCCAATGCACTTTACAATACATAACCAAATCAATCAAATACTCATGCAAGCTTCAATGGACAAGAAATCTGCAAAATTTTCCCACTAGGGGCGCTT